GTCATAAAGAGTTGAGGCTTGGACGGAGACACAAACAACGGAGAAAGGTATGTTCCCATCTAGGTTTTAGCTATATTCATCACGGAATGGACAGCATATATGCCTTTGTTCATTTATTTTTACCCCATCTATTGTTTTTATAAATAACTCCAAGACCTGAACGTTGCTTCCTCCTCCTTTCCCCTCCCCCCCACAAGTAGTTTAGGAAGTCCCTTAGGCTGAAAGAGAAGGACTGGCCCAAAGTCACCCAGCAGCTTTCTTGCCTAGGGTGGGATTAGAATTCCCATGAATCTTAATATTTATGGCCAGTACCTCCAAGGCGGGCCTCACCCCCAAGTGGAAATGCAAGCCTACGGCATCACAGTGAGAACTCACTGCATTAAATCCTAGTCTTCCAGAGCCATGCACAGACACACTTGCCAACAGAAATCCTGGGGTAGAGAGCGTGCGCCGTTACCCACCTTTAGCGAGTCTCTAGTCCCTCGATAATCCTCTTGAAGGTAACATTGTAAGAGCTGCACGCTTTGCTCCTCATCCAAACCCTGCAATGGCAGACAAACGTTTAGCTACGTTACACACTTTTTAGGAGAGAGGGATAGGACAATGAAGAACAGAACAAGGCCTAATTTTCAGTGTTCTGCAAAGTTGCAGAACCAAGTTCTGCAAAGTACCTCGATTAAACCTCAGAAGTCCCAGACACAAACCTCACTCGAACAGTAGGACTGGGGAAAACCAACTTCTCTCCAATTCTGATATTTTCTTCTACCCCCATCCTGAAACACGCAGAGCAAAAAAAGCAGAGCGACTTTTGAAAGTATTTCTCACCAAAAACTTGCTGACTCGGAGTCCCAGTTCCTTCAACGAAGCGGGCACGTTTTTATCAGCTTTCACGATTTCTGCTGAATTGGAACTAGACGTAAGAAACAGTTATTCAGTTTGGTTTGTTTGGAACAAAGTGAATCTTGATCTAACACCTGGATAATTTTATATCCACAAACATTCCATAAACATGATAAAGCCCTAAAGGAAATCTAAAATAAAATAATCTACACATGATCAAATTCAGAAAGAACATCCAGAGAAAAACAAGGTAGGGGGCCCACTTATCTTTGTAGCCAAGCCTAAGAATCAGATCTTAACCCTTAAGAGTTCATCTAAATAACATGGGGGGGAAAGGGGTTATACAAATCATTTAGCTTTGTATCTGCTGTTTTTCTGCTAAGATTTGATTGATATTATTTCCTAGTATGATTCGATTGCTTATTATACCATATGACTGTCACTGCGTGTTGTGCCTTGTGATTCTTGACGAACGTATCTCGTCTTTTTATGTACACTGAGAGCTTATGCACCAAAGACAAATTCCTTGTGTGTCCAATCACACTTGGCCAATAAAGAATTCTATTCTATTTCAGACTAGATGAATTTCTAAAAGGAGGAAGCAGATTCATGACCAGAAAAACCCATTGTTTCTCCAAGCTTTTCTTAACTTGAGCACTGTGCTAGATACCCAGCCATCTGGTTACCGTACCTGGGTGGTTTATAGTAACAAAGTCCTTCAAGCAACCTCTGCCAATGTTTATTCAACTCTTCTGCGATCTGTGCCTAAATCAGGACAAAAGGATGCTGAATTTAGAATTCCACTCAACTGTTAAAAACTGCTTGCTTAGTTTCGCAAAGCCGGACAAATGGAAGGAGAAGCATTGTACAGTGGGGTGTCCAACCTTAGCAATTTTTAAGACTTGTGGCCTTTCATTGGTTAACATTATTTGGTTCATCTCTGAAACAGCACCACATGCTCAGAGGGACGTAGCATGTAACATTCCAAAACAGTCCTAGTATGATCTTGTTCCTGCTCATCATAATATTCAGGAGGTGTGGTTTTTATATTATAATGAGATATAATGAGTTTGCAAGTCACTAAGGTTCAAATCAATGTCCTTGTCGGGTTTGAGCCAGTGCTTATCAGACTCTACATTCCTTGTGGAGAGCTCGCCTTGTTACTTCAAGGAACTAGAAACATTAATCTAAAAAATCTGCTTAACTGAATACATTAATCAAAGAGGCCTCCCTTTACTGCTGCCATGATTAACACAAACCAGAGGTTTCAAAGGAAACAGCTGAAGCCAACTTTGCTTACCGGTTCTCTCAAAGCTGATCTTCCCAAAAGAATGGTCCACAGTTCTCTGCTGCTCCTTAAAATAAAAGTCACGCATTCCTTAAAGTCTTTTCAAAGCTCACAGAACCATTTCTCTCTATGCAATTGTATCAAAACTGGGCAGCCACTTGTCTGGAATGATATAAGGGCCCATACTTAAGCAAGGGGGTGGACTAGAAGGCCCCCAAGGCCCCTTCCGACTCTGTTATTCAAACACTTTTCAGAGCAAAGTAACCATTCCCCTCAAGCACATTTCTTTCCAGTAACACCTCCTTGCCCAATTTTAATTCTGACCCAACTGTTCTTCCTGAATTCTTTTTAAAGATGGAAGCTACTGGCATGTCCTGCTGAAAATACTCTGGAATATATTAGGATGCAAATGAGAACCCTCTAGGAAAAAGAAATTATCTGATTATTTCTACCAGGAAGATTATAGAAAACCACCTGGCCTTTGACTGAAGCAATGCTAGATAATATAATCAATTTGCAAACATGGCTTTCTGGGTAAAGGGAAAGAAAAGGAGTGAAAGTCACAAAGAATGCACCCAATAGTTCAACTGTGATTCACAGTTGAATAGTTGAATAGCTGTTGAATAATTCAACAACTCTAGTTGTTGTCTGGATTATTGGAATTTATTCGATCCATCACGAATTGTTAAAAAAAACAGTTAAGAAAAGGCATCTATTCAGATGATATTATAGAGCTGGAAAACCCAGAGAGATATTAGCACGCAATTCTAATTAGAACAACCACACTAATGTCTTCACCAAGTTCACAAATCTTCTAATTGGATGTTGTTTTATTGTCCTATTATTTTTCCCTTCCCCAATAACAGTTTTGTCCAACTATACTTTTTTATTGTAAAGACTGATGAAAGAGAATGATAAAGATATTAGAAAATTTAGACCATTGAAGACGAAAAGAGAATAGTATTATATCAACATTATGATTTAAAAATATCAAATGAACATAACGGATTTCTCATTATTAATTTGATGTTTCCAGATCAGATGGCAGGCTAGGAAAAGATCAAGTCAACTGGGAGTAAAAATTTACCCCAGCAATTCTGCTGATACCAGAACCAGACCCGAGTGCAAATTCTGCCTTGGACATGAAAGCCAGTTGGGGGACTCGGAGCCAGTCCTTCTCTCTCAACCCAGCCCATCCCACAGGATCAATCCAACACAACTAGTGTAGTTTCTCATAGGCAGGGAGGAACACTTCACTTAGCCAATTTTGAGAAGCATCAAGGGGAATAGGCATACTCCCAGATAGTACATTATTTATTTAGCATATGGCACATCACACATGGTCTAGCAATATATATATATTCATCTAAATTAATAAAACAGAATGAAATATTTCAAATACCAATGTCTAGGCCGTCTAACCATTGAAGCAGAGCAGATACTGGACCAGTTGTATGTCCTTGGCTTACAGCCTGTCACAATGTCAGACAGCACAAATGTGTAAAGAATGCACAGCCAGAACAATTATTATGTCATCCTGCCTTTCTATACATACAGGTAGGTCATAATTACTGCGTGTTCAAATCATGCAATACTCAATTTAGGGCAAATTATAAATTGATACCAGGTTGCATTTAATTGCAAGTCAAAAATTGGGTGAGCATGAGGATTAGCAAATGCACAATTGTGGTTTTAGACACTCTTTAAAGTTCCTAGGTGCAAAATGGGAGGTTCTATTAGAGGCAAACAGTAAAAGCAACAGTGTTAAAACAGGTCTTTTTTGTTACTTTTACAAAGGATTTTGGAGTTCTATTTTGCTTTCTCTTAACTACTCTGTGACCCCTATATTTAAATTATATGTGTATTCTTCTTATCCTTCCCTGTAACATCTCATTAATATATTAATATACATACAAAAGTTCATGATTAATATTTTTCCGGGCATATTTCCTCCTAGCCTGAAATGAATTACCCTATTTTCCAAAGAAACATCAGTTCAAAAGAGCTCAAATTCAAATCAGGGGATCCCTTTTCCTGTGGGATCTTTTTAGCTATCTGAGAGAGATCTATTTGGGCAACTCAAAATGTGTTAAAATATATCTTTTAATATCCCTGCCTTCTTCCCACTCAAATGGAAATTATATTATTCATTTCCTTCCAGTGGGGGAGGTGTTATTCCATTACCCCAGTTTGGGGCATCCCCAAAGGGTGCCAGCCAGAACCGGAAAGCCAAAGACCTGAGTTCGAGTCCTGCCTTGGGCACCCAAAGCCACGCCTTCCCTTGCCTTTCCCACCTCACAGGGTTGTTGTTGGAAAGGAAGGATAATGTTCAATTAAAAGTCCAACTGGGAGGGGGGAGGGGGGGCTTACCGGTTCAAATAAATAGCGGTAAATAAACCCCTCAAATGGGCAGCAATGAGGAAGGCAGGAGGGGGCTGAGGGGGCTTCTTTAGGGGTCCCCCCTCCCCTCCAACCCGCAAGACCCTCACCCCAAAGCTCCGGGGGGGGAGGGGGTGGCCTGAGCGGGCGAGGCTCGGGGCTTCGGTTCCCACAGCCGCTTTCTCCCCTCAGGGGCTCCGACAACGACCGCGCGCGCGCCCCGCGCCTTCCTACCTCGCAGACAGCCCGCCGGCCGCCATCTTGGACTCCCCTCCCACGTGACCCTCCCTCCCTCCCTCCCTCCCGCCTACCTCGCTCGCCCGCCCGCTGAGCCGCCAGGAGGAGAAAAGAGGGGCGGGGCCGCCAGTAAGGGAGGGAAAAAAAAAAGAAGAAAAAAAAGGCGGGGCGGCGCTTGCGCGCTGGGAGCCGCCCGCTCGACCGTTAGGAAAGCCGGCGCGCGCCCCCCCCCGTGGGTTACGTGCGTCTGGGGCGTGCCCTCTTGACGTCACCGGCGCGCGCCGTCCTCACCCACCCGCAAGATGGCGGCGCCCTGGTGGGTGAGTTAAAGTCAGGGAAGGCGATGAGGCGGAGCGATGATGAAGGGGGAGGGCTTGAGAGGGCGGCGGGATGGAGCTCAGCCCCCGGGGGGGAAGGGTGTGTGTGTGTGTGTGCATGGCAGCCTTTCCCTCCCTCCCCCTCCACGATCTGCTTCACAACAGCCCCGCAGGGTAGGCTAGGCCGGGGTCAAAACGGCGCTTTCCAACTTGGGAGTGCCGGACTTGGATTCTCGAAGGTGGCTGGGGATGATGGGGGTGGTAGTCGCAACTTGGCAAAGAATTGGGCGGGGGGGTTGGACTAGATGACCTACAAGGTCCCTTCCAACTCTTGTTAATCTGTAATTATCGCCTGAGGTGGGCACAGGGAGGCCTCGAACCATTGACAGGCGCAGCTCTGTCTTCTGAATCCTGTTAAAGACAGCTGGGCTTGTGATGTGGGGCGCACCATTGTGGCACCGTGTGCTTCTTTAAAAGATTTGATTTTTCTCTCCTAGGGATGATCCGAACAGAGGAGGGAGCTTTCAGCCTTGAGAGTCCCTGCATTTGAAACGCCCCGGACAGCTGTGGAGATCCTTCTCTTGCGAGACGTAACTGGCCGACCGTCACCATGTGGAACCAACCGGTTCTGGTGGAATCGCTGGTGGTGTTTGCCATCGTGCTTTGCGTGCACAGCGTGGTCTGGGACCGCTTCTCGTGGTCCGCTCTCGTCCTCGCCGTCCAAGCCTTCTACATCCAGTTTAAGTGGGACCATCTCCTTCGTCTGGGTGGGGCTGTATTCCAGTTCCGGACCACGGCCAACAGCGGCCTCCTCCCCTCCTGCATGGTTATCCCTCTGCTGGGCATCGTGATGAAGGAAAGGTGTCGAGTGGCTGGCATTGTGTACTTCGAGCGCTTGGGCATTGTCGTGGCCTCCACCGGCATGATGATCGCCCTCTTCCTGTCGGTGATCGCCTTGGGCATTACCAAGCCGGTGCCAACGAACACCTGCGTGCTGTCCGGGATTGCCGGGACGCTGATCATCTACACCATGAAACATTCCTTGACCGTCTCCGAAGTGATCGAAGTGTTGGAGGTGTTGCTCATTTTCGTCTACCTCAGCATGATCCTGCTGTACCTGTTGCCTCGGTGCTTCACCCCCGGGGAAGCCCTGCTGATCCTCACCGGCCTGAGTTTCGTCCTTAACCAGCTCATCAAGCGCTCTCTGAACATCAGCGAGAACCGAGGGAGTCCCGTGGAGTTCTTCCTCCTGGTCGTGGTGGTGGGAGTGGCCCTGCTCGGCCTCTCCTTCGCGGTGCTGTTTTTCTTCATGGATTCCACCACCTGGACCTCCTCCATGTTTTTCCACATGATGACCGCTGTCCTGAGCCTCGGCGTGGTCATGCCTTGGCTCTACCGCCTGATCCGCAGGAATCCCTTGATGTGGCTCTTCCAGTTGCTCTCCCAAACCCAGATCAGAATTCACCTGCTGTGCTACTGGGCCCTCCTGGCTGCTCTGGCCTGCGCGATAGTCCTCTACCAAAACGTCAAGCGGTCCTCCGGTTCTAAAAAACACCAAGCTTCAATCGTCACCCGGAAGTACTTCCATTTCATCGTGGTGGCCACTTATGTCCCGGGGCTGATCTACGACCGCCAACTGCTGTATGTGGCAGCAGTCATCTGCCTGGCCGTCTTCATTCTGCTCGAGTACGTCCGCTACTTCACCATCAAGCCCTTCGGACAGACGCTCCGGCAGTTGCTCTCGCTGTTCTTGGACGAGCGGGACAGCGGGCCTTTGATCTTGACTCATATCTACCTTCTGCTTGGGATGTCCTTCCCGGTGTGGCTGGTGCCGAGACCATGCGCCCCCAAAGGTGCCTTGACGGGGGCAGGAGCCCTGGCTCCCTACTCTGGGGTTCTGGCTGTAGGCGTGGGGGACTCTGTGGCCTCCATCTTTGGCAGCACGATGGGGGAAGTCAAATGGCCTGGAACCAAGAAAACCTTTGAAGGGACCATGTCGGCCATATTTGCCCAAATCATTGCGGTTGCCCTGATTGTGATTTTTGACAGTTCTGTGGACCTGAACGCCAGCTACTCCTGGATCTTGGTCTCGATTACCCTGGTGTCGTTTTTAGAAGCCTACACCACTCAGGTGGACAATTTACTCTTGCCTCTCTACCTCCACATCCTGCTAATGCTTTAGCTACCCTGGAAGGGGATAAAGTTTCTCTCCCCTCAGAGCGTAATCAGATACACCCATACTCTGTTTCTTTGGTGTCTTTGGCCCAGAATGGCAAAAAGCAACACCACGGCCTGTCCCTGTAAGTGATTGCACGTTCATTATTTAAAGCTGAAATATAATGAGGCTGTTCTTTGTGGTCTGTTTTTTTTTTCACAGCTTCTGCAGTATAATAAGCAGCAATTGCCACTCATACTGAGAGTAGCAATCCTCCAAGGGGTTGTTTTGTTCTTTTTTTTTTTAAACAGGAGGGGTTTGTTCAAGCAGTCAAAGGGCTGGACTTGAAGCCAGCCACCCCACGTTCTAGCCCTGCCTTAGGCACGGAAGACAGTTGGGTGACTTTGGTCCAGTCTGTCTCATCTCACCCCTTAGAAGAAGGAGGGAAGACAAACCAAAGAAATAAAGAGTTACTATTTTAACAAGACTGGTCAGGCTGATGCTGACAAAGCAGGAAGTGAAGCCCTAACTGATTTGAGACATCTCTGTTACAGGTTATTGGATAAATTTTAATTTTTCTGATCACTTAAGGATCGCGATCAGGATTGTGACATCAGCAAAGCGGGGCCTTTTTAAAATTATTGGGAGGCTATTCGAAGTAAAACGGGAGCCATTGGAGGTTTGAGACATCCATTTTGCCCATCAACAGCCCCCCATCCATGTATCTCTCCAAGCCAAACACAGTCCCATCCCAAGGATCTTGTAGAAGATGGCAGATCCTGAGCACCACAAAGAGGCAAGGTTTGGGGGAATCTTTCCTCCAGCTAGCTCGAACTGCAAATTTAGATAGCTCCTAACCCAAACTTGAAATTACAGGAAAATCAGAGATGTTTCTTAAAAGGGTGAGATATAAATCTATTCCATGCTGCTGAACTCTGAGATACTCTTACAAAGGTGTCGTCTACAGCAAATACATAATTGGAATTCCAGTCCACATTTTATTGCCTTTTTAACTTGCCTCTCCTTTCAGAACCCAGGAACAGTGCTTGTTCCCTTCATGTCTCCTTTTTCTTCACAAGGTCTCCCCGTGACGTTCATTGTTGAGCAAAAACTACTGCCTGACTTTCCTTGGTCAGGATCTGATGCTCTTTAACTCCACACCAAACTGATTTTTTTAAGCCTGAACAGACTCAGCAGATTCGGAGATGATGATGATGTGAAGCTGGAGCCAGAAATTCCTCAGCTACAGATGCAGAGCTGAAGATCAGCCCCCCTGCCGGTTCCCCAAAAGATATGGGGCTCCCAAAGCAGAGATGCTGTGGGTTTAGTTGCTCGTATACAGCGACGGGAAAGGCAGTTCCAGAGTTGGTTGAAGCCTGAAACAAGTGAAAAACACCGTTAAATGGCTCCTGAGCTCCCGTGCTACTGAAGCAACTGAAGTTGGGAAAACCCTGGCAGAGTGGCAGGACAAAGCCCTCCCATCCCTCTCCTTCCGCTTACCAGTTCTCGGTGCTCCAAACAGCGTCCTTGGCCTCCATCAGGTGGAAGGTGTAAACCTCGCGAGACTCCTGAGAACAGTTTGCTTCACTTTTGTGCACCACCTCGCCATGGATAAGGACCAAGTCCCCTGGTTCACCGTGAAAAGAGTGAAATCTACTGTCCAGCTGGAAGTAGCGTTTGACAGTTGGACAAGCAATCCTTGCCTTACAACCTACTTGCCTAGCGACCATTCAAGGTTGCAACCCACTTCCCCAGAGTTATTAAACACCCGTTTTGAAAGTTATGGCAGCCACACCTATCTCCTGCAGTGAGAGGATTGCGTTTTCGGTGCGTGGCAACCGGCTTGGCTTTGTGACTGTTTGCAGCATCCCACAGACACGTGATCACAATTTGTGGTTTTTTTTTTCCTGGTTTCTGGCCTTGAAAAAAATGTCCATTGGGGACGATGGATTCATTTAACGACTGCAGTGTTCACTTAAGAACCACCATGTTTAACAACTGCCACAAAAATATGTCAAACATCGGGTGGGCCATGTCATGCTTTGACATTTATTTAATTTTATTGATTCAATTTTCATGCCGCCCATCTCACCTACAAGTTGACTCTGGGCTCCTGGCAAGTTATAAAACAAGTAAAAAGATAGTTAACAGATTAAACCGACAGATTAAAATATGGCCGTGATTTATGATTTATAATTCCAAGTTCAGCTACAGTCATAAGCTGAGGACTCTCTGTAAATGCAAGCCAGTTGCCAGGCACCAGGAGTGAAATCACAATGACGATGGGGAATGCTGCAGTGGTCATAATTGCGAGGACGAGAAGTGTAAGCCACTTTATCCAGCACCGTTGTAACTTGGAACGATTGTTAAGCAAACGGTAGCAGTTTATTTATTAGAATTGCTTTTCCCAGAAGAGGGCAGCATATGGCCAATTTTGGCTGGTTTAGTTAAAGTAGGGATCAGGGCTGAGTTGCACTTGCATGGGAGATTAGCCAAAAATTGTGCAAGTGGGAAATCACAACTCTTTTCCCGGAGAAGCCAGGACGTGTCACTGACGTCACTCGTCAAGCTCAACTCCATAATTGCTTCTGTTTGGTAGAAGATTTCCAAGTCATTTGCCAAGGACTTTCAAAACAAAAATAAAACCAACCCATCTCTAAAACAGATGGTCCTCAATTTACGACCACAATTGAGTCCAAAATTTCTGTTGCTAAGCGAGGCAGATGCTAAGGGACTTCTGCCACATTTTGCAACCGTTCTTGCCACAGTTGTTGTTTGTTTTGTTTGTTTTATTAGATTTATATACCGCCCTCCTCCCGAAGGACTCAGGGCGGTGAACAGGCACAAAATAAAATACATAAATACAAAATTTAAAAGCTGAAATAAAACCAGATTAAACAATTTAGCCCGAGACAAATTTAAAACATCCCAATAATTTAAAAACAGATTTAAAATTTTCAATTTCAATTTAAATTTAAAAGAAAAGGGGAAAAAGGTTGTTGTTAAGTGAATCACTGAAGTTGTTAGTGACACTGTTTTTAAGTGAATCTGACTTCCCCATTGACTTTGCTTGTCAGAAGGTCGCAAAAGGGGATTACGTGACCCCCCCCCTCCCTCCCCCACCAGGACCATCATAAATATGAATCAACTGCCAAGCGTCTGAATTTTGATCATGTGACCACTGGGGCTGCTGCAACGGTTCTAAGTTTGAAAAATGGTCATAAGTCACTTTTTTCAGGGCTGTCGTAACTTTGAACGGTCACTAAACAATTTTTTTTTAGCTCAAGGACTACCTGTAACGGTTTGGTTTCTTCCATTCTATGGTGGGAAAGACCTAGATTTAAAATGGGTCTAACTCAGGGGGGGTCTCTAAATTTGGCAACTTTTAAGACTTTTGGACTTCAACTCCCAGTGGCTGGCTGGGGAATTCTGGCAGTTGAAGCCCAAAAGTCTTAAAAATCACCAAGTTTGGAGACCCCTGATCTACATGATGGAATTTTAGGCACCCCTCATCTGTGTGCCCCAGTCCTGACCCCCAAATTATGTTTCCTCCTCCAGGAGAAGAGAACCAATTTCCCTCCCTAACTTATTCTTCGGATGTGGCTCAGCCCACTTACGATTTTTCAGCGGTGCCACCTTACCTTTGCCCGCTGGCACAGGGACAAACTGGCAGTCTTCATACACTCGCTCGGTGCCAATGAAATCGGTGCAAGGAATCGTCCCAGGGGGAGTTCGGACCATCCGCCGCGTGATGCCAGCTGGAAAGCAAATCGGGAGGGTGAGCTTTAGGGGCTCCCTTTGATTTGATTCATTCATTTTATTTCTTAAATTGATACCCGACTCGCAGCAGTTCTCAGCATCTTCATGTCTTACTTGTATGTGAGCCGGGAACAAACCACAAACAGCCATTTTCTTGGGTGGCATTTTCCAGAGCGATCCAGAACCCCGTCACTTTGCCCAAAGGGGTTGTGTACAGAAAAGTGGCATCCTGATGTGGCGTCACTGAAAGGAGCAGAGAAGACACGTGAAGTCATCCTTGCGTTCAAACCCTAAGCGGTTTGTTTGCAAAACTCCAATAAGCTGGCTTCAAACAATCCAATTTGGGTCCTTAAGTGTATGAAATACCCACAATTTTCTACGTCCCGTCCCCAGAATCAGTGGGACTCTCCCAAGGGTTGGGGTGGGTCATGGGATCAAAGGAACAGGCTGAGCAGCATGGTGACTTTCACTCCCTTTCCTGCAGGGGACAATGGGAGTTGCAGTCCAACATCTCCAGGGCAGCCCCCATGGGAAAGAGTTAGAGGAAAGGTCATACAGCAAGAAACTCACCTTCCCCACCAATGCCCGGTTGCTTTAAAACAAGTAAAAGAAAAAAGACTATTAAACCTGAAAGGGAAAACTGATTTTTGTTTTTAATTCATCCATTGCAGTAATAATGAGTTTCTGGTTTGGGGAAAGAATTGGACTAAATGGTCTCGGGGGGTCCCTTCCAAGCCTTAGAATGTGGGAGTCTAAGGCTGGGTTCACGTACCTTGAAGATGTACATGCTTTGCACTACCACGGGATTCTCCAGACCCAAATTTCTTGCTAAAGCCTGCGGAATGTCCCAAAATGTAAGAAAATGTTAATTTTCTATGCTTTTCCCTTGCAGCCTGAGAACGTGCTTCCTTCCAACATTTTGCCAATTAAAGCAGAGTTAAAAGCACTTTCCCCCCCTCTCACTCAGAGATGGGTTACCAACATTGGTTAAACGATCAGTTCTTTGAACCATGGTTTGTTAACCAAATCATCATGGCAGTAAAAAACTTACATCGCCTTGTAAAAGCCCCAATAGCTGGATTTAAAACCAACCCCAGCATGCAACTCCCTGTAGGTTCTTGGCCTACTTTGCAGGCTGCTGTGAAGGACTAAATGAGCAGGGAGGCAGAGCCGATGCCAGTCCATTCCCTGTCTTATAACCAAAGGAAGGAGAGGCTTCTGGTGTTGGCTGGGATTTGCTCTTTTTACAACAGCCCTGCAGGGTTGACCAGGGCTCAACTCACCTGCACTTTGGCTGTGTGGGTCATTTGCTTGAAGACGGGATCGTAGGCATGTAGCGCTAGAATTAATAATAATCATTGTACTGATATAAGAATCATTTTGATTATAATGGTATAGGTGTAATAAATTTGCCTTATCAATAAGTCACATGTGCGTCATATAAATAAAATAAATTAACCATCATAAGTGCTATTTATTGAAAATCCTATCAAAAGTCAGGTAATAATTGGCTCAAACTTGCCAGGGAGAAAAATTCTCTTATCACACCTAGATGGGTATACTGTGTATACATGTACAATGACAATAAAGTTGTTGTTATTATTATTATTACTTTTAGTAAGTTGCAAACTCATTACAGGTAGTTCTCGACTTATGACCAGAACTGAGCCCAAAATTTCTGTTGCTAAGTGAGACATTTGTGAAGTGAGTTTTGCTCCATTTTACGACCTTTCTCGCCACAGTTGTTAAGGGAATCCCTGCATTTGTAAAGTCAGAGACACGGTTGTTAAGTGAATCTGGCTTCCCCGTTGACTTGGCTTCGCAAAAGACACCCTGCCATCCGTCATAAATATGAGTCGGTGTCTGAATCTTGATCACGTGACTGTGGGGATGCTGTAAGTGTGGAAAATGATCATAAGTTACTTTTTTCAGTGCCTTTGTAACTTTGACTTACGATATACTTTCGTAAGTCGAGAGCTACCTGCACACTGTCCTTCCATTTTTTTTCTAACTTGCATTAACTATTTCTTCGGGAAAGGGATTTCCGGGTAGCCCTTTACTTACCGTGACCAATTTTATTGATCGATTTCTCCTTTGGAACCAGAAAGTCCCCTGCAAATTAAAAAATCTGGGTTTAAAAGGACAAGACAACCACCAGATTGCACAAAACAGGGGTGTCAAGAGGCCTTAGGGAGAACAGTACCTTTCGTATCAAAAACTCCTTTTTCGAAAAAGAATCTGATTTTGTCTCCGCTGTTGAGGAAATATTCCGCCGACCCCTGTCAGAAACCAGGTTAAAATATCAATATTAGCCTAGGGTCTCAATAATTTCATATTCGTAGATGTTTTATATTAAAGTCATCTATATACAACAAGGGACGTAGTGGCTAAGACGCTGAGCTTGTCGATCGAAAGGTCGACAGTTCAGCGGTTCAAATCCCTAGTTCCGCATAATGGGGTGAGCTCCCGTGACTTGTCCCAGCTTCTGCCAACCTAGCAGTTCAAAAGCACGTAAAAAAAAGTTACTATATGTATACTACAGGTAGTCCTCGACATATGACTGTAATGGAACCGGTCCATTCCTGGGATGGTTGAAAGGTGGGTCACCCACATGGCCTACCTGATGTTATGACCTTTTTTCCAGCAGTCGTTAAGTGGATGGTTGCCATAAAGCAAATCCGTTGTTCTTGCGGGCTGTTTTTGCTGAAAGTTTGACCAGTCGCTTAAATGACCGGTTGTAAGTTGAGGGCTACCTATAAAACTCTTGTATACCTTTATCTGGGTGTGCATGGTAGGGCAACCATTTTTTGAATCAAGGCACCTCAAAGGGGTTCACTTACAGAACGCTTCTGAACTCTGGAACCCAGGATTCCCATGGGATTTGAAAATTAGCCAGTTTGGTAAAACATTTTAATGACATCACAATCATACGAAATGCCATAAAACGTTTGCTGTGGTCAGCTGAGGCTGTTGGACTGCACTGTACAGTTCAACCTGGACTACTTTCAAGGCAGAGCCATGTCTGACTATCTCCCCGAATTTTTAGGAAACTTTTCTGGTAGATTACAAGGGCTGCCCTTGTGGGAGGCATTGAGGACAGCTTTTCTGCTTCCGAAATAAAATCTCCGCATTCAGCTACGAAATCCTTGAAGCGAGAGTTGTGAACGGAACTGAAAGGTGACCCCAGAAGTCGCCCACCTGGGCCTGGAGTTGTTCCGACTGCTGGGTTGAAAACTCGGTGCGGCAGTGAGCTGGCACGTCCATAGACACGATTATCTTTCGGATCTGGGCCCTCATGGCGTCGCATTCTTCCAGGCTGAAGAACCGTTCGAGGACCAAGAAGCCCTCCTGCTGGAACTACAGAACAAGTTGGAGAAGGTATTTAGACCGGTGGTTCTCAACTTTGGCTACTTGAAGATCAGTGGACTTCAATTCCCAGAATCCCCCAGCCTGCACAGCATTAGACACGGGTGGGATTCGGACGGTTCAGACCGGTTCGGATGAATCGGATGCTACTTTTACATCTGGTTTGCCAAACCGGTAGTGGCAAGGATTGGCTGGCCCTGCCCACCCCTCCCAGGAGTCTCCACGTGGCCCATTTTGGATGCCAGGTAAGTGGAGCGCCCACACGGAGGCTCTGGGAGGGCAAAAAATGGGCCTCCTGGAAGTTCTGGAACTCTGGAAATGGGCCTGTTTCTGGCCTCCGGAGGGCCTCTGGAGCCTGGGGAGGGCGAAAATGCCTCCCCTACCGTGGTGCAGGAGGCTGAGCAGGCCACGCCGACCCGGCAACTGGGCAAAGAACCTACAATTTTTGAATTCCACCCCTGATTAGACACCTGGGGGGAGGTATCTTCAGACAGGTGGAGGTATGGAAGGTCAATCCAATCCCAACCTGACATCTCTGAGCGATTTAGATTGACCCATTGAGTTTGATCCTACTGGAAAACCCTCTCCTCCTCCTCTGGCGCTCATGAGCCATGAACTTGGTCACAGACATAGAACAACAGGCTTGGAAGGGACAAATGGGGGCAAACCTCACTTAACAACCGTCTCACTTAGCAACAGAAATGTTGGGCTCAGTTGCGGTCATAAATTGAGGACTGCCTGTATTTATCATAGAATTTATTTGCAAAAAGAAAAAAAAATCTTGCTAGGAAACTAATGGCACCTTGCTTTCATTTAAAGAGCTGGTGGGTTGCCCTTTATAGAAACTAAGCAGATTATCTCCTCTAGATTTTGGATTTAAGGACACAGAGAGAGGCTGCAGAAATCACTGCAAGTCGTATGTAGAAAATCAATAAAAACGATTTGTAATCTTAGCAAAGAATTGGGGGGGGGGAAATTTCCTGCAATCAATAGGATTTCTTCGCATGTTTTAATTTTTCCATTTTTAAAACTCCAGTAGTGTATTAAAATAGTATTTTAGTGCTTAAGTATTCTATTCATTAAGGGAATTTAAAGATATAGTGTATGATCAAATTAAGACAACCAGCTTCAGATATTTAAAAGTATTTTAGTATTTTAGCTGATTTTTTTTCTTCTTGTGGTCTTAGGATCAGCATCCATTTTTATTGACTATCAGTTTCCAGAAACTCTTTTCTGCATTTTTATTTAAGATGTGCAATTTTAGTAAAACTTTTATTTTCCAAAGAAAAGTTGCTGCCTCCCCAGGGCTGCAGCTGTGAATCCAAACTTTACAATTATTTTTTTTTCACAGAACCAGAAACGACTCAAGAGGCACTGGGTATGAGCTGGGCAGCCAGATCACTCTATTTCATTAATAAAGAAATAAAGTTCTCGGTGCGTTTCGTTTCTCTGCTCCCTTCGCTTCTTACCTTCGAGAGTTGCTCTTGGCTGACGGGGGCCATTGAAACTGAACGAGTCACTTGTTAAAGCAAACGGTGCCCCTGTGTCCAGTTAGCTCCATGTCCAGGGATCAACCTTCCCCTGCTAAGCTGGGCGGGTCAGTTCACCGTCATGTGATAAAACTGCAAAGGACAAAGACATGGCATGACCCCAGCTGATTCTGGAGGCCCCTGCAGTGGACTTTGGCATTGGACATTTGTCCCATAGCCCAGAAGCCCCCGCAGATCGAGTTTCATTCTTTTCAGACAGCTAAAGGAGGAGGTGGAAATTTTGGCACAAAGATGAAAAGATTCAGGGAAGGGAAGGGACAAGGAAAGAAAGAAAAAAGAGAGTGAGAAAGAAGAAAGGAAAGAAGAAAGAAAGAAAGAAAGAAAGAAAGAAAGGAAAGAAAGAAAGAAAGAAAGAAAGAAAGAAAGAAAGAAAGAAAGAAAGAAAGAAAGAAAGAGGAGGGAGGGAGGGAGGAAAGGAGGGGATGAAATAGATTAGAATCCTATCCTATCCTCATAATATTAATATTAAAATACAGCTCAACAGTCTGGGATGGTCAATTTTTCATCATGTGCTGAAAGTTCATCACACACCTTTCATGGTTTTTTTCTTTTTATTAGAGTTTTTTTTAAATCCTGCCTTTATTACTTTATAAGTAACTCAAGGTGACAAATATATCCAACACATCTTCCTCCTCCTCCTCTTCTGCACAACAGCCCTGTGAGGTAGGCTGGGCCGAGAGAGAATGACTGACCAAAGTTACCGGGCCAGTTTTCCTGGCTAAGGTAGGACCAGAACTCTAGAAGTCTTCTAGTTTCTTGCACTGTTTATCCAGTTATACCTTCTGAAACGATGTCTTTTTAAAATAGATTTTGAAAAAAAGGAAAATAAATCTTGGACAAGAGGCAATTCTTAACTCACCCAACATTTCAGCAATTATTAAATAGGCACTTTTAATCTTTACTAGGCTGGTTGGCCTAGTAAAATAGAGGAAAACAGCTCTATTTTATTATTATTATTGGCCTTTCTATATATTCAGATAGGTCTAAAGGTGAAAGTATCGGGCTAGAAAACGGGAGACAGCGAGTTCTAGTCCTGATTTAGGTATGAAAGTCGGCTGGGTGACTTTGAGCCAATCACCAGGAGATGGGTGAGTTCTTCCTAATATTCCTATTTTCCCCACAACAATCCTGTGAGGTGGGCAGGGCTGAGAGAGGGACTGGCCCAAAGTCACTCAGCTGGCTTTCATGCCTAAGGCAGAACTAGAACTCACAGTCTCCTTGTAATTTTGGCCGTCACCCAGCCAAGACTAAGGCTGGACTAGAACTCACCACCCACCTGGTGATTGACTCAAAAGTCTCCAATTGGCTTTCATACCTAAGGTGGTACTAGAACTCACCATATCCTGGTGACTGGCTCAAAGTCAACCAGCCTGCTTTCATGCCTTAAAGCAGGACTAGAACTCACAATCCCCCAGTTTCTAGCTTGGTACCTTAACCACTAGACCAAACTAGCTCTGATCCCCCTAAGATTTAAAAAAAAGGAGAGAGCAGAGGTTCCTTTTTGGCCTCCCCTTTTGTTCTCATTGGAATTTCCTTAGGACTACCAGAAAATCAAATTTAAACTCCCCCCCTCCCCGTTTTGATTCAGGGAATTATACAGCAAGCTCTGGAGAAGTGGACTTGGCCTTCAAAAGAGACTTGTTCAAGTTTCCCCCGTTTCTTGGACACTCCCTAAATTTAAGACAACCAACCCACCCTCCCAGGAAGCTTGCAATCCCAGGAAAACTTGGCTGGGGCGGATGGGAGTTGGAGTGCAGCATCCCCCCCGCCCGAGGCCATCCTCGGGCGCTTCCCAGGCAGTTGCCCCCCTGCCAGTATTCCCCAAATACCCAGGAGACTGGATTGACGTGCCAGATCTTGAGAGAGATAAAAGCCGATCGGTTCTGACCTGCGCAGTTACCTTAAGAGCATCTCTGGAGAAAGACGCCGCCAGTCAGCCGATTCACCTGGCTGAAGATCTTCCAGGCAGCTGGAAGTGGGGAGAAGGCAGGAAAAAGAAAAAGAGGGCAGAACCAGTGTGGAGATCGGAGAAGCTGGGACTTGTTCCCCCACATTCCAGAGAGATGGAGACGGAGCCAAGTGCGAGAAAGTCGCTGGGCCAGTTTTTCTCCCTCTTTGCTAACAACTTTTCTGTTGTTATTTTTTCCCCCGACTCGCTCCTCATCAAGTCTCCCCAGTGTAGTGCAAACTAGGAAACCAGGAGTCCTGCATGCTGCAAATACTGCTTTTATTGTTAAGGCTGCAGTTGCAGAAGCTTGCAGGTTTGAATATGCTTCTCCCCTCCCTATTTGCCTTTCAGATACTAGGGAGGGTCTTGTCCGAGACGCTTCCTCGGGTTACGGTTTTGGCTCAGGCTCAAGATTTCTTTTCTCCGACAAGTCGTCTTGCTGGTGGCTCTTCCTCCCGTTCTTCCAAATTATTCCTTCTGTCCACGATAGACAGATGGACAGTCGGATGATAATAGATTGGTAGATAATGGTTAGATGACCCAGAGAAGACGACAGGTTGATGACAGTAGAGAGAGACAGAAGCAGGGAGAGCATCTGTCTGGAACGGTATAGAGTTAAAGTGGCCAGGTTTGGAGACCCCTGGTCTAAGCCAACGTTAACATCATGGCTTGCAATGGTTGTTAAGTGTGAAAAAGGGTCGTAAGTCCCCTTTTTCTCAGTGCTGTTGTAACTTCAAATGGAACACTAAATGAATTGTCGTAAATCAAGGAGTACCTGTACTAGAAGAGTTAAGCACATCAGGGAAACCTGTGCGGTCCCCATCCATCCCATTTTTCTAGGACCGTGATTTAAAGCAGACCAAAGACCCGTCACTTTGTGAGGATTTCCAAGAGTAGCTTTATTTTAAACACGAACAATGCCTGGATAACATCGCTTTGGGCGTTGGTAGCATTGCCAGCCTGCAGAAATCCTTCCTAATACGGCGGACGGAGGCAGCAAGGAAGCTTGCAATGGCTCTGTCCAATTGGCTGCTGAAAAAGGGGGAGAAGGGAGAAAAAGACGGGGGTGGGCGGGTGTCCCCCATCTCTCAGGAATTGGCCAAGACCAACCTGCCAGCAGCAGAGGTGCCCCAAGGGATGGCTACCAACCTTCGGCTGTTCTACCCTTCTTCACAGATCTCAGCCTATGCAATTCATTTCCAGCGGAATGGAGCAACTCTCTTCCAGATACGATATTTTAGTTTTAAGCTATATTAATGTATATATTTGTGTATATATATATATATGTGTATATATATATTGGAACTGCACATTCAGTAAGTCCCAGTCCTTCTGGATAGGGTGAGACTGTGACTCCATCCTGGCCGAGAACCTTGGGAACTTAATTCCTTGCTCCTCTGGCAGGTGCAATTTTCCAGTTGCAAACAAGAGATGGAAAGTTTAGGCCACGTGTGTGTGGGGGGAGCGCACAGGGGTAAAAAATAATAATAATTCATTTTTCACTAGGACAGGCGTGCTGGACAATAGTGCAAATTCGACTCCTTCCTCGCTTCCTCACGAAGAAATGCGTCCCTCCCCTCAAACCTCGCAACCAACTCCACCTCTCCCCAACCCCTGCCCTGAATTTTCGGCCACGCCTTTTTTAAGACTTGGTGCTGCGTCGAGCCAGATCACGGAGGCAAAATACCTGTCTCTTTGGACAACCGAGGCTTCAAAAATGAAAACAGACCAGCTGTTATTTTTTTTTTAAAAAAAAGCCATAAAGGGAAGAGGGAACATTGACGGAGTCTTAAATCTCATGGAAAGATGCTGGTAGCAGGTTACGCATGTTAAGGATTCTGGTTTAGTGTTTTGACCCCAGTTCCCCTCAACTGTAGCCGTGTTTTAAGTCTTATAAGGAATGTCAAGCGTCAGTTTAAAAATTAAACTGAATTTCTCCTGCCCACCCCAGCGTTGAATGTTTCTGCAACTGCTAAGACTGTTTTTTCTTTTTTCTTTTAACGGAAAAATACAGGCTGGCATCCTTCAACGTGGAAATTCTTTGATCTCACACTCTTCTGTCGGAACCAAAGCCATCAAGATTTGGGGAAATCTCAAATTTGGGGGTGGGGGGGAAACTCCAGGACGAAGGGGGGCTGGGTGGGGTAAGTCAGACTTTTGCAAATAGGATTCTAAAGTAAAGTACTTTTTTTTTTAAAAAAAAAAATGCCACTGTGGGGAAAAAAAAAGAAAAATGAAGGCTGGATCTTCTCCGATCCATTCCTTGGAGAGGGTCATTGCTGGGAGTTAGGATTGGACTTGGGGCAACGCGTAGCTGGACAGCCGGACGCCATTCTTCCCTTCGGATGGGGTGCAGCACTCAAGGACGGTCCCAACCACACGAAACAGCAGCGGAATCAGGCTCTCTGCCCCAACACACAGCCGAGCACGCCAGCCCCAGTCTCCTTTCTAGCAGGGAGGGGGACGGGGACCAGTTCCCACTTCCTGCCCCGCAGAGAGCCACGGACCAAGATCCCTTCCTTCCCCAGTCTCTTCTGCTCCTCCTCTCCTTCCTGAAGCAGGGAAGAGTCTCGTTTTCCCAGCCACTCCTGATCCTTCTGGGCTGTCAGTCAGGGAGCCATGCCCCTCAGCATGAGGGTCTCCAGAGCAGGGGGCCAGGGGAAGCGGGGGGTATGTGAGTCCAGGGTCCCCTGGAACCCCCTTGGTCAGAGACGGGAAACGGGCGAGCCTGCAGCTCCCCAGCTCAGCGGAATCAACTTCGTCCGGCAAGGCTTCAAGCTTGCTCTTTGTCCGCCCTCCAAAGCCTCTCCTTGACCTCCAAGGGCAGCGTGTTGAAAAGGTCCTCCTCTACCACCAGCCCACTGCGCTTCAACAAGGGGCAGTCGCCCAGCTCCACCGGCAGGCACTCCAAGCGGTTGCCCCGCAGTTCGATCTGAGACAGGTTGGTCAGCTCGCCCACCCGGGATGGCAGCGACTGCAGGACGTTGTTGCCCAGGTGTAAAGTCCGTATTTTCCGGCATTGGAACAGCTCGGCGGGGAGACCCTCGATCTGGAGGGAGGAAACAAGGAAATGAAATAAATAAATGGCTCTGCTGCTTAGACAAGGGAACGAAGCTGGTTTGCAGAGAAGGAAGGTTAAGAGGCGGGGGGGGGGGCAAGCTTTACCCACAACAGTAGAATCAGAAAACAACAGAATTGGAAGAGACCTCGGAGGTCATCTAGCCCAACCCCGTTCAAGCAGGAGACCCGATGATCCCATTCTGGACAATCTCTCCTTAAAAACCTCCAGTGACAAAGCACCCACAACTTCTGGAGGTGAGCCCTTCTGCGGATTTCTCCCTGCTGTACAGGTAGTTCTCAACTTATGACCACCATTGGAACTGGGCTTGCCGTTGCTAAGCGAGGCAGTGGTTGAGTGAGTCACACTCGCCTTTTCATGGTTTTTGCAGCCTTCCTTTGCCAGGGTGGTTCAGCAAAGTCACTGGCAGTTGTTAAAAGGAAGGGTGCAGTTTATAAGCGAAACTGGCTCCCCTCCACCCCGCAGACTCTGCTTGCCAGTTGCCAGGCACCCAAATTTCGATTGTGTAATGCTGTGCTGGTTGTTAAGTTCGAGGACCAGTCATAACTCACTGTTTTTCCCCAGGGATGTTGTAACTTCGGCAATGAAAGAAACGGCTGTATGTTGAGAACTACCGTAGGGGACGATTAGAAGAAATACAGCCCGTATTTTCCATTGGGGGGAGAGGAAATGGAAGACTTCAGGGGCAAAACTCATGCCTTAAAAAGCTTTAAAAACTTTTAAGACACTCACCGGAGCTGTTAAAACTCCCTTGTGAGACCTTCTGACGAGCAGAGTCAACAGGGAAGCCAGATTCAACCGTTTCTCGCCACTTTCTTTTTTCTTAGCAAGAAAATACGGCTTTTAAAACCTTTCTTTCTCTGTCTCGTCTTGGGAGACAGCCTCCATCCTCTGCTGAAGCTGGCCTTGGGAGTTGGAAGGGAGGGAAAATAAATTGTTTCCAAGCAAACAAAGCAGGGCCTAGAAAACAGGAAGAGCCTCCAGGGAGGGGAGACAGCTACAAGGGTCCGTAATTAATCTATTGCTGCTTTGTTGTCATGGAGTTAATGAGATCAACATATCATTTGTGGGAGCCACAACAGACACCTTTCGAGGAGGAGGAGGAGGAGGAGGAGGAGGAGGAAGCTTGATTGTTTTCCGAAGCAGCATTTTGCTAAATTCTGCAATGGAAAAGCAAGGGGGAAAAACCCCCAAGCGGCAATGAAAGAATACGTTTTGAGACGAAAACTCAAGATTTTGCAAAACTTTTTAAAACAGCGGGAGACGGAGGAGGCAGACGGCCAGGAAGGGAAGTGGGTGGGCGAGAGAGACGCGTATATTTGAAGGAGAAGCAAAGAAAAATATCCACCAGGCATTTTAGTATCCGGAGTTCATAAATCAAGCGAACTGATTTAGGGCAGGGAGTGGAAATTTTTTTTTTTTTTTTAAAAAAAGCTGACTTTAACATTTTAATTGCAAGTGTTTCCTTTTTAAAAAAAAATAAAATAAACAAACACCTTTCTTTTGCCCCGAATATTTGGGTTTGGAAACATTGAGGGGAAATACTCATAATAAACATAATAATAAAAGAAGCAACAAAGTTGTTGGTTAGGTCTAGTATTTAAGGCTAGAAAGCGGGAAGCCCCGAGTTCAAGTTCTGCTTCAGCCATGAAAGCCAACTGGGTGACTTGGAGCCAATCACCAGGAGACTGGGAGTTCTAGTCCCGCCTTTGGCATGAAAGCCAGCTGGGTGTCTTTTGACTACCAGGAGTCTGGGAATTCCAGTTCTGCCTTCAGCAATAGAGCTACTTGGGTGACTTTGGGCGGGTTCCTCTCTCTTAGCCCAGCTCACCTCACAGGGTTGTTGTTGTGGGGAAAACAGGGGGAGAATGTGTCCACCACCTCAGTTATTTTTAAAAGAATAGGTGGGATACAGATGAATAAAAATAAAAGTACAAAACTCTTTAAGGAATTAAGGCCCAAAGGTCCAGCTCTGAGAATAAAGTACATTAGAAAAGAAAAAGGCAGACTGACGGGAAAAGATTTCTTTAGGGTAACTTTTGCAATTACAAAAACCCAAATGGTCTCGCTTCATCCTGAGTCCCTCATCACCCCAAAAACTAGCCCTTACCTACAAAACCACCTTTATTAATCTCCTGTTTGTCCTATGTATGTCGTGGCTTTTTCAGACTGTAGGACTGCCAGTTCCCAGACTGGCAGCTCCAAAAACAGCCAGAGATTGCCAAATTAGAGAAACCAATTTGCAGGAGAAAGATTTGCTAGAACTTTTAAAGTCTTTCTTTCAAAAAAAAAGGGGGGGGAATGAAACCCTTTCCGTGAACAAAAGAACCCCTCCCATCGCTGGTCAGCCTCGTGAGAACTGGAGTTTTGCCCAGAACAGGGGAAATGAAAAGGAAAGGAAAGAAATGAGCCTTTTTGATTAGTTGCAAAACAATTTCCATCAGCTGCTGTTCCTCTTCTTTTCTCTTCGCGAAGAGTAAAAGAAAGAAATCCATTTTTTGGGGAGGGAAATCGTAAAGACATGGGCAGCACTGCCCTGTCCCTTAAAAGAAATAAATCAAGGGGATTTTTTTCCAGGTGGGGAGTGATTTTGTGGAGGGTTTTGTACTAAGGAAGGAGCTGACCCCGGCACTTGAAAGAGGTACAGGCAGTCCTCCATTTACCACCACAACTGACCCCCAAATTTCTAAGCAAGGCAGTTGCTAAGTGAGTTTTGCCCCATTTCCAAACTTTTTTGGCCACATTCATTAAGTGAATCATTAAGTCACACGGTTGTTAAGTGAGACTGGCTTCCCCCTTTGACTTTGTTGATATGATCCTGGGACGCTGCGACTAATATTGCATATTAAATTTAATACTTAAAAAAAAAAAAATTAAAAGAAGAAAAAAGTCATAGGAGGTGGAGCCTAACCTTCCGACACTTTTAAAGAAAGAAATAAAAATTATCAAGGTAATGAAGATAACAACGTCATGACCAGTAACTGTCGTTAGTCAGTTTTGTTAATGGTGGCCTGATGCCGGCACAGAATCCCCATGAAATGAGAGTTATCTCATAGTGGTTAAAAATACAAAGGCAAAAAAAAAATAAAAATCCCCGGATTAAATTTAATCCTGGCCTGCTGCATGAAATAACAAGCTTTCTTTTTTTTTAATCTTGACAAGCCCTTTCGTTCGAAAAGACCTCTAGCGAGGCTGTTCCCTGATAAATCCACTTTAATCGTGCCAAAATCTTATTTACTTTTGCAGCAGCAGCTCTGATAAAGTGGCCGGTTCATGCTTCTGGGTAGCTTTGTCCCGTTCTCTTTTTATTTTAAGCTCTCAACAAGTAAACAGAGCCCAAAAGGTACACAGAGCTGTGTTATTTCAGCTCACTGCTGTTCGTGTAATTGTCAAGCCTGAAACTAAAGCCCTGTATTATATATATATCTATATATGTTCTTAAAAGGGATGCGGTGGCTCAGTGGCTAAGACGCTGAGCTTGTCGATCAGAAGGTTGGCAGTTCAGCAGTTCGAATCCCTAGCGCCGCGTAACAGGGTGAGCTCCCGTGACTTGTCCCAGCTTCTGCCAACCTAGCAGTTCGAAAGCAGGTAAAAATTGCAAGTAGAAAAATAGGGACCACCTTTGGTGGGAAGGGAACAGCGTTCCGTGCGCCTTTGGCGTTGAGTCATGCCGGCCACATGACCACGGAGACGTCTTCGGACAGCGCTGGCTCTTCGGCTTTGAAACAGAGATGAGCACTGCCCCCTAGAGTCGGGAACGACTAGCACATATGTGCGAAGGGAACCTTTACCTTTATATATGTTCTTAACTGCAAAATCCACACAGGATTTTATTGCGAAACGCACCCGCAACAAGCACACACCCCCTTTCCTTACCCTGTTGGCCGTCACCGCCAAGTTCTGCAGGTTCTGCAGCGCCCCGATTTCCGCCGGTATGCAATTCAAGAGGTTGTGGCTGAGATCCAGATAGCGAAGTTTCCGGCAGAAGAAGAGCTGGGTGGGCACCTTCTCAATCTTGTTGCGGTTCAGGTAGAGGCGCTCCAGGTTGGTAAGGTTGCCGATCTGCACGGGGATGTAGGCAATTTGGTTGTACCAGAGTTTAAGGCAGGTGAGGCGATGGAGGTGCTGGAAGCTGATGATCTCCTCGATGGTCTTGAGGTTGTTGTCCTTGAGGTCGATCTCCTGCAGGTTGTGGAGGCTGAAGATGGAGTGAGGGATGCGCTCCAGGTCGCAGCGGATGAGCTCCAGCTCCGTCAGGTTGACCATCTTCTTCAGGCTGTTGAGGACCATGAGCTTGGTGCCTTCGTTGTTGATGGAGAGCTTCTGCAGATGGACGCCCACGTCCGTCACCACCTGGGGCAGCTTGGTCAGGTTGCTCTTCAGCCTCAGGACTTTGAGCCTCTTCAGCTCCCGCAGGCCGTCAATCACAATGTAGCGGTTGTTCTCGGCACTCAGGTTCCCCGTGAGATGAAGTTCTTCCAGGGTCTTCAAGCTGTAAATCCACAAGGGAATCTCCTTAATGTCCGTGAACTTGATGTGTAAGGATTTCAGGTTCTCCCTCAAGAAGGCCAGAGCCGGGGCCTCGATTTTAGCCGCCGTGTGGTACAGCCAGAGTTCCTTGAGGCTGGTGAGCTGGGCGATGCTGGGCGGGATGGTGACATCAGGAATGAGCTCCAGTTTCAAGACCTCCAGCTCAACCAGGTCGAAGACTGTGTCGGGAATACCGCTGAGCATGAACAGGTGCAGCTCCAGCTTGTCCTGGGAGTTCTTGGTGATTCTTTGGCGCAGCTTCTCCAACGTCCATTCGTTGTTGAGGTTCAGCTGCCGGAGCTTGTTTTCACTCACCTCCGAGAGGAAGACGGCAAAACGCTTGGAGTAGAGAGGGTCGTATTGGTCGATCAGGTGGAGCATGAAGGCGAAGTCGTTCTTGACGTCGGGAATGTCGCTGTAGCTGCTCTCCTCCCGGATGGACTCGAAGGAGTACTTCTTGAGGGATCTCCGGAGCATCCACCAAAGGGTGTACATGCAGATCAGGCCGTAGAGGACCACCAGGCTGATGTAGAAGGACGCCAAGATCTTGAAGAGGGTCGCCAGGGGGTGAGCGCAGCGGTACATGCGGTAGCCGGTCAGGCTCTCGATGTCCACTTTGCAATCGATGTCAAAGGTGATGTTGTTGACGTAGTAGACCGTGTAGCAAATGATGAGGATGAACTTGATGACCTTGATGATGGTTTGCCTCATGTAGAGGCGGTAGACAATGTCTCCTTCTTCCACGTGGGTCCGGAACTTCTTGACCTTCTCAAAGAGCGCTTTGGCTTGCTCCCCTTCCTTCTTGTCCAGGACGCCGTTCTCTGTACGGTCCACGATGCCTTGTTCGATCCGAGACTTGGTCCTTTGTAGCATCGGGGCGGTGGCTTCCACATCTTCACTGACGTTGGAAGACTTCTTCTCCATCGAGCCGTTCATCTTCCCGAAGGCCGGCTTAGGGTCGCTTTCCTCCACCACCGTCTCGGACAGAGCCCGCGTGGTCCACGGAGAGTCGAAGCATTTCAAGAGGATGGAGACAAAGTGCTCCAGCTTGGAGCTTGTCCTGGGGAATTTGAACCAGAAGTTGCTACAAGCCAAGAAAATCAGGGTGTGCAGCAGGACGAGGTAGGGGAAATATTTGGCAAACCAGTGAAGGCGGTTTTCGTAACACACGGCATCCACGTAGTTATATTGATGACGGTCGAGATCGTATTTGATCCCGGTGGGCCCAGGGTCCAGGGGCGTCCCCAGGGAAGCATTATAGTATCCGGAGTCCAGGTTTGTAGCCGTCCATTCGCGGGAAGAATCGTTGCAAGCGTCTTTGGTGACCCATTTGCAAGGCAAGCAAATCATTTTGTCCTGGGTGACCTGGAGGGTCCCACCAAATACCGCGATCATTAGCATCACGATGGAGATGTAGTCCGTAAAGACGTCCCACCAGGGCTTCAGAATGCGGTACGCCGGCTGGGTATCGGCAAAGTAGCGCAATTCCGTGACAGGAATCATGGCTCACCTGAAAGAGAGAGAAAACCATCAGCAGGTGTGACCAACATACACAAGGAAGAGTTATTTGGCCTTCAAAGTGTTGTGAATCCCGCTTACCACATTTATTAATTCAGCATATGGCATAAAACAGGGGTCCCCAACCTCTGGGCCACGGCCCACCTCCGGGCCTCGAGTGGACCATGGAAGTGGTGGCTGAGCACACATCTGTTAGCACAGACTATCATGTCAGGCGTAGTCCTTCTCTTCGTTAGACTAGACAAACCCAATTCCTGTAACTGTTCTTCATAGGTTTTAAGGTAAAGGTAAAGGTTCCCCTCGCACATACGTGCTAGTCGTTCCCGACTCTAGGGGGCGGTGCTCATCTCCGTTTCAAAGCCGAAGAGCCAGCGCTGTCCGAAGACGTCTCTGTGGTCATGTGGCTGGCATGACTCAACGCCAAAGGCGCACGGAACGCTGTTACCTTCCCACCAAAGGTGGTCCCTATTTTTCTACTTGCATTTTTTTTTTACGTGCTTTCGAACTGCTAGGTTGGCAGAAGCTGGGACAAGGAACGGGAGCTCACCCCGTTACGCGGCACTAGGGATTCGAACCGCTTTTGATCGACAAGCTCAGCATCTTGGTCACTGAGCCACCGTGTCCAAGCAAAGCAGAAACAAGGACGGAGCCAATGACCAAACTCAAAAGCCCAGCCCCTTCCCATTTTGGAGAAGACTTTGTCCACCAGGACTTGTTCCCATGAGAGACAACCAGAAGTTTCTCGTTGGTGGTTGAGGGCAGATACATCTGAAGAGTGACAGGAAGGCAGAAGGTGCCATCAAGAACTTAAGAGAGGCTGTTTTGACTTTAAGAGCTGGGAGAACATTGGGAGGAAATGACCTCCACGTTAGATCCCCTGAAGCATCTGCTCAAAAAATGAAGAACAAAGGATGAAAATAGGCCCATCAGATGTTCTCAATCTCTCCACCTTGGACCTTTCTGGTTTCCTCTCCTTCCAACCAACCCACAGGCCGGACTGAGTCATCCATTGTTTTTCTTTGTCTTCTTCTCCAAAAGGCCTTTTAAGGAACTCAAAGACTTTCTTGGAAACGAAACCGTAAGGCCAAGGCAGATGCTTTGTCTCCAGATGGGCCGGTTTCCTGTTTGACTTAAAAAAGATGTAATTGAACGCAGGTAAGGGGATCAGAAGGGATGCTGTGGCTTGGTGGCTAAGACGCTGAGCTTGTTGATCGAAAGGTCGGCAGTTCAGTGGTTCGAATCCTGAGTGCCGCGTAACGGGGTGAGCTCCCGTTCCTTGTCCCAGCTTCTGCCAACCTAGCAGTTCGAAAGCACCTAAAAAAAAATGCAAGTAGAAAAATAGGGACCACCTTTGGTGGGAAGGTAACAGTGTTCCGTGGGCCTTTGGCGTTGAGTCATGCCGGCCACACGACCACGGAGACGTCTTCAGACAGCGCTGGCTCTTCGGCTTGTCTGGAACGACTAGCACATATGTGCAAGGGGAACCTTTACCTTTACATTTAAGGGAATCAGGTGAGTGCAGAATGCGGCAAACATTTAAAGCAATGGTTTGCAGCGTCCCACGGTGATGTAATTGCATTTTTCGATGGTTTTGTCGCAACTGGCACTTATTCTGGCTTTTTGGCAAAGCCGCAGTCTTAGCAAACCATTAGTTCACTTAACAACCGCTGCTAAAAAAGATCGTAAAATCAGGTTGGTCCTGTGAAAAATCCATTTTATGACCGTAATGGGCAGGTTCTATTATGGCCGTATGTCGAGGACTACCTGTATAGAAGTCGGTCAGCCTTAATTTGCTGTATTAATGCCAAACCAGAAGATGCCAAGACTGAAGAAGCATTCATTAGTAGAGGGTTTGATTTTCTTCCTGCAGGGGATTATTCATTTCACTTCTAGTTTTTTTTTTTCTCAAGGACGAAGAGAGGAAAAATTGAAGGCAAAGCACTCTAGCATCGTAAATATGCATTCAGCAAAAACGAGATCCGCGCAGGTTTTTTTTTCCGCAAACGGCTGCAAACTTCCTTACACCACCCAACCCCATGTAAAGCTCTACACATCCCCTGAAATAAATCACAGCTTTCAGAATTCAGAAGTTGTACTTCGGAATACAAGGGAAGCAAAGAGAACTGCCAAAAAGGAAAAAAAAAAATCAGCTGACAAGTTGGGCTAGGCCAGCCTTATTTATTTAAACTTATGACTGCAGGAAACACGTTCCTTTGCATGACCCAGTTTCATTTTTCGGCACAAACAATTTCAGGCAGAATCCTCTGAAAAGGATCTTTAATTTTCAAGGTCCAAAGACAGCTACGCAGAGTCTCAACTTTGTTGGCATTATATTGAAAAGGGGCTGAAAAGATTTTTCTACTCAATTCGGTGTCTGACAATTCATTCATCCGTTCATTCACCCCAGGGCAGGGGTGGGTTCTACTTACCCCTTTACTACCGGTTCACATTGCAAAATGTTAAGTACCTACAATTACAGAATTGGATGGGGAAGAATTGTTTGATGTTAGCCTCTCTGGTCTACAGAGGTCTGCTCCGAAGCAAGAGTTTGCAAACCCATCTCTTAAACCTTCTAAATTTTGGTTTGGGGGGTTCATCTAACGTTCTTCTTTAATTCTGCTCAATTTCCCAGCTGGAAAATCTTACCTCCTGGGCACTTGGCAGATTTCGAAAGGATAAAAAAATTTTTGCCCAACAGTTATCTGATTTATAAACAGCGCTCTCTCTCTCTCTCCGCTAAAGCAGTGGGTGGGCTGTTTTTCTCCAAAAATGAGAGCTTTTGAAATGCAGCTTTTTTGTGTGTGTGTGTGTGTTTTTTTTTGTTCTAGTATCAGAAAAAGAGATGGTCAGAAGTTCTCAGGCCTTAACAACCCAGCCTGGCTATTCTATTCCTTTTTAGTTTCTACCCCACTCCCAAGCAAGGACTTTGTAAACTTTGTTGTTTACAAGTTGTTTTTTGAACAGAAGAAAAATCTCAACCTTTTGAGCAAAGTTCCTGAGCAAAAAGAAAAAGCAAAAACTTGAAGATCTGGTTGGGAAAAACTAATGAGGAGACCAATTCCCAAGGTTTTCAGCCAATTCCAAAATTGACTCCTTAAATGGTGAAATTGTGCACGGCTATCCTGAAAGAGGAAGAAAAATTCAAGGATGTGTTGGAAAGCTCCAGAAGGCAGCCTCCGGAGCACCACTTAATTCTATTTTGTATTTTCCAGAAAAATATGCCCTGGTGACTCCTTGCTACATAAACAGCTGTTTGTCTGGCCAAATATCACTATTTAAATCAATTAGAAGATTCTAATGCTGCATTGGCGTCTGTGTTGTGTTCTTTGGGGTCCTGGGTGCTCTCTGAGCTTGGTCGTTTTCTTGCAGACCTTTCATTACCAAACTAGGTAGCATCATCAGTGCTGGAAAGGTTTGCGGAGTTGAGGAGGAAGACTGTGGGGTCCTTGATGCTCTCTTGAGCTTGGTCGTTTTCTTGCTGACATTTCATGACCTAACTAGGTTACATCATCCGTGCTAGAAGAGAGTGGGGTTTGCTTCCAGCACTGACGATGTCACCTAGTTGGGTCATGAAACCCCTGGAAGAAAACCACCAACCTCAGAGAGCACCAAGGACCCCTCGTTCCAATCTTGAGCTACAAATATTCTCTTCCGCCGGATGATCACATTGGTGGAGTCTTCATCCTCACAACTCTGCAATGTGCAAGTCGTCCTTGACTTACAAGCATTAGTCTAACCTAGTGACTGTTCCAACAAGCCATGCTTTGCCACAACCGCTGGGCTCCTTTTCAAAGGCTAAAAGCAATGGAGAACGTGACGTGTGAGCCTGGGGTGAGCTCAATCAACTTATTTGTGGCTTATTTGCTGGCAGGGATTGTCAAAGAGCTCGGACAACATCTCCTCGGACCCCTGTGGAGATTCAACTTGGGCCCTCCTTCTCCTTGCACGCTCTTCCTGATTCTGATGCTCAACTGACCCATTGGGACTCCCAACTCCCAGAATTCCTAGCCAGGATGGCTAACATGTTTCAGAATAAGAGAGTTGGAAGGGACCTTGGAGGTCATTCAGTCCAGCCCAGTTTCATTTGATTTGTGCCGTTTTTTTTTTTTTTTTGCCTGCGGTTTTAGGTTTGAATCAGTTTAACGTGGATTTTTTATTCTATTTTGTTTGATGCATCACCCAGACTCCCACTGGAGTTGGGCAACTGTTATATATTTAAAAAAAATAAATCGATAAATAATATTAAAAAAGCAGACCAGCTGAGTCAAACTCTTACTAATTATGCTGCTTTCCCTAGCAAATGAATAGGCAGGTTTGCCCCCGATGCTACAGTCTGATCGTAAGTAGAGAGGTTTGGGTAAGTTAAGCAGACAGAACCTCTTTCAGATCAATGCAAAGCGACGGAAAATGCAAGCTAAATGAAAAGCACCCCGTTTCCTCCTTCCCGGAATTCGACTGGAGGGGTACCCTAAAGCTTGGCACCGAAATGGGCAGCCGTGACCAAGACCTACCGATGCGATGACACAGCCACACGAGCCAGCTGTGCTGCTTAGGAGTGAGGAAAGTGCCAAGTCACCGTGATCTGTGCATTGTCCTTTCAAGGGCAGCATTCTTACAGTTCAGCAGCCAAAGGAGAACAGGTGTGGTGCAGGACAGGCTGGGATGGCAATGGGGGGCAGGGGGGCTTCCCAGCACTCAACCGGGGTCTGTCCCAGGTGCAGAAATTTTTTCCCCACGGGGCAATTCTGATCTTTAGCTCTGCAAATTTAGTCAGAAATGAAGATCTCCAACTCTGGAGTGCTGGAATCTTCAACCGAAAAGCATAGCTAGTCCTTGACTTGCGACCAAAATTGACAACCAAATCCCTGTCGTTTTGTTAAACGCCTCACTTAGCATAAGTGAATCTGGTTTCCCCATCGACTTTCGCTTGTTGGACGGTCACAAAAGAGGATCACGTGACCCCAGAAAGGTCATCGGGCAAAACTCGCTTAACAACAGAAATGTTGGGCTCAATTGTGGTCGTTAAGTTGAGGACTGCCTGGGCCAACACTTCACACGACCTTGTTACTCTCCTTCCACGGATGCAAATCTAGAAAGCTGCACTGGCTTACTTTTTATTCCTTTTCCCCTTATTAAAATCATTAATGATTATTAATAATTAATAGTTGCAGTTCCACTATGCCGCTAAATCCTTTTTTTTTTCCGCTGGGCTTTTTTTCTGATGCAATCAAATCGACAAACGCAACAACCGTTTCAAATCCTCCATTTCCCAAGAAGCCGGCCTCCAAATAGCCAGGCTTTATTGGAGCATTTCTTCACCCATGCTGCGATTCCATCTTCTTTAATGAGCTGCTGTGGCAGAGCCGATCAGCACGTAGCGCACACACACACACACAAACAAACACACCCACGCGGAGATGTGCGAGAAAAACGGAAGCCGCTTCGCCACTTGCGAAGTTTTGCCCTCCGTGAGGTGTTAATAGTAGTCAGTCATTAAGAAGGGAAGCTGAGATTTCTCTGCCCCGAGCAAAGCTACGCGTGCCAGCCTTCCATCTCCAGGAAACTCAAGGCGGCGTTTTGGACGGCAACTTCATTTCCAAAGCTCGCAGAGCCAGCTTCTCCGAGAGCCGAAGCGGGAATAATTTATGATTCCCTTACGTAATTCTAGCCACAGGGAGGGCTTGTTCCTTTCCTCGTTTAACGGCATAAACGGAGCCTTTTTCACACTGGGGAGTCCACCGCTTGGACATAAGGGGGCCTCTGGGGAAGGTGGACCTGCCGTGGAGGGCCTCTGAAGGTCCACCAGATGGGAAAGACCAGCTCTCAAGAAAAAAGCACTAGTGCCAGAGATAGTCCTCGACTTAACAATCCTTTGTTCAGTGACGGCTTTAAGTTACAACGGCACTGAAAGAAAGCAATTTAATACCAATCTTTGCACTTGCAACAAAGCGCAATCAAAATCTGGAGAGTTGGCAGCGGTCCTGTATTTGTGACCTTAGGGGCTCATGCGATCACCATTTGTGACAAACAAAGACAGATTCGCTTAATGACTGCGTTATTCACGTTAACAACAGCAGCAAAAAGGTCGTAAAATGGGGCAAAACTCACTTAGGAACAAAACTTTGAGGCTTAATTGTGGCCATCAGTCAAGGACTCCCCATTTTGGATCGGGAAGGCAAGCGGTTTGTATGGAGCGGCTCCGTCATCCAATTTAAGGATGTGCCACTCGCCCCACCCATCTCATACAGGCGGTCCTCGACTTACGACCACAACGGAGTCCAAAGTTCCTGTTGCTAAGCGAGACAGTTAAGTGAATTTTGCACCGTTTCACGACTTTCTTGCCACCGTTAAGTGAATCACTGCAGTTATTAAGTGTATAATACGGTTGTTAAGTGAATCGGGCTCTTCCGATGACGTGGCTGGTTGCAAAAGGGGATCACGTGACCCCAGGACACTGCGACCGTCATAAATATGAACCAGTTGCCAAGTGTCTGAATTTTGGGGGATGCTGCAGTATGAAAAACGGTCGAGTCACTTTTTTCAGTGCCATTGTAACTTTGAACAGTCACTAAACGAAATATTGTAGGTCAAGGACCCTCTGTTCTAGAAGCCATTTCAAAATTGCTTCCTTCACAGCTGCCTTGACTTCTGAGCAGACCTCTCTCCTACCAACCGAGAGCTTGCTCCCCCCCCCCCCCGTTTTCTGGTTTTAAAGAAAGGAGGATGGCCTTACCAAACTGGTCATTCCCGGGACAGCCCCGCCCTCTTCCAAAAAAAAGGTTCCCGGCTTCTCGTCTCAGCTCTGCTATCTGCACTTCAGCAGTCTGTGCTGGAGTTCAAAATTACTGGCCCGGGAACGATCCTGAGTCGGGAGCCGGTCTCCAAACGCCATGGAAGTCGTTTTCCTGAAACGAGAGACATTCCATCAGGGGTCTCTGTTTTCAAAACAAAGGCTCAAAAGAACAATCAAAGCACGTGGGATTAAACTTTAAAGTTTGCAAAACTGTTTTTTTTTTAAATTCCTCCAAGTTCTGAATATTAAAAACGCTAGCTATAGCGAAAAAAGTCTGAAGTCGATTTCCCATCCTGGGAAGAGATTACCCACATAAAAGAAATTTCTGGATTTCCATCTTTAGCACTTATTAATACTTGGGAACTCTCCAAAGGCACATCCTTCAACCCCCAGAATGCTTAGCACATGCCCAAGTCACCAGGGGAATGCTGGGAACTGAAAACCTTGCAGCTGGTTGACTGACGGCTTTTTCCTCGCTTAATGATGGAGAAGGTGGAGCCAGCATCGTTCAGGTACCATGGTCTGGTGTACCGTAAGTCAATCCCTACAAACTGGCACATTACAGAATAACAGAACTTGGGACCTTGGAGGTCTTCTAGTCCAACCCCCTACTCAAACAGACCTTACGTCATTCCGGACAAACGGCTTGTCTTGAAAAAACCCCTGTGATGAAATACTCACAACCTCTGGAGGCAAACCATTCCACTGATTAATTGTTCTCTCCCTGAACCTTAAAACAATTCCCTCCAGAAAAAGAAACCAAATTTACATCTGTTTACTTCGATTGGAATTATCAGGAAATCTAAACTCTTTTGTTTTTCTTGCCCCACCTATTTTAATGATCATGTTTTATGACATACTTTTGTTCTGTCATTTATTTCTGTTTTATAACACTTGGGAGATGTTTTGGCATGGAAAGGGGCAAATAGCAATAAACGCATAAAAATGCATCCATCTGGGCCTTTCTCCTTGTGCCGAGATGTGAATTCTAACAGCGGAAAAACTCAACAGGTTAGGCAGCCTCTTTTGTGAAGACGACACAATCAGCATCGTCTCCGTACAACATCTCCATAAATCAGAAGGAATCTAATAGTGCTTTTTCTGCCTACACCAATTATATTAAACAGATTTCTGGTGCATCTGATGAAGTCATCTACACCATAATGGAAGCTTCTGCCTTTTATTAAGGCAGAAAAGCTTAGTTGGTAAAGATTGATGGGGTTTTTTTTTGGTCCCTGAGATGGTGGCAGCTAAATTTGATAAATAAAAATATATCCTGCAAAATTATGCATCCAGTTTCTCACTCCTAAACAACCCGACCAAAACATCCTTTCCCCATTCAGTTCCTCTCTTCCGACACCTTTCAACAGCTGACCTTCCCCAGCAGCCAAACAAAGGAAGAGCTGCAAAATGTTTTGTCTTGTTTTTAAAAGTTCCCGGAATCTCTCCTATCTTGTCCGTCTGCACCCGGACCAGCCCTGTTTATTTTCTCCATCCTTGTCTTAAAGGACATTTTGGCATTGTTCCTGGAATGACAACACTCCACTATGTTCCTTTTCCTTCCCTCCCAACAACTCCAGGGAGAGCATCACCCCAGATGAACCAGCGGGAAGGGATGCACACACATTTGCACAAACGCAACGCTAGGCTAGAATGGTGCAAAGGTACCGGCAGCACCACAGAGCCACAAATGTGGGGCGTCTCCTGCAACCGAGCCTTTGAAGTAAAAACAATGACGGTTGAAGTTTGGTCAGAAAATGCAAAGTTAGTCACCTAATTGCACCCCCCTTTTCCCCTTAAATCCTGCCCACGCCTACGTTTCTTTCGGCAGCCAGCCAGTCCTAGTTTGCTTCACACATTCCCTCCATCTTTTTCCTGCTCCACCCAGTTTTCACCTTTCCGGGAGACTGGATTAACCCCCCCCCCAAAACCGCCTCAGGGTTTGGCCCAACTCTGGAGTCAAACCCTGCCCCCCTCCCCCGCAAGATTTTAGCTGGGCCACCTCTTAAGTTTTCTTCCCATCTCTGCTCTCTTTCGCCTCCTTTCCACTCTCACGGCAGGGACTAGTAACATGGCCAGTCCTTTCCCGCTTTCCCAAGATTTCCCAATCTCCACTTTCATCTTCTGCACATTCAGGGACACACACACACAGAGAGAGAGAGAGAGAGAGAGAGAGAGAGAGAGAGAGAGAGTCCTCGTGGGCTGCCCCAGGGCTCTTTCCCAATCACCCCCCCCCACAAACCAGAAATTCCTAAAATGCATTTAGGTCTCTGGTTGCAGCTTCCTTCAAAAAGTTCAAACGCCAAAGGGGGGGGAGGGAAGAGGAGAGGGAGGGGTATGGCTCTCTGACCTACCTGGCTGTCTTATCCCCTGCTCTGAAAGCCCCCACTCCCCCCCCCCCCGCAGGTGAGAATCAGTCAAGCCCCCTGCATGTTTTGAGTTTCCCTTTTTTTGACTCCCCCCCCCTTTCTGACCTCTCCCTTCACTAAAGTGACCCGTTTGGGTGTATTTTTCTTTCTGGGCTCAAGGCCACCTTTGCTCAAGGCAGCCCACATATATTCTGGCATACAAGGTCTGGGGAGGGGAGGGGGCTCTCTTGCCAGAAGATCCTGTGCAAAGAGCCCCCAACTCTTTTCCCCAGCCTCCTTCTCCCCCTAAAACCATCTCCGGGCTGTCCCCTTCCTCCAGGAGCCCCCCCACACACACAAATCTGCCCTCCTTGGCAATGCCATAAACACCCCAGCCCCCTCCGTGACCCCCACCCCGCCTTTCCTGTTTCTCCCCAAACTCCCCACCTGCTTCCCCGCAGGGCTCCCAATTCGTTGGGTCCAGACAGACCCCCCCCATCCGTTCTTCGGCCAGCCTGGCATCCAAGCCAGCCAAGTCGCTAGTCCTCCTTGAGGATCTGCCTCCCGCCCGGGGGGGTCGGCCCGCCCCCCCCCCCCCCCCCCCCCAGACCCTTGCCTTCCAAACAACCCCCCCCCCCTCACTCCCCAAAAGCAGGGGTCCCACGAAAGGGGAAAAAAAATCTGGGGAAGGGGGGAAAACGCCTCTTCTTTTATATTAACGAAGTTACTAGTCCTCAAGGGGTGCTGAGCCTGCGCTGTTTTCGGGGTGGGGTGGGGGAGGCAAAGAGGCGTGTCTGCGCCCCCTTCTCTCCCCCCTCCCTCGCCCCCTGCCCCATAGCCCCTGAGCCAAGTTCCTAGTCCTCAAGCTTTCCAGCTCTGCCCCTCCCAGGGGGATACCGCTCCTGTCTGGGGGAGGGGGGTCTCCTCGCCCCCCCCCCCACTCCCCCCCCCCCCCCCACACCCACCTGGTGGCGCCTCCCGCGGCGGAGCCCCGTCTTTCGTCCGCCCCTCCTCAGCCCCTCCGTGCACCACTCCGCGCCGCCGCCCCGCCCCGGAACTGACCTCACCCGGCCGGCCTGGGCATCCCTCGCGGCGGCGGCAGGGACGGAGGAGGAGGAGGCGGCGGCGGCAGAGGCGGCGAAGAACGAGGACCGCGCGAGGCCGCCACTAGACGGCGCCATCTTGGCGGCTGTGGGCGGGGCTCCGGCGGCGCTACGTCGGCAGGAGGGGGCGGGGCGGAAGGAGGAGGAGGAGGACGTCGGGTCGGTGCCATCTTTGGAACGGGCAGAGGCTTGGCGCGGAGGCCATGTTGGGCAAGGGCGCCAGTCGGACGCTGCTGAGGGGATCTGACCAATGATCAATTCAATTCAAATCCAATCCAATCCAATCAATTCAAATCAAATCAATTCAATTCAAATTAAATCAATTCAAATCAAATCAATTCAAATCTTTATTGTCAGTGCACAACCTATGTACAATGAGATTGGTTGAACGATCGATCAAAATAGAGCTGGAAGGGACCTTGGAGGTCTTCTAGTCTAACCCCCCTGCTCAGGCAGGAGGCACATTAGGGCTTATTTTCTGGTTATGTCTTATTTGGGGGGGGGAAATACAATACTAAATGCATCCATCTGGCTGACAATCTTAACTGGGGCTTATTTTAGGGGGTAGAGTATCCTGAAAAATCATGCTAGGACTTATTTTCCGGTTGGGTCTTATTTTCCGAAAAACGGTATTATTAATTAAACCCTTAGGTGATATAAAGAATAAATTATGAGGCTTGCAGAACTTAATTCACTTCAATTCCATCCAACCAACCAACCAAACATTTAGCTTAGTTTTAAAAAGCAATAAATAGGCCATCAAGCCACTTTTTTTAAAATTGGTTTCTAAAAATAGAAAAGTATATGCTGATATCCCAACATGCACAACACCGCAAGCATTCCAAAGATATTTGTTTTAATGGCCCCTAAATAGCAACCTAGTCTGAAGACTTTCATTCAATCAGATTCCAGAGAAAAGTCATTTTGGGGGGGTGAATCACTAAGTGGCATTGTTTCCATTGCCAAGTTTTGACCCAACTGAGAAAAAAAAGCTAAAATATTCATGAAGGAGAATGGAAAGACATTTTTTTGCCATTTCATCAGAAGGTTGCTTTTTAATTAACAAAAAAAAAAGTAACTTTTTAACAATCCTATTTCCAGCAGGCACCCATGTACATTTAGGTATGCAATAATACAATACAGGATGATGATATGTTGATAAAGGAGAACATTTGTAGCTCACGGTTGAAATAAGGGGTCCTTGGAGGAGGAGGAGGAGGAGGAGGAGGAGGAAGAGGAGGACTGTAGGGTCCTTGGTGCTCTCTGAACTTGGTGTTTCATGACCCAAGAAGGGTAATATCACCAGTGTCCATCATTCATTCATTTTCATTCATTCATCAGTCAAACATTTCTTAACCCAGCTAGGTAAACATCATCAGTCAGACGATCTCATTATATGATGATGTACAATGTGGGAACTAGCGTGCAATTTTGCAAAATAGTCAGCTGTCACTTTCATCAACAGAGAACAACCTGGATTAAAAGGCCAGGGGTTTGAAATGGACCAAACCCTGATTTGTGGGCAAACAAAGGAAGCATGCACACATACACGCCCCTCCCCAATCCACCCAACCAGCTACGGCTCACATGGTCTAATGCGCCAAATAGAAGCGCATGGCCCTCTCACACACGCCTATTTTTAAATGCAGCCAGCGGCTTTTCTGGTTGGCTGTCAGTTCCTTTTTCCCTCCACTAGAAAAGGGGAACGAATCAGCTGTTGGAAGAAGCTGCTTTGGGGCTCCGACCAGGAAGGATGATAGATGTTGTGTTGTGAGAAAGCAAAGTTGTAAGTGTCTTGACTTTTTTTTGGTGTGTGTGTGTGTGGCCTCGGTTTCTTCTTGCCAGCTGTGGCTTTCCACCTCTGGTGTCACACGTTTGCTGAATTAATCCTCTTTCAAAGGTTGGGCTGTGCAACGACAAGATAGACTTCTAACAGAAGAGAACATTTTTGTAGCTCAAGGTTGAACAGGGGTATCCTTGGGGCTCTCTGAGACAATTTGAAGATCTGCCACTTTGCACAGGAGGGGGGGAAACGACGGGGAGGACACACAACAAAGGGATCTGGCTGCCCCTATAAACTATGAGATTTTAGTTTTAGTCCTGTTTTTTTTCCTAAATGTTACCAGCCCAGTTTCCATTGGGAAATCACCTCTGGATTTTATACTCGAAAGAGGACCAACGATAGAAGTTAGATTTTAGTTTGAAAGCTGAGTCACTGTGTAGTTGTAGCAAAGGGCTTGTAGGAACTAAATGCAATGCGCAAAGTTCAGGCTGTGAATGATATTAAACCACTGGACTGGAAAGAGACAGAAGTCCATGGTCTTCTCTCTCTCTGTCTCTCTGTCTTTCAAACCTCTTTCAGCCTATTTTCCGGGAAGGAATAATTAAATTTAATTTACCTGGGAAGTGTGTTGTGCAAACTTGGTGACGTTATTGAGGCTTTTCGAAGCCGGTTGCAATAATCTAGATGCCAGATAAGAATTCGATAGCTCACAAACATTCCAGTTTTTCTGTCCTCGCCTTTAGATTGTCCGGATTTTCTGCAGCTCAGATCCAGCTGATTGTATTGTTTCCTCTTAAGATGTTTGCTTTTCTTTCTTGTTTTTTTTCACTATAATCTTCCTTTGTTTTTCCTTTTTGGGTATCCTTTCATAGGCCAGATAATCTGTAAAGCTGGTCTCCTGGGGTTGGTTAGCGATAAGGGAAATGAACCCCCTCGGACCGGGGAATTCTTGGAGTTAAGTCCATACGTCTTAAAGTGACTGAGATGGAGAAATCCTGGTTTAATTAGTACTTGAATGAACCTTCTTGGAACACTGAACTCTTGTAGACAGGAGAGAGAGGTGAGGATGGGCTGTTCAGTTCTAACGTAGATGGCCTCTTTGACCCCTCTTTCAAACGAATGGTCCTCTCCATCCTTCCATCCCACCCCCACATCAGGGGTGCTATTCAGCAGGTTCTGACAGGTTCTGGAGAACCGGTAGCGGAAATTTTGAGCAGTTCGGAGAACCAGCAAATACCATTTCTGGCTAGCCCCTGGGTGGGGTGAGAATAGAGATTTTAGAATATCCTTCCCACAGGAGTGGGGTGGGAATGGAGATTTTGCACAGATTTTGGTATGCACAGAAGATTTCTCCAACACCAAAGTTCAAGAGCATCCACAGTTCCTTCTGCTTGCTTTACTAAACCAGGGTCAAATTCACAAGAGTTGGTTAGCATGCAAACTCGGCTTTAGAAAGGTTGAACTAACAGGTGTCTGGCGATGGGGAACAGGACATCGTGGCTTGTCCCAAAGAGAGGAATCCCAACTCAACTGTTGAAGCAAATGTGGGGATTTTTGTTGTTGTTCCTATTAATGGCCCAAATCCATTTCAAGAGGAGGAGATTGCATTATGCAGAGTGTTAAACGTTTATTTTGTTTTATTTTATTTATGCATGAAAAGGTGCAGAGCTCTTCGGACCGCCAGCTGGCCTTGTCGTAGCCTGCCTTTGATTCATGGTCTGTGGAGAACAACTCCGTGTTTGTACTTTGGCTACTATCGTACCAAGGTAGGAAGCACATTGGCCTGTGGTTGGGTAACTAGGATTTATTTCCTTAAGGAAAGGCCTCCAAACTTGGCAGCTTTTAGACCTGTGGACTTCAATTCCCAGAAATCCCTGGCCGGCTGGGGAATTCTGGGAGTTGAAGTCCACAAGTCTAAAAGTTGCCAGGTTTGGAGAGCCCTGGCATAGAGCATGAGGTTCGCATGCAAGCAGAGAACTGGCACGGCTGGGAAAAATGTTTCCCTCCCTGCCATCTTCACTCAAATAGGTGCATTGTAATTCCCCGCAAGCAGAGAACTAGCACGTCGGAAAAAGAATGCAATCTTCCTCCCTGAGGCACTAGCTTTCTCTTCACAGTTTCTCTGCAGAAATTCAGGAGGAAAGCAGGGAATAAGAAGCTGCTTTCTGCTCAGTGTTGTTGGAAATTGGGTGGCATATAAATTGAATGCAATGTTATTATTTATTTGCAAAATGGAAGTGTTGTGGGGAGTGTTGTGCAAGAGGAAAAAAAAACCCTGCGCATGTCACAGTTTTTGCCTAATTGTTTGTCTAAAGTCCCAAGTGTTGTAATAAGGTTAAGAATCAGCAGCTGAAACAGAGTTGGCTTCCATTTCCACAGGGGCCGTCTTGAAAGAACCGTGCAATTTCTCCGAAGTTTTCTCCCCTTTCAAAGGAGGTTGTGAAGTTCTCCCTTGTGTGTGTAAGAGAGTGTTTGTGAGCTGTTGGTGGTTGTTTTGGGTGCCTGAGGTGTTTCCTGTGTGACACAGGTTTGTGTTCTTCTGGGTTGCTGGCTCTTTTCATTCCTCAATCTGGGAAAAAAAACCCTGAGATATTTTATTTCCTGGAATAGCGTGGGAAAAAACACGACTTGTGCAACACAACGAATTATGCTTGCACAATTTCCCTAGATCACACTCAGACGTTCTGCTGAATTTCTCTGGAATTTTCCTTGGGTCTGATTTTTTCCCCAGGATGTTTTTCCAACTTCTCAGGCCGGCCTCTCCCTTGCATCTCTGAGTGGTCTCCTTTCTAAGGGTGTTTGGGCCTTCAGGAATCGGCTACAGTTGCAAGAAAGGGAAAAACAACTACAGGCAGTCCTCGGTTTACGACCAAAATTGGGGCCAGAATTAGTTGCTAAGCAACGTGGTAGTTAAGTAAGTTAACTACTAGATTGACAATTTTTTAAAATTAAAGCTATTAAGTGAGTCATTGCAGTTGTTATGCGAGTCATGCAATTGCTACGGGAATCCAGCTTTCCCCATTGATTTTGTTTGATGGGGAAGATCAGACGTGACCTGGGAGGATGCAAACATCTAAAATACCGCTACATGCTGGTTCCCAAATACCCAAATTTTGATTATTTGATTTGCGGGGATGCTGCAACAATCGTAAGTGTGAGGACTTTTCTTCAGCACCGTCATAACTTTGAGCGGTCGTAAGTTGAGGACTACCTGAAGAGGGACTTAGCTGGGATGAGTCAGCCCACGGTATGGAGTTATTCATGATCGGATAACTTTTTTATCTAGGAAAAAATGGCCAAGGCAATTCAGGCTCGGCGGCTGGAAGGCCTGGACCAGAATATCTGGTAGGCAGTTTGTAATTTGCTTCTTCGGGAATGAGTTAGAAGCCAAGATTTCTTAAAGGACCCCCGGAGTCTCCCCGGGACCCTCTGAGGTGCCCACAAAATCCAAATTATTTGTCAGATATGGAAGGCATTTGCAAAAATGTAAAACCATCCCATTCTTTATGGAAAATAAGGTTTTCCATGAAAAAAAATATATTTTAATGTATACAGTCATGGGTTTAATATTTGACTTATTTATTTATATTTGTTATTTTTTAAAAAATAAATAATCCAAGTGGGCAAGCCTATCCAACACGCCTTCCTTCTCCTATTTTCCCCACAACAGACACCCTGTGAGGTGGGCTGGGCTGAGAGAGGGGATAGCTGGCCCAAAGTCCCCCAGTTGGCTTTTATGGCCAAGGCGGGACTAGAACTCATGACCTCTGGCTTTCTAGTCTGGTTGGTGCCTTAATCATTAGACCAAAGTTATCCCAATTTTTGAAATGATTTTTATCTCCTTAGGGTGGAATTTTCCCGACTAGCGGCGACTCACAAGGCAGTGAATTTGGGTCAAGGTTTCCCCAATTTCTCCCCGCCGGATTTCGTCAGGAAAGCCTATGTGGAAGCGATCAGCGGAGAAAACACCATGTTGCACCAATACACGCAGGCCTTCGTACGTGAAACATCTCTCTTTCCAACACAAATTGTGTGCTGCCAAAATGGGTGAAGTTTGTTTCTTGTTAACCATCTGGAACAAATTTGGCCACTGTGATTGGTTCACCAACTTTTAACTGCACTTTGTTGTTGTTAATTGCGAAGTCATGTCCAACCCATCGCAACCCCATGGGCAACGTTCCTCCAGGCCTCCCTGTCCTCTACCATCCTCTGGAGTCCATTTAAGCTCATGCCGACTGCTTTGGTGACTCCATCCAGCCACCTCGTTCTCTGCCGTCCCCTTCTTCTTTTTCCCCTCCATCGTTCCCAGCATTGGGCTCTTCTCCAGGGAGTCCTTCCTTCTCATTAGGTGGCCAAAGGATTTGAGTTTCCTCTTCAGGATCTGGCCTTCTAGAGAGCAGTCAGGGTTGATCTCCTCTAGGACTGACCGGTTGGATGGCCTTGCAGTCCAAGGGACTCGCAGGAGTCTTCTCCAGAACCAGAGTTCAAAGGCCTCCATTCTTTGGCCTTCTCGGCCTTCCTTATGGTCCAACTTTCACAGCCATCCATTGCAACTGGGAAAACAGTAGCCTTGATTATACACACTTTTGTTGGCAGGGTGATGTCTCTGCTTTTTAGGATGCTGTCTAGATTTGCCATGGCTTTCCTCCCCAGGAGCAAGCATCTTTTAATTTCTTGGCAACTGCAGTTTACAAACATCAAATAATCACCAGTCCTCGAATTACGGCCAGCCTCTTCATGACAATGCAAAGTTACAACAGGCCTCCTCAGGGCTATCTAGGACCCGGGTTTGAAATTCCGATGGTCACACATAACCCTCCACACACACACACAGAGTCATGTGACTGCGTTTTGGGCACTCAGCATCCGGCAAACATTTAGGGCCATTTGTGGCATCCCGAAGTCCCAAGATTGACAATGTTTTTGCTGGAAACTAGATTTTTTTTTTTTCCAGACTTTCGGTCCCAACAGGAAAAGGATCCTTGATTATTTTCACAGCATCTGATCTGATTTTTTCCCCCAGGGGCATCCGCGATTGGTGGAGATCTTGGCTCGCTTTTTTGGGAAGTTGCTCCAGCAAGATCTGGACCCTCTGAAGAATGTGATGGTGACAGTGGGGGCGTACGAAGCTCTCTTCTGCTGCTTCCAGGCTCTGGTGGATGAGGGGGACGAGGTAATTAACGGGGTACCCCTCTTCCTTCAGCGAAGTGGGGGTTCAGGGCTTTAATCACAGTGGGCACGGAGCAACGGACTCGGCTTGTCCGTTGAAGGAAGCATCTCAGCTCCTGTTACTGGGTTTCATTTGGTCAAGTTGGCAATTGTTTCTCCCATGCTGTCCCCTTTCCAGGAGTGCATGGACTTCAACTCCCAGAATTCCCTTGCCATGGTTTATCCAGTGCTGAGGATTCTGGGAATGGAACTCCCAGAATTCCCCAGCTGCTAGGGTGTTTGAAAGTGGGTGAATTTGGGAGCCTAAAAGCTATCTCTTTTGGATTATATATGCTAAATACTGGAAAAATATGAACGGTTGTAATTAAAAAAATTTGGGACTCACTGTGCTGAAATGGACAGACTAACTTTAAAAATTAAAGATAAAGAAGATTCAGAATACTATCGGACATGGAATAAATTTTATGAATGGATAGAGAAAAGAAGTAGAAATTAGAGAAAGTAGATTATGAATGTCAATATTATAAGTATGGAAAGTAAAGAGGTATATAACTATAAACATAATAATTGATAAAAATGTAAATAAGCTAATGTAAGAAGAGACCTAGTTTAAACCTTCTGGTTATATTATTATTACTGTTATTATATTACTACTATTGTTATATGATTTACTACCAACTCTCATTGGTCGTGTTCTATTTGTAAATGATGCTCTGACAATGCACTGTTTTTCATAAATGTTTATGAATGAAAATTTAAAAAAATAAAAATAATGAACTGTAAAAAAAAAAAAAGCTATCTCTGTGTTAGAGTGTATCTGTGTGATAAGATAACATGCCTGTCCTTGATTCAATTAAGGGCCAAATCCCCTCTTGGTTTTCTCTAGGTGATTATAATTGAGCCGTACTTTGACTGCTATGAACCCATGACCAAAATGGCAGGCGGGAAACCCGTCTTTGTACCCCTCCGGCTGGTGAGTGAATGCCCACTAATGGGTCACCTAAATAAGGAAGGGAAGGACACATTTCAGATTTAAGGGCATTGATGGGTCTGTGAGAAAGACCGTGGGAGTTTGCCAAGGGAACAGATAAGAGACTGCTGAGTCCTCGGCTGTATAATGGATGGAGAAAGAGGTTCAGAAGAGACCCTCCCTAATTTCTCAGGCTGTAAAAATTCTCCAATGTCCTTTTTCTCTCCTCCAGAAAGCTGCCAAAAGTGGAAAGCTGGCATCCAGCCGGGACTGGCAACTCGATCCAGCCGAATTGGAGGCAGCGTTCACGAAACAAACAAAAGTTCTGGTTTTGAATTCTCCCAACAACCCTTTGGGGAAGGTAATGATGTATTCCGCCATTGTAATATCAGGGGGTATTTAAATCATAGAATCCTAGGGCAGGAAGGGACCTTGGAGGTCTTCTAGTCCAACCCCCTACTCAAGCAGGAGATCTTATACCATTCCAGACAAATGGCCGTCCAACCTCTTCTTAAAAACCTCCACAACTTCTGGATTCTTTCCCCGTTTCCTTTTTATCAAGTGGAGAAGCTGGAAGCTGAGCACAATTGGAGCATCCGGGCCAGGTTTAGCCCACCTTCCAGGGTTGTTGTGATAGTTGCGTTTCAGAGGGAACCAACCGCCTGTCTCTCTCTTCGTGCCCTGCAGGTTTTCAGCAGAGAAGAAATGGCGCACATTGCGGACCTGTGCGTGAGGCACGACGTGGTCTGTTTCAGCGACGAAGTCTACGAGTGGCTGGTTTATGATGGAAATGAGCACGTGAGGATTGGTAAGGCCCATCCGACTCAGGGCTTCGGTTCTGACCTAGGCTTCCCCAAAAAGCACGAAGCGGACTCCTGGTCCCGACAAAACCCCTTTTTATTAAGTTACTGCGAATTCCTCTCATTCACACTCAACAAAGTCTTTCAAGGGAGAACTTATAGTCACAGACCTTATCTGGCTTGGAGAGCTGCCAGGCCGATATCTTCAAAACTTGGCAAGGAGTCTCGGAGAGTCACAAACCAATTAAGCGAACTAATTGTCTCCTGCAAACTCCACTCCCCTTTCGCTCCTCTTTTATTCCCTCTGGGAGGGGCCATTCTTCAGCCACCCGTGGCTTTACTCCTGAATCGACCCTGTTTCCTTAATTGTTCCTGTCTTCTGGCAGCTCTGTGCATGCACATACTGGGAACAAGCTCCAGCTGTTCTTCTGCCTCACTGATGTCTGACTCCGAAGGCAGCTGATAACTGTCAGACGGCCCTGGCCCCCTCTCTGCCTCTGACGCAGAGCCCTCATCAGAGCCTTCCCCAGACTCCAGGACTGGTCCAGGTTCCTTCCCCAACCTCCCCACTTTCTGAATCTGCTGCCAGATCCGCTGGCCGCTGGTGGGCCACAACAGCTTCTCCCACAAACGTCTCCACCTGTATTCCCAGTTCCTTACAGGGAGTCTCCTTGGGTGAAAGAGGTGGGGTGTTCATTTCTTTTCTCTCTGTTTGATAGCCAGTTTGCCAGGAATGTGGGAGCGGACGGTGAGCATTAGCAGCGCTGGCAAATCCTTCAGTGCCACGGGATGGAAGGTGAGGGAATCTGGTGTGGCAGCAGCCACACACCTGAGCTTCGATGGGTTTTGCACACAGGAAGGTCCTCGGTTCGACACAGGTCATAAATATGAGTCAGTAGCCAAGTGTCCTAATTTGAATCACAGGTCCACGGGGAGTCTGCAACGGTCGTGTAGAAAACAATCCTAAATCACTGTTTTCAGTGCCGTTGTAACTTCAGTCACTAAAGAAGTGGTTGTAAGTCGAGGCCTGTCTGTACACACTCCCCACACCCAAAGACACACTCACAGCATTTCTTTTAAGGGCAGAACTAGCTGTCAATTTAGGAACAGACCAGCCGAGGATGTGAAGAAAAAACACGAAAGATACGAAATCATGGCGTGTCCTCTTTCGTCTCGACAGGTCGGCTGGGCCATCGGGCCCGATCGCCTCTTGAAGCACCTAAGAACCGTTCACCAAAATTCGATCTACCACTGTGCCACAGCGGCTCAGGTAAGAGGACAGGGCCGCAGGACGCGTGGTGTTCACACAACCGGGATCACCCGGCTGCCAATCAGCCCGTTTACGGGGTTTGCACAGTGGGCTAAAACCATCCGCTAAACCAAGCCATCCAGATTCTCACCATGTGATGGTTCCAGGAGCCATAAGCAATCACAGATAATAGATCACCCAGGACTAGAAACAGATACGGAGCTCTGCAGAGATCCTAAAGATTAATTGATCCTAGTTAGTCTTCCATCGTTTATTGACTGCCTTTTGATCCCCAGACATTTATCAACCCCTTGATCTGTCCCATCAAGTCTTGGGAATCAGTATTGAGTCCTTTGGGGATCCCTGCTCTAAGATCCTCTGGGCAAAGTTTTCTTGGTCATCTTTCTAATCATCTGCCAGAGTAATTGGGAAGTCCCCTCCCGTTTTTTATGTATTACCTATAACCTATTGTCTATTATCTATTATCTATTATCATTGTCTGTTATCTATTATCTGTTACCTGTTGGCTGTTGTCTATTCATTATCTACCTTATGATCCTTGATGAACGTATCTTTTCTTTTATGTAGTCCAAGGGCATATGCACCAAAGACAAATTCCTTGTGTGTCCAAGCACACTTGGCCAATAAAGAATTCTGTTCTGCTCTGCTCTGCTCTGCTCTGCTCTGCCCTGCCCTGCCCTATCCTATCCTATCCTATCCTATCCTATCCTATCCTATCCTATCCTATTATCTATCTATCTATCCATCCATCCTATCTATCTATCATCTATCTATCTATCTATCTATCTATCTATCTATCTATCTATCTATCTATCTATCTATCATCTATCTATCTATCATCTTTATCTATCTATCTATTATCTTTTATCATCTATTATCTAGGGAGAAGATCCCTAAGTCCCACCCTATTAATATTTTGCAAGCTGCCTCCCTCTTTCCCAAGCTCTGAAAAGCCCATGGCCCATGGCTCGTTCAATACATTGGATCGTTGCACCAGCCGACGCTGCCTTGCTGCCCCATCATTCTCTCTTTCACCTTTGCTTCAGCAGGAGGCTGTGGCCCGTGGACTTGAAGAAGAGTTGGGGTGCCTCGGCAAGCCCGAGAGCTATTTTGTGCAGCTGCCCAACGAGCTTCAGCAGAAACGGGATCTGCTGGTGGAGAGCCTGGTCTCGGTGGGCATGAAACCCATCGTGCCAGAGGGCACCTACTACCTGATCGCCGACCTCTCGACATTTAGTGAGTTTGCCCCCAGCCACGCCAAATATCCTGGGGGGTGAGAGGAACTTTAGTAAAAAGAATCAGGGGAGGTTGCCAAGGCCTGTCATTATCCTTCGTCTTTTCTTCCAGAAATTGATTTGCCGCCTTCGGAAGAACCCTACGATTTTCGTTTTGCAAAATGGATGATTAAGAACAAGGTGAGTGGAGAATGCGGGGCTCTCAAGTGGGGTCTCTCTGAGCACCAAGGACCCTTCGTCTCAACCCTGAGCCTCAAATCATTCTCCCTCACTGGGGCTCTAAAGCTTCACCAGGAAGGTTCTTACCAGTTGGCTCTTGTTACAATCCAAGAAGGTGAATGAAATAGAGAACAACAGAGTTGGAAGGGACCTTGGAGGTCTTCTAGTCCAGCCCCCTGCTCAAGCAGGAGCATGATAGCAGTCTTCCACTATCTCAGGGGCTGCCACAAAGAAGAGGGAGTCAAGCTATTCTCCAAAGCACCTGAAGGCAGGACAAGAAGCAACGGGTGGAAACGAATCAAGGAGAGAAGCAACGTAGAACTAAGGAGAAATTTCCTGACAGTGAGAACAATTAACAGTGGAACTGCTTGCCTCCAGAAGTTGTGAATGCTCCAACACTGGAAGTTTTTAAGAAGATGTTGGATAACCATTTGTCTGAAGTGGTGTAGGGTTTCCTTCCTAAACATGGGGTTGGACTAGAAGACCTCCAAGGCCCCTTCCAACTCTTCTCTTCTCTTCTCTTCTCTTCTCTTCTCTTCTCTTCTCTTCTCTTCTCTTCTCTTCTCTTCTCTACAAGTGGCTGTCCAACCTCTTCTTAAAAACCTCCATTGATGGAGCACCCACAACTTTTGGAGACAAGCCGTTCCACCGATAAATTGTTCTCACTGTCAGGAAATGTCTCCTTAGTTCTAGACTGGATCTCTCCTTGAATAGTTGATCACTTTCTTTATGATAAGTTGGCAACCCCCAATAATTCAGTTCTAAAACATGCATCCAGAGGAACTGGAATAAATGTTTGTTTGTTTGTTCACTTTATTTGCTGCCCTTCTCCTAGCCAATGACTCTGGGCATCTTACAACATAAAAAATGTTCCTTTATTAATGTTTCATTCTGAGCTGGGAGCATTTCAAACGTGGGAAGAGGCGCTGAAAAGCTGCCAGTTTTGCCCCGTTTTTCTCTCTTTTTTTGGAGAAAGGTAAACCTCACATTTTTAGCGGCAGTGGACAAGAAGACATTGGAACTTCCCAAACTGCCTTTTGAGTGGTTGATAGTTTAATGACCTAACATGGAATAAATTCTGCTCTCAGCTCTTTTTTTATTTATTTGGGGTGGGGTGGGGGTGGGAAGAGAAAAAGAGCTGTATTTTGCTTTTGGTGCTGATTTCTCATGTCCTTTCCTACAGCGACTGGCTTCCATTCCTGTCTCTGCTTTCTACAGTCTCCCGCAGAAGAAGAATTTTGACCATTTCCTGCGTTTCTGCTTTGCAAAGGTGAAGAATCCGGGGGGTCGGTGAACAACAAATAATGTTTAAAAGTTACTTTTGCAGTCTGGGTTTCAAAGGAGACTAGAAAGAAGGATCTCCTTGGAATAAGTGGATTTTTTAAAAAACCTGCCCAATCCAACATACAGGGTAGTCCTCAACTTACAAATAATTTGTTTAGCGACCATTCAAAGTTACAAGGGCAGTGAAAAAAGTGACATACGACTGACCATTCCTCACACTTATGACTCTTGCAACATTTCCAGGGTCACATGATCAAAATCTTCCCTTCCCTTTTTCATCCATTTACTTCCTTCCTTTCTCCTTTCCCTCTGCCTTTCTCCTCCTTTCCTTTCCTTTCCTAATCCTAATCCTAATCCTAATCCTAATCCTAATCCTAATCCTAATCCTAATCCTATTTCATGTTTAATTTATCACTTTTTTCAAAATAACAATTCAATATATTTTATTTTTAAAAAGCTCATCCTTTTGTCTTTCAATCTTTTAGGAGGACTCGACCTTGAATGCCGCCGGGGACATCTTGAAGGAATGGAGCCAGGAAAGGCAAAACCAGTGACTCATCAGCCCTGGGGCAGAGAAGCAGAGGCAAGCTTTGGGGCGTGTTGGCCACCTGCCCTATGGGGGAGACTGATTTCCTGGGCCATTTGACACGGATTATCTTTCCTCCTCCTTCTGCAGGGTCTATGAGGCTCCTGGCCAGCTAGTTTTCCAAGGTCTCAGCAAGATGATGGGGGCTCCTACCCAGCCCAGTGGCGATGCAGTTGTGCGTCAAAGAATATTCACACCCCTGGAGATGCTGAAAACCTCCCAGGGGTCCCTACTTTCTCAGGGTGTCAAATTTTAATTAAAGCTGCACTCTGTGCTGTTTGTCTGCAAAGTGTTTGTTCCCAGCCATGTGTAGCATCCTAGGGCTGGAAGGGAGCGTAAAACTCATGCACGGAGCAACAATTCAGGACGTTGGGCTCCCCTCTCATTCCCACGATCAATTTTAACCTACAGTGGTTGTTTGCCAGACCATAATAGCAGGGGTGAAATCCAGCAGGTTCTGGAGAACCAATAGCGGAAATTTTGAATAGTTCAGAGAACTGGCAAATGCCACCTCTGGCTGGCCCCAGAGTGGGGAGGGAATGGGGATTTTGCAGTATCCTTCCCCCAGGAGTGGGGAGGGAATGGGGATTTTGCAGTATCCTTCCCCCAGGAGTGGGGAGGGAATGGAGATTTTGCAATATCCTTCCCCCAGGAGTGGGGAGGGAATGGGGATTTTGCAGTATTCTTCCCCTGCCACGCTCACCAAGCCACACCCACCAAGCCACGTCCACAGAACCGGTAGTAAAAAAATTTGAATTTCACCACTGCATAATGGCCAGCATGAACCTCTCATTGCTTGGATGCATCAGCGGAAGAGGCTATGGTTACATGAAGAACTTTGCAAGGGTTTCATGATGATGCGCTAGGTCAAAATTAAGCCGAATGGTTTCAGCCAGGTTCACACTACCATGGGTTGTTTGGAGGGTTGCTTGAACCTGGCCCTTGAACCAAGGGGGTCTTCGATACACTCTTCTTGGCTCATACACACCAGCCATATTTCTTTAACCTGAGGTTTCAATATCCTACCCAAGTAATTTTTGAAACATTACTTGGATTTATGTCAAAGTTAGTCTTTGCTTCATAAAACTCAGAGCAAGAGAACCGTTAGGTTTTTTTTTTCTTTTTCTCATTTTAAGTGTCTCTTTTATTAAATAAAAAGGAACATTCCACCCCCAACAAAAATAGCTAAAAGGAGTTTTTAAAAAAAAAAAAACCACCAGCAGAAAAATCACACAAAAACTGGGTTAAAACCTACAAGGACATTAAAAAAAAAAAACTCAAAAAGAAAGAAAGAGCGAGATACACAGAGAGAGAGAGAGGGAGGGAAGGAGGGAGGAAGGAAGGAAGAAAGAAAAAAGAAAGAGAAAGAAAAAGAAAAGGGAAGGAATAAGGGATGGAAAAGAAGGGGGAAAGGAAAGGAAGAGAAAGAAAATAGACAGGAGAGGAAAGGAAGGAATAAAGGGGAAAGGAAGAGGAAAGAAAAAAGGAAAGGGAAAGAAAAAGAAAGGGAAGGGAAGGGAAGGAAAAGAAGGGAAAAAGGAAAGGAAGAGAAAAAATAAAAGAGGAAAGGAAGGAATAAAGGGGAAAGGAAGAGGAAAGAAAAAAGGAAAGGGAAAGAAATAAAAAGGAAGGGAAGGGAAGGAAAGGAAAGGAAAAAAGGGAAAAAGAAAAGGAAGAGAAAGAAAATAGAAGGGAGAGGAAAGGAAGGAATAAAAAGGAGAAAGGAAAGAGGGAGAAAGAAAGAAAAGGAAAGGATAAAAAGCAATCTCACTAATTCCCATATATGAAGCCGGATGGCCCCCTCTATATCTTTTTATCAGTCTGTGGCTCCTTCTCGCCCCACCCAATCAGCGGCCGCCTCCGGAAGTTGCCGGCCGGGGATTGGCTGGCTGCAACATGGCGGAGCGGAGCCGGGCGAAGCGAGTGCGGGAGGTGCACGTGGGTCGCGGGACGGATTAGCGGGGATGGGTAGGGGGGGGAGGCTGCTGCTCTTTGCACCTGGGGCTGGTAGACTGCTCCTGGGCATGGAGGCTCCATGCGGTGCTGGCTGGGCGTTGGAATCCTTTTTTGCTGAGAATTTGCAAAAATGGATTTTGATTGATTTGATTGATTGATTATTTAATTGATTTGATTGATTCATTGATTGATTCATTGGCAAAACTGATTGATTGATTGATTGTCCTAATTTCAGTCAAAATTTCATCCTGTTTAGTTGGACATCCCATGTAATGATAACACGCCCATTTATTTATAACATTCCTTCCTCCCTTCCTCCTTTACTTTCTCCTTCCTCCCTCCCTCTCTCTCTCATTCATTCATTCAATCAATCAATTTTATCCTGCAGCACTTCAAGCTGCATTTACTCTAGTGCTGACAGATACTTTTGCTCTTTTAACTTGGCATGTTTAGCATGTTTTGTGAACCCATCTTAAGAGATGGGGGGGGAAAAGGTTTCAAGGTTTACGCTTTCTACACCAAGTAAGTTAGCAAAACAGGGATTTTGAAGGACTTCAAATGGTAAACAAGAGATCCGTTAATAAATACAATAAATCCATGTTTTTCATACTTGGAAAGCCAATTGAGAAGAGGCAGCCCTGTCGTGGAGGGGTTACAGAAGCAGTTGGGCAACAGAATAGAGGGAACAATTTGGAAACAAATTAGCTTTTGTCTTCCAAACTGACCAAGTCTCTCTACTGTTTTCTAGGGAAAAGAAGAAAAGGTTGATTGGCGCAAATGGAAACAACAAAGTAAGTACTGATTTTTAAAAGATATTCTTTTAAAAAAGGGCTAAAAGGTTCTATAACATTTATGTTGTAAAACTAGAAGGCTAAAATCTTTAGAGCCAGAAACTATGAATAAATGGAGTTTTCCTTTTAAACTCTCTAATAAAAAGGTGGGAAATGTGCCAGATCTGATTGTCCAATTCTGTTATCCAATTTTACATCTGGTTTACGCCCATACTTAGCTTTACTATGGCTTGTTGAATAAAGTATCATTGGCTGGATCCAGACAAATTTCAGCCCAAGCTAACCCAATCAAAATTAGAACCACTTTATTTTATCTTAACTTTTATCTAATTTGAAAAGAGATTAGTATTGGCATTGATGGCTAGGTCAGCCCATTGCACTAAGCCATGGTTTATCTAGCTATGGTTTCATGAATAAACTATGATTGGCTGGGTTGGCACAAGAACCCTTGCCCTAAACCAGGGTTTGTGAATCACAGTGCGCAAGTTTGCTCAACGTGATGGAGAAGAGTGTGATGTTGATGGCTTTCGAGGGCCCCGTTTCTTCTCCGTCCGAATTTCTTCTCTCTGTTCTAGAAAAAGAAGAGACGAAACAATGGAAAGAGATGAAACTGTTGAAGAAGCTGGAGAAGAAGAGAGCCCGAGAGCTGATGGAGAAAGAGAGAGAAGAAGCAAAGCCGACGGAGGAAAAAGGTAGCAGCCAAAATGCAGGAAACCTATTTTGGGTATCAGACTAGAATTGAAGAACGAGAAAGGTTAAATTCACAGACAGACAGCTTGGGCCAAGAGTGTTTGAGTGTATTTTCATTGCATGGTGGATTGAGGGTTAATCCTAGTTAGTTTCTTTTTCTTTTCGTGGCTTATCCTTTTCTTGATCAACAGCCCCAAATCCAGAAACGGAATTAATACAGTAGTATTAGATTAAATAAAGAGAGTCACTTTGGGGCAGTGATGAAGGTGCTGGCCCAGAAACCAGGTGACGGTGAGTTCTAGTCCCATCTTCGGCATGAAAGCTGACTAGGTGACTTGACGTCAATCGGCAGGAGACAGTGAGTTCTAGTCCTGCCTTAGCCAAGAAAGCCAGCTGTGTGACTTTGGTGCAATCACCAGAAAACAGAGAGTTCTAATCCCAGTTTGGGATGAAAGCCAGATGGGTGATTTGGGGACAGTGCCTCTTCTCAGCCTAGCGCCCACCTCAGAAGGTTGTTGTTGTGGGGAAAATAGGAGGAGAAAAGAGTATTAAGTATGTTCAGAAGAAAGAGCAAAAGGAGATGGAGGGAAGAAATGCTTTTGGGGGGCGAGTTGGGATTCCTTTTTCCTAACTTCTCCCCTTCTTTTCTAGGGCGGCACTACACAGTCAGCGTAGCTGTTCCCGGATCGATTCTAAGCAATGCGCAGTCTCCTGAATTGCGGACGTATCTGGCCGGACAAATAGCCCGTGCCTGCGTCATCTTCTGCGTGGACGAAATTGTGGTGTTTGATGAACAAGGAGAAAATTCCAAGTAAGGGGGTGGCCTCAGTTTCATTCTGTTCTGTTTTCTGCCAGCGGACAGAGTTAGCAAAATGTCAGGCTCTGCGTTGGTACGATGGTTTTTTCCCACCCGAGCAATTTTTAGGCCGAGAAGTGGCATTTTTATAAAACTGGGTCGCCAGTTCGAGGCACTCGGTGACTTTTGCTGCTTGCCTTTCAGGACCATCGAAGGCGAGTTCAAGGGGGTCAAGGGCAAAGGCCAGGCCTGCGTCCAGCTGGCCCGGATCCTTCAGTACCTAGAGTGCCCGCAGTAAGTCAGCCTGCCAAGATTGTCCAGTTCAAAACGGGCCAAAACAAGGTGCAATCATGACCTTGGAGCCTTTTAGCTCAACCTGGCATTGGGCTTTACCTGCACGGTTTTCTTAAGGAAAGCAATAGGTCTTCTGTGCTCTTCTTTTGTGAACAGGTATCTAAGGAAGTCTTTTTTCCCCAAACATCAGGACCTGCAATTTGCTGGTAAGTCCTGGATTCCCGTTTCCTCAATTAGGTAAAGGTAAAGGTTCCCCTCGCACGTATGTGCTAGTCGTTCCTGACTCTTGGGGGCGGTGCTCATCTCCGTTTCAAAGCCGAAGAGCCAGCGCTGTCCGAAGACGTCTCCGTGGTCATGTGGCCGGCATGACTCAACGCCAAAGGCGCACGGAACACTGTTCCCTTCCCACCAAAAGTGGTCCCTATTTTTCTACTTGCATTTTTTACCTGCTTTCAAACTGCTAGGTTGGCAGAAGCTGGGACAAGTCACGGGAGCTCACCCTGTTACGTGGCACTAGGGATTCGAACCACCGAACTGCCGACCTTCCGATCGACAAGCTCTGCCTCTTAGCCACTGAATTATTATATTTATAAAATAATTATTATATTATTTTATATTATAATATAAATATATGTATAAAATAATTCCTCAATTAGCGTTACCCAAATTCAGTTACTTAACAAGATGTGTGGACTTCAGCTCCCAGAATTCCCCAGCTGGCATAAAACATTGCAAGACCTGATCATGGGGCTGCGGGATTTCTTTCTTTCTTTATTGAGTTTATTTGGCTGCCCATCTTACCTCTAGGAGGCTTACAGTGTTAAAAAAGAGTAAAACTATACAAAGTCTGTATAGTTAGTCCTCAACTTAAAAACAGTTCATTTAGTGACTGTTCGAAGTTACGACTGAAGAGAGTGACTTACGACCATTTTTTACACTTACGACTGTTGCAGAAACCAGATCTTAGCCACAGAAATGTTGGGCTCAATTGTGGTTATAACTTGAGGACTAATTGTATGAGAAATTGCCTACTCATGGATCATTTCAGGGCTCTTGAACCCTCTGGACAGTCCACACCATGTCCGAATGGACGAAGAGTCGGAGTATCGGGAAGGGATCGTTCTGGCCCGGCCCACCAAACCTGGCCAAGGGTCTTTCGTGAACTGTGGGATGCGGAAGGTAATTCATGGAGGCCGAGCCGGGTCAGAATAACTGAGCATTGGCTGCCCCGTCTGCCTTCTCTGCCCTCCCGCGAGATGAACGGGGAACCTTCTGTGACGGGACAGCTGCTCAAGCCAATGGCTGGCCGAGTGGGAGGAGCCTACGGGCTGCAATTGGTTGGTTGGACAGACAGTTGACATGGATGGACAGATGGATGTCTGGAGAGATGACATGAATGGATAGATGGATTGAAAGAGATGATTGATCACAGATAGGGAGAGAGAGAGAGACAGATATGGATGGATGGACAGATGAAAGGGAGGTAGAGATATGGATGGATGGAGGGATCGATGGACAGACAGACAGACCAGTTGGTTTGACTGCTCTGCCCAGGCCAAGTGATGCTCCAGGCTGGCGTTGTTTTCCTACAGGAGGTCCAGATAGATAAGCAATTGGAAGGGGGCCTTCGTGTCACTGTGCGCCTGGATGAAAAGCAGAATGCAGGTACCGTTCCACAAATCCTCGTCTCGACTTAGAAACTCAAAATCAAAACTTCTGACCGGCCCTGACTCCTTTCTCTTTCAGAGAGCAAAAAGGAGAAAGGTGTTGTTGTATCATCACAAAGTCCTCGCACCGTTTCTGGCCTTTACTGGGGCTACAGCGTCCGATTGGCTTCGTGTCTGAGTAAGTCTGCGTGAACTTTCTCTCTCTCTCGGTAAAATGTTTACCCAAAGCTGGGAAGGGGAGAAAAGGAACTGAATGCCAAAGGATGCTTTTAGGGGAGATCTCTGAGAAATGGCAGGGAGAAAATACAATATGTTTTTCTTAATTTTCCTATTTCTTCCTTCCTTCTTTGTCCTTCAAATCTTGAGGGAATGAATGGCTTCTACCTTGGGGATCTTAGCGTGTAAGTTATATTTTCAAGATTTTGTCTTTCTTCCCTACCAGGTGCCGTCTTTGCTGAATCTCCTTTTAAGGATGGCTACGATCTCTCCATTGGAACCTCGGAACGCGGATCCTCCATAGATGAAGCCACTCTACCTGCCTTCAGGTAGCCAGAGTGAATTTTCTGTGTCATGTTTTAGGCTAAAACTGTTGCAAGAATTAGGAACGTCTAGTTTAAAAAAGAAAATCGCTAGGAGAGACATGATGGCAGTCTTCCAATATTTGAGGGGCTGCCACAAAGAAGAGGAGGTCAGCTTAATTTTCCAAAGCACCTGAATTCAAAGCTTGAATTTAACCTGAATTTAAGGAGAAATTTCCTGACGGTGAGAACAGTTAAGCAGCGGAATGGCTTCCCTCCAGAAGTTGTGAATGCGTCAACACTGGAAATTTTGGGAGAGCCATTTGTCCAGAAGGTCTCCTACTTGAGCAGGGAGTTGGACTAGAAACTCCAAGGTCCCTCTTGCATTCTGTCTCTGCCCTGCAGGAGCCGAGACAGCCTTCCCAAAACCCCTTCTCCCTTTGTCTCCTCCTGGCAGCCATGCTTTAATCATCTTCGGGGGTGTGAATGGTCTTGAAACCGGAGTGGATGCGGATCCCAACCTGGACGTCAGCGACCTCAGTACCTTGTTCGATTTGTATTTGAACACCTGTCCGGGGCAAGGAAGCCGCACCATCAGGACGGAGGTAAGCCAGGGTTGCTACAGGTTACCCCTGCAGTGGGATGGCCTGTCTCTCCGGGCAGCTTCTCAAACCGAGTCAGGACCTCCCTGCAGGAAGTTTCCTAATTTCACCTGATCTGGGGGATTCTGGGAGATGAAGTCCACGTATCTTAAAGCAGGTCGGTTTCACAGCCTGCCAAGGTGGTCAGTTGGAGAATGTGATTTATGACATGCCCAGGAAGGAGGGGGGAGACAGGGTCATGGGGGCCCGTAAATTTATGTGAGGTCAGTTCTGACTCCATCGGAGTATTGCCGGAATGGTGCTCCTAAATAAATGAGCGTATTTCTTTTGAAGTTTGGCTCATGAATTAATTAGGACATCTTTCAGAAACTTCACACCGTGGTTGCCCTAAAGATAGTCCTTGATTTATAACCATTGGCAGAGGAGCAGATTAAAATTACAAAGGCACTAAAAAAAAAACGGGCCTATGGCCAGTCCTCAGCTATGACCGTCCCAACATCCCCATGGTCACATGTTCAAATTTTGAACGCTGAACAATTCTCATATTTATGACCGTCGCAACGTCCCGGGGTCACGTGATTTCCTTTTGCGACCGTCTGACAAGCAAAGTCAACGGGGAAGCCAGATTCACTTAACAACCGTGTGACTAACGTGACTGCAATGATTCACTTAACAACAGTGGCAAGGAAGGTCATAAAATGGGTCAAAAACTGACTTAACAACTGTCTCGCTCAGCAATAGAAATTTTGGGCTCGATTGTGGTCATAAGTCGAGGACTAGCTGTTCTTCTGTTTCTGGATCCTTGACAGATCCTGTGGGACGTGTCATTACAGATTCAGAAAGAAGCGATCCTTTTAATCCAGTGGCTGACTTCAGATCTTGTCTTTATAGGAAGCTCTCCTGGTCTCGCTCTCGGCGCTGAGGCCTAAGATTGACGCAGCGGCTAAGAAAGGACGAAGTGGGAGCTGAGTGCTAGATGCGAGGCAGAGCCCCCCACCCCTGAGGGCCAAATGGGGAACAGATGTGTAAGGACCGGTCCAGCTGCCCCCAAATGGACCAACTGGGGCACCCTGTGAGAGGGGTGCCAAGATGGTGGCACCCATGAACCCATATGGAGTTTAAGACGGACCATAGAACAAGCTTCTTAAATTTGGCAATTTGACAAGGTGCGGACTTCAACTCCCAGAATTCTGCAGCTCCTTTCCCTTCCATAAGTGGAGAGGCCACACCTGTATTTTATTCATGCTGGTATTTTTTAAAGTTATTTATAACGATGGAGGGGACCTGCAGCCACCTCACTCCAACCAAGAAACTAGAGTTAAAGCTGAACGAAAGAGGCTGTTTCGTCATTTCTTTTGGTGGGGAAAAAATATGTCTTCAAAGCATTATTTACGTGGCAGAAATAAATGGGAGAAGGGGGCTGTCTCCTCGTCTCCCAAGTCCCAGTTGTGGTCATAATTGGAAGACAGATACAAGGCAGAGATCAGCTGGTTTTGGGAAACAAAATTCCAGGACCATCTCCGAGCAATTCGTCTTGTTTTATTGTGCAAAACAGATCCGGAGGTATCCATTTATTTCTCCCTGCTTCAAAATACAACCCTCAACCTGAGTTTTGGGCAAAGGACAGCATTGTTTTCCCTGAGATGAGGCAAGCACCCGTCTACCTTGCTGATCTCCCCCTCTCCCCCGAAAATTTCCCTGGAACTGGAGAAATCCTAAAAAATAAATTTTCTTAGCGTTTCTAAAAGAAACTAGACGCTCTTCCCTCAATGACCGTTTTTCACACTTAACGACCGTTGCGGCATCCCCATGGTTGCGTGATCAAAATTCCAGAGGCTTGGCAGCTGATTCACATTTATGACTGATTCTATGTCATAAATATGTCATATGTCATTCTATGTTGGTTTTAAAGTTTGATACTGATTTTTAATTGAAATGTTTTAAATTATGGGCCAAATTTCATTTAATTATTTTTAAAATTATTTTAACTTTTGTGTACAAATGTTTTTATTTGGCTGTTCACCGCCCTGAGTCCAAAAGGAGAAGGGCGGGATAAAAATCTAATAAATAATAATAATAATGACGGTCGCAGAGTTAGGTGATTCCCCTCTTGCGACCTCTTGACAAGCAAAATCCCCGGGGAGGCCAGATTAACAACCCTGTGACTGATTTAAATCAGTGATGGCAAACCTTTTCGGCACCAAGTTCCCAAACTGGAATATGCGTGCATGTGTCTGCAGTTGCGCGAGCACTGGAAACCTGAATACCAGCTGACTGGTGTGCACATGCCTGTTTTGTGGCCGTTTTTTGACTGTTTTCAGGCCAAAAACGGCCTGTTTTTGAGCCATTTTTCGGCCTGTTTTTCAGCCGCTTTTTGGCCTCTTTTTCAGCCGTTTTTTGGCCTCTTTTACAGCCATTTTTCGGCCTTTTTTTCAGCCGTTTTTCAGCCACTTTTTCATCAGTTTTTCAGGCCATTTTCTGGCACTCTGGCACCCGTGAAGCCCAGCTGGCCGGCATGCCAGAAACCAGAAGAGAGAGGGCTCTGCGTGCCACCTCTGGCACACGTTTCATAGGTTCTCCATCATGGGACTTAACAATTGCAACGATTCACTGGAAAACGAGGGCAGGAAACGTCGTAAAGTGGGGGCCAAACGCCCTCGACAACTGTCTTGCTTAGCAACAGAGATTTTTCGGGCTCAATTGTGGTCGCAAGGCGAGGACTACCTCTATTCAGACGCCACTCACGGGGGTGGGGGAGGGGAGTCCGTCTCTGCAGTGGTCATCAGGCCGAGCTCCCAGCCGTGATTGCTTTCAACCTGGTGGTCTTTTTCATGATGTTGGGGACGAAGAGGAGGCCCGAGGACCTCTCGATGCTCTCGATGGGGACCAGGAAGCGTTCCAGGGGGACGTTCTCATCTATGGGTGCGTTGGGCATGACGTAGGACTGCAGCTCCACTTCCCCCCGGGGTTTTTCTAAGATCAGTACCTTGAAGAAGTGGGTGGGGACGGCCACGTGGTTTCGGCCGATGACTTGATACTTCACGTACATCTTCCCATCTGGCTCCATCCTGCGGAGAGAAACGGCCCTTAAAAAAAACCATCTCTATTCAGCCCCTCCCTCCCCAAAAAAGCCACGTAAGTTTCTAGTCCTCGCCGCATGGATTTGCATATCAAAGACCAAATGGGATATTAGTTTGGCTTCCTCCAGAGAAGTGCTCAGTTTAACTCCAGGTGTTTATACAAATTTTCTACAAGAATTTGTATTTTCAATTTCTTTTTTAAGATTCAAGATCTTCCAAATTTTCAGTTTTAAAAAAAGATTAATGATCTTGGTTATGAGCACTGCCTCTTGCCTCTTATAGTTGACAACTTTTAATTGTTTTACACATATAGTAAATTTTTAAAAAAATAATATAGCCCAAATACAAATGTTTGCATGACACAACCACGCTTTAATGGCATTAAATTAATTTTCTGCAATGACATTCGGCCAATAAAAGAACCCAGCAGGCTGAGCTTGCCACAGAGTATAGAATTTTACTCTGCACCCAAAATTTTTCTATGCCATGGCAACCAGACACATTGCTTTAAGATCTGCTTGGATCTTTTGGCCAACCTCGTGATAAAAATTCAAAATAACTTTTTTTAACAGTCCCTTTTCCCTTGGATCCTGCGACAGGTGGGATGGCTACGGGGTAGAAAGGGGAAACTGAGGAACAGGTACCTGGGTAGGAAAAGCGGGCCGGTGCAGACATAAACGTTCTGGTGAGTCTTCGTTAAACTCCGAGAATATTTTTCCAAGTTATTCCAGGCGTTTTGATTTAAATGAGGATTCTAGGAAGTCAAAGCCACCAGGTTAGATAGAAGGCGAGAGAGGTAAAATGTCCAACATTCAGAAGTACAGGAAGTCCTTGACTTACCACCATTTGTTTAGTGACCAAAGTTACAACAGCACTGGAAAAAGTGACTTATGACCATTTTTCACACATGACCATTGCAGCATCCCTGGGGTCATGTCATGGCAACTGACTCATAGTTATGACGGTTGCCACGTCCGGGGGGAGGGGGGGTTCATCTGTTCACCTTTAGTGACTTTCTGACAAGCAAAGTCAATGAATGGGGAAGCCCGATTCACAACTGTGTTATAATTTGATTAATAAGTAATAAGCAATGATTTGATCATTACGACTATCACTAAGTGTTGAACCTTATGAATGACGAACATGTTTTATTTTTTCTTTATGTACACTGAGAGCATATTATGCACCAAAGACATATGCTTGTGTGTCCAATCACACTTGGCCAATAAAGAAGTCAAGTCAAGTCAACTCATGTCAAGTCAATAAGTCAACTCTACTCTACTCTACTCTACTCAAGTGAGGGGACTCCTCCATGACTCAACCTGGGGTACGGGAGGGCATCCATCCGTTCCCCCCCACCGCTTACCTGCGGGGCGATGTTGCTCAGGTAGAAGGTGTCCCCCATGGCTTTCTGGCTCCACTTGTGGTTGGCGGCGGCGGCCAGGTGGCCTCGGTCGAAGCCGCTGCCCCGGTAATCCGCGTTGCTGGCGCGGTGATAGGGGTGGATGGAGTCGTCCTCGCGGAAGTCGCAGGCGGCCCGCTCGGAGGAGCCGCGAAGGGCCGCCGCGTCCAGCCGCTCCACCACCCAGAGGGCGCTCCGGGCTCGCGGGTCGTAGCACAGCACGTAGGAGTCGCGGCTCCGCAGCTGAGACAGCCCCGGCAAGCCGTACTTGGCCAGCTCGCCGCTGCCGCCCCGGCTCACCTCCAAGGAGGAGGCCGCCGCCACCGGCACGACGGGCAGCCGCGCCAGCAGCCCCTCCGCGGACGCCCCTTCCCGGCTCTGCCCACCGGCCCAAGCGGCGCCCAAGCCCAGCCCGAGGGCCAGCGAGGCCGCCGCGGGCGCCAGGTTGCACCACCAGCGCCGCATCCCCGTTCGCCGAGAATGGAACGCGCCGGGATCAAAGGGATGGAACGTTGGGAGGAAGCAAAGGGAGGAGAAAGTGATACAAGGAAGCTTCTCTTAAAGGGGCAACGGCGCCCAGCGGGTGGGGGGGGCCAAGGGCTGGTTGGGCGGACAGGACGGGACCTTCGCCCATTGGCACCTTTTGGGCTGGGAGCGCCGCAGGGAGGGGGTGAAAGTCGCAAAATCGCCCCTTTATACATCACCAACCTGGCAAAATTTGGAAGATCCAGCTGAAAATCCCCCCCCCATCCCTTGTTGATTTAGATTTATATTAAATCTAAATTTATTAAATTTAATAAAATAAATAAAATAAAATAAATATTGACCACTTCCCTATGACTATCATTAAGTGTTGTACCTGATGATTCTTGAGGAATGTATCTTGTCTTTTTATCTACACTGAGAGCTTAAGCACCAAAGACAAATTCCTTGTGTGTCCAATCACACTTGGCCAATAAAGAATTCTATTCTATTCTATTCTATTCTATTCTATTCTATTCTATTTTCTATTCTATTCCATTCCATTCCATTCCATATTTCTATTCTATTCTATTCTATTCTATTCTATTCTATTCTATTCTATTCTATTCTATTCTAGTCTATTCTATTCTATTCTACTCTACTCTACTCTACTCTACTCTACTCTACTCTATTCCAGCCTACCTCATGAGGCTGTTGTGATGGGAAGAAAGCTAGTAGAAAGTGGCCGCTTTATCCTCCCAATTAAAGCCCTGAAAATGGGATCTTAAGAGTTGCCACCCATCGGGCATTTCCGTTTTAAGAAACGTCCGTATTCTTTGCACTTTCGCGCCCTCTGCCTGTCCTTGAAGATATTTAAACCTCCTCCAGGGATTTGGGAAATGGGGTTTAAGGCTAAATCACCTTTGATTGCAACCGCCTCTTTTGTTAATCCATTTCAGTGTTTCTCAACCTTGGCAGCTTTTAATATGCGGAGACTTCGAGTCCCAGAATTCCCCAGCCAGCAGAGCTGCAGAATAAATAAAAATAGTAAATAAAAATAGTCCAGTTCCTTTGTCTACTTTAATTCCAATTTCAAAGCCTCCTCAAAATAATATTTCAAAATAATTGTCCCCTCTATGCATCATCTCTTTTAATTCCAATTTCTGCAAATAACCTTTTGCCCCCGAAATAATTCTGTAAAATAACTATTCCCTTTAAATTTATTTTAATTTATGCAAAAACCACCAAAAACGATCTTTCGAAAGTCATTAATGATCCTCTGTCATTAATGATCCTGACTTTGTTTCCACGAAAGAAAAACTAAAAGAAAAAATACAAATCAAGGAAGGAAGTTGTAGATAATCTCCTGTACAAATTATACACGTATGAATTCATTTTTGGGTCAAGATCTTTCTTTCCTCCCGCTATGTATTTCAAGGGCAATTTTTAACTTATTCTATCGTTTTCCCCGTCAATTCTTTTTATGTAATTTGGCATCTGATATTGAAAGTGGGAAGCAAAGCAAAGAAAGATCATTTGGCCAGTAAAGATATAAATAATATGAGGATAAAAGTCTTGAATTCCTTCATTCCTCAAAAGACCGTAAAGGCCAGTCAGGTTTTACAAAGCAGAATCTTTATTTAAGAAGCAAAAAAACAAAAAGAAATTGAGCGATGCTGAAAAGCTACAGAACACTCTGGGAATTGATGTGCTAGCTAGAACAAATTTGCTAGTACAAAACTTTCACACGCATCTGTGCAGAATTTGGGGAGGGGAGTGTCGAGCCTTTCCCCAGTCAAAAGCTGATCAGGATTTTTACCACTGATAGAAGGTGATCAGCAGAGAGAGGCCAAAAAAAGATGAAAGGCTGAGCTCCCATCGCGCCTTCATGGCTGCCATCGTGATTGTTTTGACCACTCTGGCAGAAAAATCACAGCAAATACCTCGGATCTTCTGGCTTGCTTGCTTGCTCACAGATGGTATTGCCAAAAGAATTGAAAAGCAAAACACAAAATACCCTGTTTCATATTGGCAACTGCTCTCTACTCAATTAAAAAAATAATAATAAAGCAGCACTTATTTCTGCTGTTCCCAAAATACAGAATTAAAAAAAAATACAGATCGACAAACAGCTGTAGAGAATTTACTGTACAAATTATACACTTCTGAACTCACTCGAGTCAAGATTCTTCTTATCTATTTCTACGTACTTAATGGGCAATTTTTTTTTTTACCTTATTCTGTCTTTTCCCCATCAATTCCTTTTTTACATAATTTTACATCCGATGCTCAAAGCGGGAAGCCAATGTAGCCAGTAGAAATAAAAAAGCTATTTAGGAAAGTAGTGGAATATGTAAAGAACGAAAGCAAAATTTGGCAGGACGGCGAAATAAAATGGCAGCAAAATTGAGTCGATCCAATCTATTATATCTGCCAAGAAAAACAAACATATTTATCTCTTTGCGCAATAGAGCACTGCCAGAGAGATTCACAAAAGCATTTTTTACACACTGAACTTGGAAGTGACAATAGGCTCAATGATTCTAAGCAGTTCTATGGGATGGTGTGCATGGGCGTGTAAAAATCTTGACCTACGGTGTATATGCTACCTCAATATGCAAGAAACTGGAATTTTTTATACACTCACACACACAAACATTTTTCATCCCTTCATTGCAACACGACATTTTAAATATCATAATCTGAACATATTTTTTTTTACATTCAATTTAACCAACAGAGAACAATTTTTAGGCCACGCAAAAAACCAGCTGCTACGTATCGCACATCCTATCCGATAACTGGCTGCCAATCAAAATTTTAAAAAAAGAAAAAGACAATTATCCAGGAAAAAGATGGGGAAAAAAAATGGTTGAAGACGTCCATCATTTCTGTCTTGCAAGAAACCTAATATGCATTTTGGGAGAAGAGCAATATTTTTTTTCTTTTTCTCCTTTCTACTGGGAATGTCAAACGCTAAGTGGCTGTTTCACTGTTTGTGCAAGTTGTGCATTTTTGTGTCTTTTTAAGTTTGCTCTGCGGAAGGAGGCAGGAAACTAAGCTACAGGATTTGGCAGTGGTTATGCTGTATAAAAGCTGTAAGGCTAATTTTCAGGCAGCCTTCAAAAGTGCCCAACATACTCCTTACTACACAACAATTTCCCTCCATCAAGATAATATGTAATAATTAGGAAACATAGGGAACATAATTTTTGAAACTCCATGGTCCTTGCTCATTTTCTTCCTTTTGTAACCAAGCAAAAATGCCTTTCCTGCAGTGGGGTTCCATTAGGGTTACAGTTTATTGACGTATAAATTTAGAAATGTTTTGATACCGTCTCCTGGTTTCTGGTTCCATCATGCATTATCAAAAAAGCCATAAAATGGACCCTGGAGATATTTCCTGTTGCAAAATCGGGAGTGGAAGCAGGAAGGATGACAGAAATAATCTTTTCCACATTGTTCTTGGAAAAAGCAGGATTCTTATTTTAAACCCTCTTTAAGCACAGCATAAAAGGTGATGTCTTCAGGGCTGTTTGAAAATGATTTTAAAATGAAAATTCTCCGATTGGCATCAAAACCCAGGAAAAGAAAAAGTCTTGCTTTGCTCAGCCACATCGAACCTCTAATTTCCACCTAATATTCAAGGTAATAGCATTCCCCATCCCCCAAAAAATTAACACACCGCACAAATTACACTGATTTTAACTAGAGGAAACGAAAATTACCTCCTCAAATGTCACAAAAGCCTAATTATCTTTTGGCAACTCAAACTAATCCAGAATAGCACGTTGTTAACACGGTAGAGTTCTGAAAATAAATCAAAATTCCTTTTTCATTGCTAGAATAATCACTTTGCATCAATGTTCCCATGGTGGGGGGTGGGGGTGGGGATTCTCCCTGCAAGCAGAAAACTAGCAGAACAAGACTTCTGTCTCTAAATTATTAGTTATTCTGGCTCGCAGGAAACTCTTTATTGGGCAAGGATAGGCTTTTACCAATTTGGGGGGAATAATTTATAATTCATTGCAGAGCACTGAGAGATCAGAGGCGGTAGAGAAACACAAGAGCTGAAAGTCTTAGCTCAGCAGCGAGAATGTTGTTCTGCGTTCAGCAATGGAAGAAATAGGTCCACTCTAAGGCAGGAGATAAGGAGACCTTTCCAGCAATCGTTCCAAATTTTTTCTTTTCTTTTAAGCTTCCCAGAACAGCTGGCCTCCAAATGAAGAAGGAAGGAATCTAACAAAGAAGGCTAAAGATTGAGAGCGACTGGGAAGAACTTATCCCAAAACTATGACGCAGAAGCTTGGTTTTGGTGGCTTCCTGCAGAAGTTCCCAAAAAGGTTGGTTCTTTCCCATCAAGTCCAATTCCAGGTGGGTCCTGCTTCTTGGGTCACTTCTGGAGGCGCCTTGAGGTTCATCTCCTTAAGAGTCCCTTGCCCAAAAAGATGTGGGAAGGAGGAGTCATTTCCGGTGGAAGAGAAGAACTGGACGCTGGCCAAACTAAGACTTCCTTCAAAGGTCTTTCACAGAGGAGACAAGCGGCCATCACCTCTGCTGAACCTTTGGATGGGCGAGCTACTTAGACTCCTGAAGATCCTTTGCTGTCTTCAGAATCAGGTGGACATCCGAGATAGGGTAGTCCTGAGTGGGAAAGGAACAATGCCGGCATCGAAATGTGGGAGAAATGCTTACAAATTGCAGGCAGCCCAAGGGGTGAACCTCTAGCTAAGATTCTGTGCAGTTCGGAGAACCCCCAAATCCCACTCCTGGCTGGCCCAGCCCAGCCCGTCCCTCCCCTCCCAGGAGTCCCCGCGTGGCCCGTTTTGGATGCTGGTAAGTGCAGAGGCTCGGGGAGGGTGAAAAACAGGCCTACCGGAAGTTTGGGAAGAGGCCTCTAGAGCCGGGAAAGGCTGTTTTCAGGAAGCCAGGAAGAAAAATATTTTGCCTTCCCCTCTTTCCTTTACCTGCAAAAGCCGCATATTTACAGTAAAATCCCCTTCCAGTAGTTGATCCCGAATGAGCCTGTAGGATAACGAGAGAGAGAAAAAATGGACTTAGCTCAGATCCACTGGGATCCAACAGGAAAGGGATCGAGGATGGACAATGCAAGAGGCAGAAATGAAAAAAAAAACCCTTTTATTTTTAATCGATTTATTTTACTTATATCCTTCCTTCATCACTGTTTATAAATATAAACAATATAAAATATACTTAATGCTCTTTTCTTCTCCTATTTTCCCCACAATAACAAACCTGTGAGGTGGGTTGAGTTGAGAGAGAGAGGGACTGGCCTAAAGCCACTCAGCTAAAGCAGGACTAGAACTCACTGTCTCCTAGTAATTGGCCCATCAACCAGCCAGCTTTCATGCTAAGATGGGACTAGAACTCACAGCCCTCTGGTGATTGGCCCAATCACCAGAGAACTGTCACCCAGCTGACTTTCATGGCTAAGGCGGGACTAGAACTCACCATCTCCCAGTTTCTAGCCTGGTGCCTTAACCACTAGCTGGCTGGGGAATTTTGTCCCATGGAAAGAGAGACACCCTTCCATGGTTCTTGTGTTTCCAGGTTGGCTTCTTTAGGATGTGCAGCACTGAACTCACGTCAACATGGCGCAGCAGACGAGCAGGAGGAAGTCGAAGCGACTGTCATCGGCGAAGAGGGAGTCCCAGATGCGAATGACGTCAGGCAGCAGGAACTCCTGGGAGAGCAGCAGGGTTAGCCAGCGGAAGGCAAAGAACTGGGGCTTGATATTCTGCTCTTGCTGGAAAAAAGAGAAAAGGAAACATTGGCGCAGCCTGTGCTAGAAGAAGCGGGAAGGAGAAGGAAAGCATCAAGGACTTCCTTTTAATAATAGTAAAATTATTATTATATACATTGTAAAGATTACAATGGAATTGTAATCGTCTGGAATTCACCGTCTCCTGATGATTGGCCCACAATTCTCCAGTTGGCTTTCATGGGTAAGGCAGGACGAGAATTCACCGACTCCTGGTAATTGGCTCTAAGTCATGGCTAAGGCGGGGCTAGAATTCACGATCTCCCGCTTTCTAGCCTGGTGCCTTAACCACTAGACCGAACTGGGCACCGACTGGAAATAAAGTTTTCTCGCCAATGGCAAAGCAGCTCATCCTGAGCCAGGATCCGTTGACTAGAGCCAGGCCTCTTCCTTTATTCAACCACTTTATCGCCCTAAAGGAAGCCCGTGGGTTTCAATCGGTAGCACTTCCTTCCTCTTCTTCTTGAAGATGAAAAAAAGAAGGGTGAGACATAACGAAGCAGATGGAGGCGTCACGAAAGGACCTCCTAAAACAGAAGGGAAGGGGCTCCTCCTCGCTTCGGAATGCATAAAAGACCCCACAGAAATTGAGCCCTCCAAGAAATCCCCGGGGAGCAAAACTCACTGAAGACGGGAGAATTCAGTTGGGCTGCAGAATTTCCTGGTCTGGGAACAGCTGAATTGTTAATATTGCTGTTTCTTAAGTATCACACTTAAAGTGACAGGCAGCTTGGTCTAGTGGTTAAGGCTTCAGGCTAGAAAGCAGGAGACTGTGAGTTCTAGTCTCGCCTGAGCCATGAAAACTGGCTGGGTGTCTTTGGGCCAATCACCAGGAGAGAGTGAATTCTAGACTTGTCTAGGCACAAAAGACGGCTGAGTGACTGCTTGAATCGATTTATGAACCCTGAGCTCCAACAAAGTCGGTCTAAGTGGTGGACATTCCTGATTTGGTGGCCCACCATGGACCTTCCCCCTTCAAGTTCTCCAAAGGGCCACTTTTGCTCAAGGTGGAAACTTCTCACCAGCTTCATGTAGAGCTCCCTGTCTTTCTCCTTCAGGATGATGTAGACCTTCTCCATCTTGTAGGTGATCCCACACTGGGAGTCATCCAGGCTCTTGATGAAGTTGTCCCTGATCTCGGACATGAGGTTGGTGAAGCAGAAGAAGGTGTCTGCCTCGGCGTGCTCTGTGCATGGAAAAGGGGACGGTCAGTAATCTGGATTATCCAACATCCAGATTCAGGAAAGAAAATCTACCTGACCCAACTCAAGAATTAATAATAGGCTTCAATGCCACTCCTGGGCGAAGGAAGATTTTGCAATATCCTTCACCCAGGAGTGGGGAGGGAATGGAGATTTTGCAGTATCCTTCCCCTGCCAGGCTCACCAAGCCACGCCCCCCGACCAAGCCACGCCCACAGAACTGGTAGTAAAAAAATTTGGATTTCACCACTGATATATACAGTATATATATATATTAGCATGTTATCCGTATTCTCTATCAATCAGACCCCAGGGTGGCAGGAACTTCTCGCCCCCCCCCCTTACCTTTCCATGCGCTGTTGGGGTTTGTCGCAAAGGTGTAATAGAGGGGCCCCACAATTTCGTTCATTCCTTGGACATAGGCAATTCCAGGGTTCAGTTTTGCGTAAATGAACAGGATCCGTTCCACAACTTCCCAGTGGGCTTCTGAGCCATCAGGGAGAACTTCGTATTCGCTCAGCACCGGTGCCTTAAGAGGGGAGCTCACCTGCAAAAAAAAACCACACAGAGAAAATGGGGACTGGGATCTTTTATGGGTACAGGGAGTCCTCGTCTTACAACCGTTCAAAGTTACAACGGCGCTGAAAAAAGTGATTTACAGCCAGTCTTACAATCATCACCGCAGCCCCACGGACACCGGATCAAAAGTCACTTTTTGTACCGTTGTAACTTTGAATACGAAACGAACGGTTGTAAGTCAAGGACCACCTGTCTATGAGTATTACGACTGGCTCCAAGCAGTCGTCTTACGAGACCACCTGTGACGTGTTCCCCAAAACCAAAATCTGCTTGTTCATCCCCAAAAGCTGGCAGGGAGCCGAGTTTTACCCCGCCCCTCAACTTTGTACCCAAAATTATTCCCTTACATTAGTTACTCCACTCCGGTTCCGTGCCACCGTCTGTGATTTGAGGGTGGTCTGTTCCACCCTCTTGCGAAGGGTCTCAAATTCATTCTGGGGGTCAAGGATCAACAGACAAGGATACTCTGTCGGGCGCTGGAAGAAAGCCATATCGGGATACAGTCGCCTACGGGGGGAAAAGAAACTGGGTTTCTCAAGCCATCCCCAACATTTTCTTCTATATTGGACCTACTCGTCATGGTTCAAGGACATCCTAGTTTGGGATTAACAAATTTATGGGTCCCTGGATGTAGGAGATGACCAGGCTGAGCCCGATGGAGGGGCCAAACACATCATAAATCACGAGTCCCCGCACACCCGCAAGAGATTGAAGTCTAGCCCACTTCGAATGCCCTTCTTATCTCCCGCTCATTTCCCTTCATGGCCAGTTGGCCAGATTCTTGTAGAGAGCTTAAGCTGGCAATGAATCTTTATACGCATTTGAACTGCCTGAATCTCCTGATTTTTGAAGGCCGACTCCACCATCCTGACCTACCGGACATCCTTGTCGATTTGCAACAGGACTTCGTTGTCCTTGAAATAAGTGTTCCACTGGCTGTTGGGGTTGGGATTCAGAGGCTTTGAAGAAAAAGATTTGGAGAGAAGAGGCAGTCAAAACCAAGCTGAGAGCAGAAACGCGGGTTTTATTTTATTTATTATTATTTATATCCTAACTTTATTATTTTTACCAGTAACTCAAGGGGGCGAACATCTCCAGCATGCCTTCCTTCTCCTATTTTCCCCAGAACAACAACCCTGTGAGGTGGATTGGGCTGAGAGACAGGGATTGGCCCAGCTGACTGTCATGCTTAAGGCGGGACTAGAAGTAACTGTCTCCTGCTGATTGGCCCAAAGTCACCCAACCAGCTTTAATGCCTAAAATGGGACTAGAACTCAGAATCTCAATCAACCTACAGGTTGTTATGGGGGGGGGGGAATTCCAGAAGCAGTATTATATATGGGAGTTTGACCTCCTATTAAATGAAGCAGGATCTAAATCAAATAAACACAGGCAGGCAGGCAGACTGACTGACTGACATCCTAAACCCCCAATTGAAATGTCCGTAATTAGAAGAAAAGGGCTAATCAGGGGTGTCCTTACATGATCCTCCAAGGTGACATCCTCTCTGAAGACTCCGAATTCAGCTTTAGCTATTCCAGGCTGGATAATCATTTCCTTCAAGAACTGGGCATAAAGTTCCCTTCAAGGAGAGGATGCAGAAGGAGACGGTTCAAAAAAAAAATCACATTATCAAACAATTGCACTCCATTTCTATCAGCACTGCTACATTTTTCAAAAGCAAACAGAGCTGAATATGGTTTAAGACAAGACACACAGTCTCCATTGTTTCAAACACACTCAACAAAAGAAGGAGGGAGGGAGAGAAGGAAGGAAAGATGGGAATTAAAAGGAAGGAGGGAGGGAGGGAGGGAGGGTGGGAGGGAGGGAGGGAAGGAAGGAAGGAAGGAAGGAAGGAAGGAAGGAAGGAAGGAGATGGGAATGAAAAGGAAGGAAGGAAGGAAAGAAGATGGGAAAGAAAAGGAAGGAAGGAAGGAGATGGGAAGGAAGAAAGGAAGGAAGGAGATGGGAAGGAAAAGGAAGGAAAGAAGGAACGAAGGAACGAAGGAAAGAAGGAGATGGGAATGAAAAGGAATGAAAGAAGGAAGGAAGGAAGAAAGAAAAAGAAAAAGAAAGAAAGAAAGAAAGGGAATGAATTGGTTAGATTCACACAACATGCTACAGAAGGTGAACATGGGAAGTTTCGCCTGAGCCTGATCACTCTGTTTTAGCAAATTGTGTGAAGCAGCTCATTTCTCTGAGCCAGAACCCTGGGCCACAATACAGATGCGTTTATCACACCCACATTTCAGAAGTTGTATGAAGCCACATCCTGAGCTTTAGCGCAATATCGAAACTACAGCCTTGGACATCAAATCTGAAATTATTTCGTCTTATATATTTTGGACGTATCTCTTCCCTCAAGATTCCTTGAGCAATTTTTTCTTTCTTTTTTGGCAAATACAACAAAGTCCTTAAAGTGATTTTCCAGGGAAAATACAAAAATACACTCGTAGTTATGAAGCTCCATGCATTATTAAGAAGCACAACCAATTTGCGATTTGATCTCTGCTTTTAAAGTACTACGTTGTCACTGCTTTTAATTGATTTCTGTTGGAAAAGGCCATCGATGGCTACTCAGAAGCAACATCTGCAAATCTGGCCAGGCAGAACACTTAAGAACACAACCCCTGTTTTAAATTTTTGATGTAATTTCTTTAACCGCCAAAAAGCACCGCTTTCACAGACCCCAAAATAGCTAGTTGGACCCATTTGACTTTCTACCCAAAACACCCCGACCAGCAATGTGGAAATAAATTTGCATCAACAGTGTCTCTATGACATGTATGCATCGTTTTCCCAACTTGGTCAGCTTAAAATTGTATTTCTCAACCTTGGTGACTGTAAAATGAGTGGACTTCAATTCCCAGAATTCCCCAGCCAGCATTTGGGGAATTGAAATCCACCCATCTTACAGTCACCAAGGTTGAGAAACGCTGACTTAAGAGTTTTAAAAATTGGATAGGAAGTGTTAGCGCTGCTTCTGTTGAGTCATCAGCCCTGAAGTTGAGTTAATCTATAGGGGGATTTAAAAAAAAAAATCTACAGGAAGAAAATGCTTTTAATGGATTAATTGATTAGGGGGGTTGGTCAAATCAGCCTCAACTCTAAGCGACCACATAACAAATTTTCTTCTGTTTTGGTTTTGTTAAAACTCACTAAAACAATCCAGACGGACACGCAAGCTTTTAAGTAATTAAAATCAGTTCATTTTAATTAATTTTAAAATTAATGTAATATTATAAAATTAATTTTAAATTACGAGTCGACTCAAACCTCTGGCAGAAAGGTGAAAAAGCAATAGAAATCTAATTTTTTAAAAAATAAAAATCCGTTAGGCAGCTAAAATGCTTGCTTGCTGCTTCACAGTTGAATTCTCAGCAATAAGAAGGAACTGTCAGGCATGAAGAATCAAGACAACACCTTAAATTCCAGTTAAACTGATTTATTGCTCATAGGAATCTACACAGGAATCTACACAATGAACGGTCAGCAGAATTGGTACTAGATTAAACATTCCCATTCCTGCAGTTGTTCTTCATATGTTTTAGCCCCCAGACCCCTAATCCTGTTTGCTGCTCTTCTCTGCACTCTAGAGTCTCAACCTCTTTTTTACATCGTGGCGACCAAAACTGGATGCAGGATTCCAAGGGTGGCCTTACCAAGGCATTATAAAGTGGTATTAACTCTTTATGTGATCTTGATTCTATCCCTCTGTTGATGCAGCCCTGAACTGTATTGGCTTTTTTGGCAGCTGCAGCAAACTGCAATTAATGGAATTCGAGAGAGATTTGATTTAGACTGTTTGTGGCCACGGAAGGACTCCAGGCTGATTGCTCTCTTGACTCCACCTCCCTGCTTCTGCCTGTCTTTCTCCCACAGGGATGTTCTGATTTTCCATGCCAAGAAGGGAAGAAGGCCAACGGTTCAACGTACCTTTGCTTTCTCAGCTGGGAATTCCAACCACCCCTTTCCACAGGAAGGTAGTTTAAGAGGATCTGCAGAAAGGCAAACAGGGAAAAGAATTTGCATGGGGGAAAAAGGAATTCTGAACTCATCAATTTGGTAAGCAGCCTTTCCCCTATCCAGGGCCATAAACCCTTCTTTATTTAATACGGGGAGTCCTCGAATTGCAAGCATTCCTTTAGTGACCAAAGGTACAACGGCACTGAAAAAAAAGGGACTTACAACCATCACAGCATCCCCACGGTCACTTGATCAAAAATTCAGCCGCTTGGCAAAGGATTCATATTTATGACAATTGCAGTATCCCGGGATCACACGATCCCTTTTGTGACCTTTGGCCAAGCGAAGTCAAGGGGGAAGCCAGATTCATTTAACGACCATGCGACTGACTTAACAACTGTAACGATTCACTTGACAACCGTGGCAAGGAAGGTTGTATAAGGGGCGAAAAACTCATTTAACAACCATTTTGCTTAACAAGAGAAATTTCTCAAATGGTTACTGAAGAAATGGTTGTAAATCAAGAACCGCCTGTACGATAAAACAGATTTAAAACACAGTAATGCAAAGTTGGAATAAAATGAGCAGGTGGAGCGAGGCTGCTTGGTCGGGAGGGCCTTACCTTCCAGCAGAGACAGCGCAAGCCGCCTTCGAAGGGAATCCCTGTGAAACGGAAGAATCAGGTGATTAAATGCGAGTCCTTTTAACATGGCCGCCTCGGGAGGATTAAGAGGCGAGATGAACATTTTATTGGTAGCTGCACCTTAAAGAGAACCGAGTGAAGCTGGAGGAGGTTCAGACGACAACTAAGTTGCTGCAGGGGCTGGAGCAGGTTCCTTGACAGGAAAGCTTATGACTGGGGGAGAGGGGGGGCCTTTCTGGTCTAGAAAGGGGCGAAGGAGAGGAGCAGAGGTGGGTTTCAGCAGGTTCTGACCAGTTCTGGTGAACCAGTAGTGGAAATTTTGAGTTGTTCGGAGAACCTGTAATAAAAATTCTGACTGGCCCTGCTCCCATCTATTCCATCTATTCTCAAACCAATTTCCACTCCTTCTGGCATTCCCTGCTTCATCTTTACGCACGCAATGGTGCAGTGAGAAGCATAGATTTAGAGGTCTGATGGCTTTTAAAGAGATTCATCATTGGATAGAGTTTTTTAACTAGATCCTCATAATCCAATCTAAAGAGGTGACAGCCACACTACACCAATGCCTTTCTACATCTGAAAAAAGAAGAAAAATGGACTGGATGCATAGGGCATTTTTAAGCTTGCAAGAACATTTTCTGTTAAATATTTATAGAGGTGGTAATTCAGTGACCTTTGGCCTTTAAACACCAGTTGGCAGAGGACTGTCAAACCCTACTTGGGAATTTCATGGCAAAAAGAAGGAGAACATTTGTTTGTATACAGGAACTGGATTTTTTTCGTGGGGGGGGGAGGGAAATTAATACGAATGGCAACAAATTGCATTAGGTAAATATTTGATTCAAAAATTCAGTATTAGAAGAGTTCAAACAATCGTATTTCAACAGTAATGAATGAGCTGCAAAAAGTGGACACTCAGGAAAGAATGAAAGAAAAAGAATAAAAGACAGAAGGTTGATGTCTTCTCTTCTATCCAGGTCTTTGATTTAAGAACTGGGAGAGACAATGAAAATACCATGGCTTGCAAGAAAAAGGGATAGTACTACTTTGTACTGCCTTGGTAATACCACTTGGAACACCGCTTCCAGTTTTGGTCTCCAGGATACAAAACAGATGTTGAGAGTCTACAAAATTCAGAGAAGAGCAACAAAGATGATAAGGAGTCTGGAGGTGTTGATGAACGGTTGCAGGAACAGGGTATGTCTAACAAAAAGAAAGATTAGGGGAGACATGATAACACCCTTCCAATATTTGAGGGGCTGCCACAAAGAAAAGGGGTGTCAACCTATTTTCCAAAGCACTTGAGGGCAGGACAAGAAGCAGCGAATGGAAACTAATCAAGGAGAGAAGCAACCTAGAACGAAGGAGAAATTTATTGACAGAAAGAACAATTATTCAATGGAACGGCTTGCCTCCAGAAGTTGCTCCATCACTGGAGGATTTTAAGAAGAGAGTGAACAGTCATTTGTCTGGAATAGTATAGGGTTCCTGCCTTAAGCAGGGGGTTGGACTAGAAGACCTCCAAGGTCCCTTCCAGCCGTATGAATTTTATGAAACTTCTCTCGGTGGAAACTGACTTTTCTTAACCAGCTTTCTGTGCAAATTTTGCAAGGCTAAGCCGCTGCCTTATCTCCTTACCATTGAAACAAAATTCCCGCAGCTTTTGGAGCACGATGTTGGGCTCATTCAGGATCTCTTCAAATTCTGCAATTCTGCAGGAAACACAACCCAGACGAAGCTGTTAGCACACACACACACACCCACACACACACACTGAAACCACAAAAGATTCTGCCTTGCCTAAAAAGCAACCTGGAACCTGCAGGCTGGCAAAACACAGCACTTTGTTGTGGTTTTAGCTAAATGCATATGAAGTTTCTTTCGGGCCCCATTCAGGATGGAGTAAAACCCAGAAGCCCAAAATATGAGTGCGCAACATTATTTGTATTCCCCTCCCCACCCCAAGGTCACATGGAAGCTAACTGAAAAAAACTGCAGTATTCTGATAAGGGCTTTTATCTGAGCTTAAACCAAGTTTAAATGCAAAAAAACCGCCTGAATTGTTATCAGCGACAGCTGTAAGAGTCCCAAGGTCTCCCTGGATCTATACAGGTAGTCCTCAACTTACGACCACAATTGAGCCCAAAATTCATGTTGCGAAGTAAGTCATTTGTTAAATGAGTTATGCCCCCTTTTTACCTTTCTTGCCAGTTGCTTAGTGAATCTTTGCAGTCGTTAAGGGAGTCACACGGTTGTTAAGAGAGTCTGACTTCCCACATTGACTTTACTTGTCAGAAGACCTCAGGATCTCGAGACACAGCCATGGTCATAAATACGAACCAGTTGCAAGCATCTGTATTTTGATCAGGTGATCAAAATGGGGATACTGCAAAAGTCGTAATTGTGAAAAATGGTCGTAAAGTCACTTTTTTCAGTGCCATTGTAACTTTGGTCATTAAATGAACTGTTGTAAGTCAAGGACTGCCTGTATTTCCCAGCTGGATTCCTTTCCGCCCCCAGATATCTTGGAAGAACACATCTGAGTAGCACCTGGCTGAAAAAACGGTATCCTAGATGTTTAAAATCTTTAAACGACCACATGAAGAGTAGTTGAACAAAAATAGCAACTTCCCCCTGCCTCAAAACAGAAATTATCATCTTCTGGCTCTTTGGCCCTCTTAAAACTTTGGCCAAATACATATTTATTTTTTAAAGGAGCAACCCAAAAAAATGCAAGAGCATTCTTGGGCTAAAAACTCAGTTTTTCTACAGTAAAAATCCATACACTTTTCTTTAGGTGGCTATGGATTTTGTTCCGTAAATTGGAAACGTTTTGCTAATGTCCTAATGTAAAAATCCATCTAAAAGCCTCTTTTATTCCAGATTACATCCCTTCAAGAGGGGGAAATCCACCATCAGTTAACTTCCCCTGCCAGAAACAGGGAAATTTGGAAAGGAAATAATCCGAGTTTTGTTTTTGTCTCTTTCTGTATTTTTAAAAAACAATCCGCAAACTATTGTCTCTCTGTGTGTTTTTTTTAAACCATCAGCACAGAGCTGGTCTGTGCCCACCACACCATTCACAGTTCCTTCTACAACTGTAGTAATTTGAGGAGTAGCAAAGGTTTAATTTCGGAGGGGAAAATGGGGAATGTAAATCAACGGCCTTCGGGGAGGTGAAAAAGCTTCCTTTTTTTTTGATTCATTGTTGCTTTTAGTTGGGCAATGAAACAGAGAAAAGGAAAAGCCACCAAAGGAATGGGAGAAAGAACAAAAGGAAGCCGAGAGCCGCTTGTCAACAGCCTCCACGTACACACAAACACACAAACACAAACACACACAGGGGATTGTCTTTTCAGAGTCGCGCCCGGTTGCTCCATCATCGCCCTCGGGCCAAGGAAAAAGGCGATCCGTTAGAGAGGCAGGGAAGCCGCCCAGGGAAGGAGGCGAGTTGCCCGGGGTCGACGGCATCTGCGCCCCCAAAGGCGTGCTTTTCCCCCCTCCAGGGTCCAAAGCCCCCCCCCCCTCCCCCCCTGCCCCCCCAGCCCCAAATGGGAACGGAGGGGGGCGATGCAAGCCCCCCAGGGGTTTGTTTTTTTTTTGCAAGGCTCCCGCGGGGAGAGGTGGGCCGGGGTCCCCCTTTGGCATCCCCTCCGGGGGCTCCTTACCTGCTCCGGTGCAGGCGCGACATGATGCGAGGACCGGCCCGGACCCTCCCGCCGCTTCTCCCGGGCGCTCCAGCGCACCGCCGGGAGGACTAAATGGCGGAGGCGGAGGAAGAGGAGGAGGAGGAGGAGCTGGACTGGCCGCCGGCCCGGCTTGCCCTGCCTCCCTCCTCTCCCTCCTCCCCGGCGGGCGGGACTCCAGAGCCCATGAGCCACCGATGACCAGCCTACACTCCAAGGCCTGTGCTCCACAACCAGCAGTCACAGCTGTCTGAGTCTTGGCTCTGTGGCCCATGCTCCACAGCTGGCAAATCGCCCACTGTCTTGGGGGGAACTTGGACTCTGTTGCTTATTTGCTCCAAGTCAGCACAGAATTTTTCCCCTCGTGGCCAGGACTCCGAAGCCTATGCTCCACATCTGGCAAAGTTCCAGCTATCTTGGCAGAGCCTGGACTTCATTGCCTGTGCTCCAACAGCCAGCATCATCTCTTTTCTGGTGGCCAGGACTCCAGGGTTCCATTCCAGAACATAGACTACAACTCCCATCCTCTCCGCTGGACTCCCCCAGCAACCATTAGCCAAAATGCAAACTGGCTCATGGTTGTGATTTCCTGTGGTCAGGAGATCCTAACTATGATTCTCAAGCCATCATTTTTGGGTTTAAACTGTACATTGAGTTACATGTCAACAAGCCATTGTTACAGCTAAGCGTGATGGCCAATTTGATTTTGTGAATCCTCCTAAAATATTACAAGCAACTTTTATTGGAAGAGAAGTAAGTGCTTCCTTTGAAATAATAAAACAAAAAGAGGCAGGATTTTTTGAGTGGGGATAATGGGATAAGGAGTCTAGCCACCCCAGATGGATGGGGAACTCTATTTTGAGATCACTGTTAAGGGGAATGAGGACCCCCGTGATCTTTGATTAGCATCTTCTTTGAGGAACAGGGAAAGCAATTTCCAATTTACTTATTATTGCATAAGATGCCTAATAATTTATATATTAATTATACATTATACTTCATATGTGTAATACAATCATTGTATTACGCATATGGAATTGTGTCTGCTAATACTGATCATTAATATAATACTATCTATTATGCGTTAAAGGCCCCATAGAGGCAAATATGCAAAATAGCTTGTGGTTGGCTAAGACATTTACAGCAGCTGTGTTTTTAGTCATATTTTTATATTATTTTCTGTTGTTTGAAACACGCCCTGAGTCTCTTAGGTGAGATGGATAATGTAAAAATTTGATGAATAAATGAATAAAATATCAGATGGCTAAAATACATATGTCTGGATGTATATATCTTGTATATATGTAAAAGTGTGTAAGAAAGCAATCTATATCTATCTATCTTCTACATCTAACCATCCATCCATCCATGTCGTCTGTCTGTCTGTCTATCTACGGTATCTATTTATCTATCTATCTATCTATCTATCTATCTATCTATCTATCTACAGTATCTATCTATCTATGGTATCTATCTATCCATCCATCTATCATCTATCTATCTACGGTATCTATCTATCTACCTATCTATCTATCCATCCATCCATCTATCATCTATCTATCTACGGTATCTATCTATCTATCTATCCATCTATCTATCTATCCATCCATCCATCTATCATCTATCTATCTACGGTATCTATCCATCCATCCATCCATCCATCCATCCATCCATCCATCCATCCATCCAATCCATGTCTTCTGTAATCAATCTATCCATCCATCTATTCTATCCATGTCTATCTATTCTGTATCTATCAATCTATCCATTCAGTGTCTGTCTGTCTGTCTGTGCTGCTGCCCAAAATACACCCCTCCATACATCTGAAGGAGGAAACGCTTGAAGAAACGCTTGTAAAGTGGGATCAAGCAAAAGGTACCTGGACTACTGCAAGGCGCTTTTAGGCAGGGCTGCCCTCGAAGACTGCTCAGACGGGGTCATGGGTGCGAAATGCAGCCTTGTCAGGGCGGATGGGGGCTTCTGGCCACACACCTAGGCTGACCTTCTCCTCCCCTTGAGAAAAAAAAACCCACCCTCTTTTCTCCTGAGGAAAAAAAAAAGGGGGGAGGGGGGAATTGCTAACACAATCCTGAGGCGGCCTTCCTTCCCTTGTAGGTGGCACCAGGATTCTCTAACAGCACCTCCTGCCCCATAATCCTTGTGGGGGTGGTGAGGATTATGAGCTCATTCCAAGGCAACTGCAGGGGTTGGACTACAACCCCCATCAGCCTCCTCCTCTCCCCCCCCCCCAAAAAAAAACTCCCCACAAGGTGAGATGGGTTGCTTGGGGATGAACTGCGGCGGAACTCCTCGCCGTCCGCCTCTGTTTCCCGGACTGGGGGAAGGCTTTTTTCGTTGCACCCCTAGGCACGCGAGGTGGGGGGGGTGAGAGAGAGAAAGGGGGGGAGATAGAAAGGCATGGCTGCCGGAAGTGACGCAGGAGTTTGTTGACAGCGGCGGCCGCTGCCAATGCCAGGGGAAAAAAAAAAAAAAAAAGGAACGGGGAGAGCGGACCCCGGTGGGAACTGCGCTCTCTCTTTTTCTCTCTCTCTCTCCCCCCCGCCGGAAACGGAACCAGCCGCGAGGCGGAGCTTTGTTTCCCTCCCCCCCCCAAAACACACACCGCCCCCCCCCCCAGCCAGGCGGGGAGTCCGGTGAGTGCGGGGGACGGGTGATTGGGGAGGGGGGAGGCGTCGCCGCAGCGCCGGGCTCCCCCTTGACGGCGCCGGAGGGGAAGGAAGCCCCGCCCCTCCTCCTCCTCCCCCCTCCCCCGCCTTCCCCAACCTGGCGCCCCCGGGATGGGTGTGTGAGTGTATGAAGACCCCCCCCCCGTTGGCCCTGGGGAGGAGGAGGAGGAGGATGGGAGTTGTAGTCCGGCACCTGCTGCTCCCCAGCTTGGCTGAGCCCGAAGGAGAAGCAGATCTGGTCTCTCTTGCTGGAAAGGGATCTGGTGGGATCTCTCGGGGGATTCTCAAGTTATGGGGGTCCCAAAGGTGCTTTCCTCCCCCTCCCCTTCCAAAGGCAGCTGGATTTTTGTCTTCAGTCCAATTTTGCCTTTTGGAAAAAAAGAAAAAACAAAAACACCCCAGCACCCTTGGGACAGTCACAGGGGTGAAATCCAGCAGGTTCTGACAGGTTCTGGAGAACCGGTAGCGGAAATTTTGAATAGTTCGGAGAAATACCATCTCTGGCTGGCCCCAGAGTGGGGAGGGAATGGAGATTTTGCAGGATCCTTCCCCTGGAGTGGGGAGGGAATGGTGATTTTGCAATATCCTTCCCCTGGAGTGGGGAGGGAACGGTGATTTTGCAGTATCCTTCCCCCTGGAGTGGGGAGGGAATGGAGATTTTGCAGTATCCTTCCCCGTGGAGTGGGGAGGGAATGGTGATTTTGCAGTATCCTTCCCCTGCCACGCCCACCAAGCCACGCCCACAGAACCGGTAGGGAAAAATTTTGGATTTCACCCCTGCCTTGAGACCCTCTGGTGAGATCCTTCAGTTGACAGTTGATATTGAATGCATGGGATGGATCTTTCTTCAGATCCGCCCCTTTTAAAGGTGGGGGGGCTCTTTAGGTGGCTTTGCCCCTCCAGAATCCTAATAAACCCAGAAGACCATGGCAGCAATGCAGAAAAGCAGGACTTTTAAACGGGAGATCAATTCATCCAGGGAGGAAAACTGAAAATTAAAAAAAGAAAAAAACAACCCACCTGTCTATGCCCTTAAAAATAAGTGGGGGGGGGGAGTTATTGAAAGCGAACCCAGTAAGATGGGTTAGATCAGTGTTTTTCAACTGTCTGGGGAATCCTGGGTGTTGAAGCCCACCCACCCCTCTTAAAGTTGGCCTCCCCAGCCTTTCCTTAGAGGAGAAATTTCCTTTGACAGTTAGAACAATAAACCCGTGGAAGAACTTGCCTCCAGAAGTTGTGATTGCTCCAGCACTGGAAGTTTTTAAGAAGAGATTGCACAACCATTTGTCTGAAATGGTATAGGGTTTCCTGCCAGAGCAGGGGGTTGGACTAGAAGACCTCTAAGGTCCCTTCCAACTGCTATTCTGTTAATCTGTTGAACTGACAAGTTTGAAAAAAAAACTGAGTTAGATAGAGAGGTTGAATTTACCTGTGTGCAAGTCGTATTTTTCTTAGTTGGGCATCATCCACAGAATCCTCTTTTGAGATGTTGGAGTTTATATCTGGCACAACTTGCCTTGTTATTATCTTGTGATGTTGGGCCTTTGGCCGGGAGAATTGATGTAGAACACCCAATATAAACTCATTTCACGTTTTCTTTTAACAAAATGATTCTCTGTGCCCTTAACTTAAAAGGCAGCCTTGATAATCACTGACATTTTATATGACTTTTTAACTTTCTGCATGCTTTGCTGTGATTAATGACCCGTAAAAGCCACCTCTGCCAGCGGTGATCGTAGTCCCATTTAACGCTAAGGATGGCTTCACACGACATACAAAATCCTTTTTTTTTCCTTTTATACTACGATGTTGTATTAATTAAAATTCAGCTCCCTGAATTCATATCATACAAATTTGAAACTCTGGTGCCCTTGGTGCTTCTGAGTTTAGTTCTTTGCTTGCAAATGTTTTGTAATCCCAGGTAACATCAGTGCTACTCAGTGTGGTTTTGGCTCCCTTTATATATACAATAGCTTGGCCTGCTAGTGTTGGTAAGGCTGTGGTTTTCTCCTTGATATTTTCCCTGATTAAGGTATGGTTTTCTGCTTGATTGTGCGTCTGGTGTTAATCCCTGCTTATCTGGCTGTTGTTTGCTGGAGAGCATGCATTCTGCTCTTTCTGTTTCCTTTGCTTTTCGATTGTCTCTTTTGAACGGTGGGTAAATGTGGTTTATCTCTATGTGCCTGTTGATAGCTGATTTCTCTGAGTGCCGGGCTTCTCAGAATTCTCTAGAATTTTTGGATTTGCTTGGTCTAGAATGCTCACAGTTTCTGTTATGAAACTATGGTTGAGTCCATCCATGCGTTGTGAGATTAAGGAGTTTTTCATCATTTCTTCTGACCATTAGTTAGTGTTCATGGATGCGATCTGCTAGTCTTCTGCCTGTCTGTCCTACATACATAAATTTTGGGCTCTGTTTTTTTTTTTCTGGGGCTGCTGTGTCTTTTGGTTTACAAGCTGTTTTGGAGAGCTTTAGTTGGCTTGTGTCCCATGGTTTATGCCATATGATTGTAATAGTTTGGTGGACGTTTCTGAGACGTTTTTGAAGTTTGGGAGCGTTACCCTTTTCGCATCTTGTGTCGGCCGTGCTGTAGTGGGTTGTGTAGTCAGGCACATTTTGATAAAGTCACGTGGACATTCATTGTGTTGAAGATGTTGTGTAATTGGTCTATTTCTTTTTTCCGATGTTCTAGGTTGCTGCAGTGAGTTTGTACTCATCTGAAAAATGTTCTTCCACGGTTTCTCTTGTGGGAGGCTGAATTGTTACTTTGGTTTTTTTTTAATGCTGCTGTAACTTCAAACAGTCACTGTAAGTGAACTTCTGTAAGTGAAGTACCTGTACTTTAACATTCTCTTTTTTGCTTTTGACCGTAGCTGCCTGGAAATATACTTCAAAGTCCGCTCAGAAATCTCTTTGGAGGGATATTCCAGGAAAACCCCAGAAGAAGAATCGCTAAGTTGACTTCACGTTCTTCTCCCTTCCCCTTTTCCCATCCTCCACTGCCCCAAGATGGCTTCCGACAGCCCAGAGTCGTTGATGAGTTTGTGCATAGATTATTGTCTTCACAACCTGGAAGGGACTCTCTGCTACCTGTTGGACAACGAGACTTTCCGCCTCCAGACAGATATTTTCCTTCCGAGCGAGATCTGTGACAGGCTGGTCAATGAGTAAGTTACAAATACTCACATTTCTCTCTAGGTTGCATCCACCCAGCTTCCGGTGGGTTGCCAAGATACCCGCCTCTCTACCTTGACGCCTGCTTGTCTCTTTCTTTCCTAGCTACGTGGACCTAGTAAACGCAGACACCTTGTTTGAACACAACGAAAACTTTTTTAGTCTCTTTTCGGATCCCCGGAGCACTCGGCTTGCCCGCATCCACTTGCGGGGCGACATTGTCCAGGATCAAGACCTGGAGGCCATTCGGAAGCAAGTAAGGGACCCATCCTTGCCCGTCGTATCGGAAATCTCTTTGTTCCCCACCCCATTGCTAAGTGTGTCTGAGTTGAGAACGTTGGCTTCTGGTGATGAGAAACCAGGAGGGAACCTGAAGATTTTATCTGTGAGGTCCTTGGTGCTTCCTCCCCCAAGGCCGTCCTCATATTCCATTTCCCCCATCTATTGGATAACTGTGTTTGCATGGATGCTCCTTCTCTAGGCATGCTTCTTTGAAATCCTAGATTGGGTCTTCTGTAAGACATGACAGCCCCTTAAGAAGGCCTGGCTTGAGCCTAGGTAAGGAAGCAGTTCTTCCCTTCATTCCCCAAGGTCTTCCGCACATCCCTTCACGCTCCCCTTTGCCTCGTTTGCAGGACCTGGTTGAGCTTTTCTTGACCAACTGTGAGAAGCTGACAGCCAAGAGCCTCCAGACCCTGGGCAGCTTCAGCCCCACCCTGGTGTCGCTCAGCCTCTTCGGCTGCACCAACTTCTTTTACGAAGAGGAGAACCCGGGCGGCTGCGAGGACGACTTCAACCCCACCCGGCAGGTCTTGGTGAAGGACTTCACTTTTGAAGGCTTCCGGCGCCTACGTTTCCTCAACCTGGGCCGGTTGATTGAAGGGATCAACGTGGAAAGCCTCCTGCGGCCGCTGGCCTCCCTCACCGCCCTGGATCTCTCCGGGATCCAGCTCAACGACATCCACTTCCTGACCCAGTGGAAGGACAGCCTCGCCTCCTTAGTGCTGTACAATATGGATCTCTCCGAGGAGCACATTCAGGTGATAGCTCAGCTGCGGAAGCTCAGGTCAGTCTCTCTGAAAGAACTGCTGCGTTTTTGAGGTAGGGGAGGAGAGAGAAACAAGAAGAAAGAGAGAATGAAGAGCAAAACTTGGATAAACCAGGAATTGATAAACACCACAAAACGAAATAGGACAAGATCTTTAGATAAGGATTTCCAGCAAAAAGTAACTCTATGGCTCATATGCATCGTTTTATGACCTTTGCATGCGATCGTCATTAGAATCAGTACACATCCTGTGCCAGACATATTTTTTCTCCCCCACTTCCCCCCCAGGTCAGCTGCCATCTCATGCTTACTTGTGCTTCGTTACTATTCGGTGTCAGACTGCCATGAACTCTGGGGAGGGGGGGGGAAACGTAACGGGAAGATTTGGGGGAAATTGAAAGTAAGCGCTGAATCTCCTCCAGAGGCTGCTTCAAGGTCATCAGGCATACCAGCTGCCTACCAAGCTGTGCCTCGATTGTGAGAGCCATGGCCTAGGGCAGAGTTTCTAAACTTCGGCAGCCTTAAGATATCTAGACTTCAACTCCCAGAATTCCCCAGCCAAAGATGTGTGGAGTCCACAAATCTCAAAAGTTGCTAAGGTTGGGAAACATTGGTCTATAATAACCCAAAATCAGAAGGCGTCTACTTAGTATATAACTACCACGTTTCACCAAAAATAAGACCCTGTCTTAAAATTTTTTGAATCCTGAAATAAGTGCTTGGCCTTATTGCCATGCACTCAAAAGCCCAATTGGGCTTATTATCAGGGGATGTCTTATTTTGGGGGAAACAGGATATTAAGCTTTGTTGGCCAGCAAAGATACACGAAAGCTTGTGCCATTTAATAAATATTTAAGTTGGAAAACCCGACTCCTTCCCGAAAGTGCTTTTTCAAGAGGCAACTGGACTCTCTTGGTTTTTCCTTGAGGACGTTTCGCTTCTCAGAAGCTTCTTCAGTTCTGAAGACCTTTTTCACATCTTCAGAAGTTCTTCAGAACGGAAGAAGCTTCTTCGATGAGAAGCGAAACGTCTTCAAGGAAAAACAAAGGAAATCCAGATGCTTTTTTTGGAAAAGCACTCTCGAGACAACCGTGACCTGAATGACGGAGAAACTCCTTCCCATTTGCCTTCAGACATCTAGACATCTCCCGAGACTGCCTGTCCAGTTATTACAAATTCAAGCTGACTCGCAAAGTCCTGAATCTCTTCGTGGAGAATCTGATCAACCTGACTTCCCTGGATATCTCGGGTCACACCATGCTGGACAACTGCACCGTCGCCTGCTTGGATGAGAAAACAGACCAGACCAGGTGTGTTGGACAAGGGAGAAGGTATCTACAGAAGAGAATAATCTTTGCAGCTCGGGGTTGAACTGCGGCTCCTTGGTGCTTGCAGGCATTTCATGACCCACGATCTCCTGCCTCGGTCGGGGGTTGGACTGGAAGACCTCCGAGGTCCCTTCCATCCCTACGATGCTACATTCTTTGCACAGGCTGATTATTTCTCCCGTTCGTTCTTTCAGCACCAACCCGGGGAAAAGCAGCATCGCCCCCTTCCGGAACCTGAAAAGACCCTTGCAGTTCTTGGGGCTGTTCGAGGTGTCTCTTTGCCACGTCACACATATCCCAGCTTACAAGGTAAAACCGAAGCCCAGCCAGGTGTGTGTTCTGACCTTAGAAAGTAAACAGCACAAACTTTAGTCCCGGCAAACCTCTTTAATTCATACGGCTGTAAATCACTTTCATTTACAGTCCGCAAGGCTTGATAAACAGTCTTTCAGAGGAAAGTTATCCACACCCACCTTATCTCACGTGGAACGCTGCCCAAAGAGCTAATTTCCAGACGCAGGGCAAGGCCAAACTTGGCACAGAGTCACAAACAGAACTTTCAAATCTTGAATTGGCCGGATGAACTAATTGCTTCCTGCAAAAGCTCACGTCCCATTCGCTTGTCTTTTATGTCTTATGGGAGGGACCAATCATCTCCAAGCGTTACTCCCAAGTCGACCCTGTTTCCTTAATTGTTCCTATCTTCTGGGCAAGCACACACTGGGAACAGGCTCCCGCTGTTCTTCTGTCTTGCTGATGTCAGATTCCGGAGACTCTGGAGGCAGCAAAGAACTGCCAGATGGCCTTGGCCCCCTCTCTGCCTCCGACTCAGAGCCCTCGTCCGAGCCTTCCCCAGACTTCCCCAGGACTGGCCCATGTTCCTCCCCAACCTCCTCATTGTCCAAATCTGCTGCCAGTTCTGCTGGCCGCTGATGAAGGCTGTTCCTCATTTGTCTCCTTCCCGGCCTCTGATCCGTCTCCCTTTTTAACCACACCAGGTGACCGGGGAGAAGAACGAAGAGCAGGTTCTGAACGCCATTGAGGCGTACACCGAACACCGGCCAGAAATGACATCGCGAGCCCTCAACATCCTCTTCGACATTGTGCGGATCGAGCGCTGCACCCAGCTCTTGAGAGCCCTAAAGGTGAGGGGGCTGCCATGGGGGAAGGGGCTCAGGTTCAGCCCAGTTGGAAGCCACTCCGACTCTCTCCTGATTTCCTTTCTTGAGAAAGAAAGAAAGTTACCAAGGAATTGGATTTATCATTATACTGGTAGATCTGCCATTTAGTGATCATTCAAAGTTACAACGTCACTGGATAAAGTGAATTATGACCGTTTTTCAGAGTTACAACCTTTGAAGTATTTTCCCCCTCCATGATCATGTGATCAAAAGTCAGAGGCTCGGCAACTGATTCATGTTTATGACGGTTGCGGTGTCCCGAGGACCCGTGATTCCCTTTTGCGACCTTTTGACAAAGTGAATGGGGAAGGCGGATTCATTTAACCACCGGGTTACTAACTGAAGAACTTCAGCGATTCCCTGAACCGCTGTGTCTAGAAAGGCCGTAAAACGGGGCAAAACTCCCTTAACAGTTGTCTCATTCAACGACAGAAATGTTGGGCTCAATTGTAAGTCGAGGACTATCTGTTTTGGTTCAGCTTACTGGGGCAAAAATCAGATTTTTCCAGGCCTGTTTGAAGTCCAACCTGGATGACGCCAATTTGATTTCCCAGGGGAGTTTTTTTCCACAGCTCAGGCAGTTTAATTATGTTTTTTTGCTTTATGTGCTATAAGGAAAATCCTAGAGAGCTGCCTCCTTATTTTTCTTTCTCCCCAATTCCCTTGGGCTAAAATGCAGCAGGTGCCAGACCTATCTGGCAAAATTATACTGACTTCCCAGCGCGCTTCTTTCTCCTCTTTCTTTTCCAACACCGGCTTTTCTTCCCCCCCCCCCAATCCCCCCCAGCCAAAAGGAGTATGAGTAATCCTCCACTTACAAACACATTTGGGATCAGAATTTCTGTTGCTGAACAAGCTGGTTCTTAAGTGAGTCGTGTCTGATTTTCTGACGTTTTATATCACAGTCGTGAAGCAAATTTGAGAGAATTACGAGATCGTTAAGCTTGTCAGAACCTGTCTGGGAAGGTGGCGAATGGCAGGATGCTTCAAGGTCAGAAATAAGGGCCAAATTTTTATCACATGACAGTGAGACGCTGCAACCGTTGTAAGTCTGAGGACTGGTTATAAGTCTGTTTTCTTTCTTTGGTGCCACTCAACGGACGTTCGTAAGTTGTAAGGCTATCCATCCAGAAGGGCAAAAGGCATGAAAATGACGTCCTTTCTTCCGTTTCTGCAGCTGGTCATCACTGCCCTGAAATGTCACAAGTACGACAAGAATATCCAGGTGACGGGAAGCGCCGCCCTCTTCTACCTCACCAACTCCGAGTACCGCACGCAGCAGAGTACCCGGTTACGACAACAGGTCATTCAGGTGGTGCTGAACGGGATGGAGTCCTACCAGGAGGTGACGGTGAGCGTCTTGTTCCTGTTTTGCGTCTTTCTGGGTGTTTGGGATGCAGAATCTTCTACAGCCAAAAAACTTGTAGTTCCAGGACCTCTGAGTACCGCTGGGTTTTTGGGGAAGTCGTACTAGAAGCTTTTGAGTTTCAGGGGGAACGCTGGATATTTCTGCAGTTTTGTTAACTGAAGGCATTTGCAAATCCAGCACATGAAAGAATGTTTGCTTCTGGAGTTTCATCTACTTTTTGGCTTTGTGAGGGTTGCTTGGAATTTTCGAGTCCTACTGTGACATGTGATTTTCCTTCAACTTCAAGTGACATTTTTTTTTTAAAAAAAATGTATAGTATAATTCTTTATCTGAATCATTTTTCATTTCTTGCTGCTGCTGCTTCTTGTGCCCTGTCCGTCATCAGACGTTGGCGATCCTATTTTTATCAACAGCCGCACGAAAAAGTGCTGCTGAGTTTAGTCCAAACCGGTCCCTCAGATTTTGAAGCCATGATGTTCTCCTTCTGCCTGGACCTCATTTTAGGTCTCTTGATTGACATTCTACTATGCATTCACTGCCCTGGTGGCACAGTGGTTAGAATGCAGTATTGCAGGCTAACATTCCCAGGGATAGGGGTGGGTCTTCCTTGCCCCCACCCCCCACCCCTGGTTTCCTTGAATTTGGCTCTTGTTCTTTTCTCTGCTTATTCCCTTGTTTGGCTCGCGCAGGAGAAGCCTCACGCTCTGGAAAGCCAGGATTTTTTCCCCCCAACGCCAATTTCTCTATTGTTCCTCAAGTCAACCACCCGACATCAGAGACCCCCCGTGGGGGGTATTGGTTGTTTTTCACTCCTCCCAGACATACGATCACAACTGAGCCTGGAATTTCTGTGGCTGAGGTGAAACATTTGTTAAGTGAATTTTTGACACCCCCCCCCTTTTACGACCTTTCCTGGCACAGTTGTTAAGTGAGTCACTGCAGATCTTAAATTACTAGCATAGCTGTTAAGTACGGTAATTCTGGCTTCACCATGGAAGGTCGCAAAAGGGAAATGACCTTGGGACACTGCACCCTGTCATAAATATGAGCCAGTTTCCAAGCGCCCAAATTTTGATCACGTGACACGGGGATGCTGCAACAGTCATAAATTGGAAAACTGGACATAAGTCACTTTTTTCCTCTGCCGTTGTAACTTTGAATGTTCACTAAATGAACGGTTGTAAGCCAAGGACTGCCTGCAAAGGTGGGAAGGATGGCGGCATCCCAAACCCCTGGTCGGTCTGGCTGGCTGGCTCATCCAGGTGTTTCGTCCACAGGTGCAACGGAACTGCTGCCTCACCTTGTGCAATTTTAGCATCCCCGAAGAGCTGGAATTCCAGTACCGAAGGGTCAACGAGCTGCTGCTCAACATCCTGAATCCGACGCGGCAGGACGAGTCCATCCAGCGCATCGCTGTGCATCTCTGCAACGCCCTGGTCTGCCAGGTGGACAACGACCACAAGGAGGCCGTCGGCAGGATGGGGTTCGTCATGGTGGGTTTGGCTGAAAATAATAATAATAATAATAATAATAATAATAATAATAATAGTAGTAGTAGTAGTAGTAGTAGTAGTAGTAGTAGTAGTAGTAACTGGAAAAAATAATGCAATATTGCAACCTGGCCATCGAAACTACACGGCTATGGATGAAACATGTCACAGTGATACCCACTGTCATCGGGGCACTTGGTACCATGTCCAAGAATTTTATAAGGTGCATCAGCAAATTGCAGCTTCCTGCAATAACACCAGCGGAACTGCAAAAAACTGCGCTACTCGGAACATGGTACATCTTAAGAAGGTCCTTGGTTGATCCCTACGACGCTGGCAGCAACCCCTATCAGCCATTAGCACCAGTCCGTGGTATTTGTGATGCATTTTTGAATGTTCAGCTGACTGAGTTTCATGTTTAATGAATAAAAGAGAATAATTTATTTATTATTTATTAATTCAATTTGTATGCCGCCCCTTTCCGAAGACTCCAGGCGGCTCAAAATAACTTTATTGCCATTGTACATGTATACACAGTATACCCATACAACGAAATTCACTTAACAGCCAAAGACCAGGTCCAGCCCACCCCTCTGTAATTCAGTTCTTTGCTGTTTTCTTCCGACAGACCATGCTGAGGCTGATTCAGAAGAAATTGGGGGATAAAATAGTAAGTTTCGGATTTGCTGGTTTTATATCCCACCTCACCACCACCACCTGGAGCCAAGGGGAATACTCTGCCCTCCTGCCATCCATTCCCCCCTCCCCCACGGGAGTTTGGCCAGACGCAGAATGAGGGATGGTGTGAAGTTTCCCAGGACGCATTCATGGCTGAGAGGCTGTCTGGACTCTGCCCTTCACCCTTAGCAATAGCAATAGCCCTTAGACTTATATACCGCTTTTACAGCCCTCTCTAAGCGGTTTACAGAGTCAGCATATTGCCACCGATGATTTTGGGTCCTCATTTTACCCAAAAGGGGTAAAAAAAAGGGGAAGGAAGGAAGGACAGCTGAGTCAACCTGGAGCCTGATGAGATTCGAACTGCCAAATTGCAGGCAGCCGGCAGGAAGCCGAAGTAGCCTGTAGTACTGCACTCTAACCACTGAGCCACTGCGGCTCATAGAGTGCAATACTGCAGTGTAACCACTGTGTTTTGTTCCTGGCCATGAACGTTGTTTTTCCTCTTCCTCGGCTCGGGCAGTGCGATCAGGTGATGGAGTTCTCCTGGAGCGCTTTGTGGAACATCACCGACGAAACGCCAAGCAACTGCGAGATGTTCCTGAACTACAGTGGCATGAAACTCTTCCTGGAGTGCTTGAAAGTGCGTGTCAAATTTCATTGGATTTCTTGGCTTCATTTTGGCAAGCGGGGGTGGTGGGGTGGTGGAGCCCCTTCCTTCATCCATCCATCCATCCGCTTAAAACTCACTTAACGGATGTCTCACTCAGCAACATAAATTCTGGGCTCCACTGTGGTTGTAAGTGGAAGGCTTACCTGTTTAGGGTCCTATCATTCCGGGGCTTTCTGGGCTGCCGAGATTCCGTTGCCGATGGACTGGCTTTTTCCCCCGCAGGAGTTTCCGAACAAGCAGGAGCTGCACCGCAACATGCTGGGCCTTTTGGGAAACGTAGCCGAAGTCCAAGCTCTCCGTCCTCAGCTTATGACCTCCCAGTTCATCAGCGTCTTCAGGTGAACCTCCCCTCCCTGGCATCGTGGTGGCGAGGCGAATTTCATTGGCCTGCTCTTAATTTCTCTGGGGTACAGAGTCTCAAGTTACGACTGTGATTGAACCCGGCAATGATATTTATAAGTCATGATGGTCGTAAAGCGAATCACCAGATTTTTAAAAAATCTTTTTCAAAACAGTCGTAAAGCAAACGCCTTGATTTACTCTGGCAAAACTCGTAAGTGGGGTGGCTGGAAGCGCCCAAAACCTGGTCATGTGAACACAGGGAGGGGGCCAAAGTCAGAGCTTTGAAACGGGGGTGTAAGTAGCCTTTAGGGGGCTCCGTCAGAACTTCAGATTCACTAAGTGGCCGGTTGCAAGTTGCAGGCTGCCTGTATTTCAGTCCTGGAGTTTCCAAGCCACCCTGGGTGGACTTCGAGTGGGCAAAGTTGAAAAGGCTGATCTAGATGGCCTCTGGGGTCCCTCTTGGGCTGGGGGGATGGTGTTCTTTTCTTTTTTTAAAGGGGTCCTAACCTCACACTGTTTGGGGACCGAAATCCTGACTCCTGGAACACGTTTCTGCGGCAGCAATTTATTAGACAGCGAAGCCGACGGGATCGAAGTGTCGTACAACGCCTGCGGGGTCCTTTCCCACATCATGTTTGACGGGCCAGAGGCCTGGCTGATCGCTGAGCCCAGCAGGGACCAGGTGGTGGACCGGATGTGGGCGGCCATTCAACGCTGGGACGTCAATTCCAGGCGGAACATTAACTACAGGTGAGCAGGCCGGCTGGATTCCCCTGGCTTGACTCTCCGCTCAGGCTTCTCTGCTCCTCAGGCCTTTGCGGTGTCCCTGCCTGCTTTGGAATAGAAGGATGTGGCTTGGGTTATTTTTCATTATTTATTTATTTGTCTCTCGTCTTTATTATTTTTATAAATAACTCCAAGAGGCCTCTCTCCTCCCCTCCCTTCTCTTCCTTCCTTCCTTCCTTCCCTTTCCTTTCCTTCCTTTCCACCTGCCTACATTTCTCCCTCCCTCCCTCCCTCCCCTTCCTTCCTTCCTTCCTTCCTTCCTTCCTTCCTTCCTTCCTTCCTTCTCTTGCTTCCTTCCTTTGCTTCCTCCCTCCTTTCCTTAGTTTCCTCCTGCCTACATTCCTCCCTCCCATCTTACCACCTTGATCTTAAATCTAGTTTTTGTGGTCATTCACACAGGTCCTTTGAACCAATTCTGAGGCTCCTCCCTCAGTGGGTCTCCCCCGTCAGCCAACACTGGGCCACGTGGGCCCTTTACAACCTGGTCTCCGTGTACCGTAAGTCTCCTCCTTCCAGTGGTTTTTTTCTCTCCTGCCCCAATTCCACCTTTTGAGCTCCTCCAAAGAACGACCACCCTCAAGAGCCAAAGAGCATTTTGGTAAAACTGGGCCCCTGTGGGCTGGGCAGGAAGTGGGCCTCAGAGGTGCCTCTCCAAAGGGTTGCCTCGTGTTTGTGTTCCTTGCATGCCCCAAGGGAGCCACAGTGGAGGGGGCCTGGATCTGGCTGAGGGAGGGGGCATCTTACAAAGGGGGTTGGTTGGGGGGGAGATACAGACCCAGTTTTTCAGACTGACCTCCAGCCCCTCACCGCTTCCTCTTTCTCCCTACATCTCCAGCAGACAAATACTGCCCCCTGTTGATCAAAGAGGGGGGCCTTCAGCTCCTGCAGGACATGATTCAGATGGCATCAGCACGGCCAGAAACCCAGGCGATGGGAAGGTGAGCTCTCTTGCCCTCCCCTCCCTATTGACCCCTCCTCCTCCTCCTCTCTTCTCCTCCTGGCATTTCTTACCAGAGAACAGTGGGGAACTATGTTGTCAGTCCTCATCCATCACAGCTGGCGAAATTAAAAATTGCAGCTGGCCCCCTTTTTTCCCAAACCTTTCCGTCCTCCTGCAGTTTTGCCCCATTTCCTCTCCCTGCCCTAAAATAAGAAAAACTCCCCGCGGAGGCGATGCCAGTTGGCTGCGTCTTAAGCTCTCTCTCTCTCTCTCTCTCTCTCTCTCTCTCTCCCCCATACCAGGAAAGTCATTGAACACTGCAATCACTTTACGGATGAGAACATGGACACCTCCAGATAGAGGCAGGTGTTGGAGTCCCAGGGGCAGCCCTCCTACGCCTGCCTCCTCCCCAATTCACCTGTACATAGGTTGGACTGTCTCTTCTCACCAGCTTAGCTGTCGGAAGGAAGAAGCCCTTAGTGCGTGCTGGGCTGCGTTGGAAGTGTGCGTACCTGGACATTGTTAGGAAGACGAGAGAGGCTCAGGAAATGGGGGGAGGGAGGGGAAACGGGTTTTTTTTTTGTTTGTTTGTTTTTTTAGAGAAACCACACCTGAGCAGTTGTCTTTGAGGGACCATTTTTTTTTGCACACTACAATTGCTTCCCTTTAAAGGTGGAGTTTGAGATAGGAAAGGGGGGAGGAAGGGTGTTTAAAAAGTACTGATTGGTGTTTTCATTTGTGTGTGTATGTGTGTGCGTGCGTGTGTGTATCATGACTGTGTGAAATGAAAATCCACGCTGTTCTGTATCTGTGGAGCTTTTTGACAAGAGCACAAAGGTCTCCTTGGAATCACAGAGCAGCCCTTCGGCTGAGAGCCCCTTCCCCTTTTGCAATGCCCCGGGGGGGGGGGGGGGCTAAAAGATTTAGGCACCGCAAAGCTGCTCATCCCAAGCCAGGAAGGACTGTGGGGCTGGGGATTATGGGTGCTGTCGACCCACCTGAATGGCCTCAGAGCGCTCCGATCGGAACACTAAGGCGGAACGGGATGGCTTCGCTCTCTCTTTCGAAATCTCCCCCGTTTCCTTGCCAAAGCAGCGAAGAAATTTGGGCCAGTTAATATTGAGGTAGGTCAAAACCGATCTACCCTCCCCCTCCCCTTCAGATACACGGCGTTGGTTGGCAGTTGCTTCGAGAATTTTAAAAACCAGGAGAGGGAAAAAAAAAAAAGCTCATCCTTGGTCAGTCCTGCAAATCCTTGAGGGTTATTGCTGTGACCGGACACTTTGGGTGCTGATAAGGGGTTAAAGTGAGCAGTAGTTTATCTGCAAAGGGTCAGGCGTGGAAATAAACCTGTTGTTCGGCTCTGGAGACAGGGCAGAGGTAGCTGCTCACTCCCTGGACGACACACGCGTGAGGTTGAGACTCTTGAGGCAAAGAGTCAAAAAAACCACGGCTCACTCTCTCTAGCCAGGAAAAAGCAGAATCTTCCTCTTAGCTTAAACTTTCTTTGGAAGCCGCTTGAATGTCTGGATCAGAAAAACCGAGACCTTGCGAAATGTAGATTAAAACTTGCGAAATTTAGATTCTCCTTCCTTCCTTCCTTCCTTCCCTCCTGGGCTCCAACAGGGAGCGCACAGCACGGCAGAATCTCCCAGAAGACGTCTTTAGGAACATCTCGGCGCTTGGTGGAGGGGGCCACCTTTAGACCGTATCGGTGACAAACCAAGGAAAGTTTGGCTAACTGGTTGCAAAACCAGGCTTACATGTATATATATATATATATTTTAAAAAGTTTTAAGTCTGTAAAAATGCCCCTCCTTCTATAACGCAGGCTTTAATCCCCACATGGAAGAAGGCCTGTTTTCAGTTCAAATGTGCAATCCGACATGTAATTTTTCTGTTCGGCCATCCTTTTTAAAATATATTCGGAAGTGGGAGTTGAAGGAGTAGATGGTCTCCGAGGCCCCTTCCCATGTCCTGATTTTATGCAGTTGTTGATTGATTCCTCGTCGACCACCGAGGTTACATAATCAACTAGAGTTTCTTAAATTGGACAGCTTGCTGGAGAATGAGATGCAACAGCAAATGTCCGAGTTCCAGTTTGTTCTCCTGCCTTGGATTTGAGCTCCTGGGAAAGAGAAGCTAGCAAAAGAGATGGGAGGGCAGGGTGGGGCAGAAGGCCCTGGGTTTAATCTCAGGTGTACCTCTAAACCTGGCCTTAAATCTCGGGGGGGGGGTGTTCCCCTCCCATCAAGCCTGGAACAGTTTTTGCCTGCTTGCCCATTTAGTGACGGACACATTTTAAACCGTAGCATTAATGCTGCAGCTGCTGCTATTACTACTTTGGATGAGCTGAATGTGCAAAATGCTTTTTGGAAAAGGACCAGAGGTTTTTGATCAGGGGTTGAGGGGGCCTTGGTGCTCTCTCGGCTTGGTTGTTTTCTTGCAGACATTTCACCACCCAAGTAAGTAATATCATCAAGGTTGGAAGGGAATGGGTTTGCTCTCTCCTCCTTCCAGCACTGAAGATGTTATCTAGTTTGGGTAATGAAAACGTCTGCAGGAAAACAGCCAAGATCAGGGAGCACCAAGGGCCCCTCGTTTCAACCCTGAGTTTTAAATATTCTCTTTTATTGATGGGTTTCTAAGCAAAGACAGACAGGAGAGGTTGGGGAAGAAGTGAAAAGGAAATGGACAGATTCCCACTCTGCAATGTGTGGCCTTCAGATAAGCTTCCCCCCCAAAAAAGTCCCTGATTTGCTTGCATTTTATTTCAAATCAACACACAGGCCTTCCTGAATAAATAAAATTAGGCTGTGCCAGCTGCAAAGCCGGACGTTCCCCCAGCAAATCTCAGATTTGCCCTGCATGACCCAAACCTCTTGACTAGAACATGGTGCTAAAATAGTTCCCAATTTCTCTTATTTCAAGTTCTTTTCCTTGGAAGGCACTTGGGCTGTTTTTGGAGTTAGAATATTCCAAGAAATTGGAATAATACCTAACTACCAAGAGCCTTGGTAGTACAAGGGTTTAAGGCACCCTGTTATTAAGCTGCTTAAGACCAGCTGCCTGCAATTACTGCAGGGTTCGAATCTCGCCAAGGCTCAAGGTTGACTCAGCCTTCCATCCTTTCTAAGGTAGGTGAAATGAGGACCCAGTTTGTGGGGGCAATAAGCTGACTTTGTATAAATATACAAAAGGATGAAGGCTACTGCTGAGCACATTGTAAGCCGCCCTGAGTCTTCGGAGAAGGGCGGCATATAAATCAAATTAAAATAAAAAATAAAAAATTAGGAAGTTTTTAAAATAATGCCTGGCCTGGGAAGCATGATGGGTACGGCTATCCCGCACATCTGGCGGGCACCAAGTTGGAGAACAACGCTGTGGAGGATTGTTGGCTCCATCTTCAGCAGGCCAAAAAGCATAGATGATCTTAAGGAAGCCCACTATATTTGCATATTCCAGCTCTCCTCCGCAACTGCCATGGGATCAGACTTGGAAGTTATTCGCAAATTCCTGAGGTAGTTTATGACATTTTGAGCTGAGTCTTCCTTTGACTGGAGTCAACAGAAGACATCTTCAGGAGAGGTCTTCTCACAACTTCTGGGGCCCAGAAAACATCTGGCATAGAAAAATCCACCCCAAAATTCTCCTTTTCATACAGTTCTCCTAATGGTGCCCTCAAATTTATCAGTTTTATCAATTTATCTATTTTTCCTTCTGGATAGATAGACGCTCCCTGTAAATATTATATTCCTTTCTAGAGCAAGAGTCGTGGTAAAACCTTCTCGCGAGTGCAAGGCAGAAGGAATTGATTCCTGGTGACCTTATTGATAAAGGGAATTTGAGCCATTAGTTCAGGGACGGCAATTTCCCAGATAGGTGGACTCTACAAGTCCCAGAATTCCCGTCAGCACAGCCATCCCTGAGAATTCTGGGAGTTGAAGTCCATTCGCCTTCAATCGGCAACAGTTGAGAAACACTACATGAGTTGGGTGTCAGTTGGTGGAAGGAGCAACAGGGCTTAATGTTTGTAAGCCACCCAGAGTTGCCTCGTGGCGAGATGGGCGGCAAACTAATGAATAAAATTAGGAAACCTGACTTTGTGAGGACCTAAGAAAGGAGAATTATTTGTGCGTCTTCCTCCCGAGTCCGAAGAAAGGCAGACTGTGATGGGATTTTTAGAAGAAAAATAAATCCTGAATTTTCCTTGGCCTGGAAAAACGCATCTTAAGGTGTGGACTTGTTAGATCTCCCAGGAGGGAGGTGGACTTTATTTCCTTGTCTTCAGAAGAAAGAATGGAAAACGGACTGGAGCTGCTTAACAGAGATGGGGAAAGTCATAAAGAGAAGGCATCATTTGCTGCTTGGATTTGAAGCTTCTGCAGATGATGCCATAACAGAAATGTGGAAAAAGCTGTTTGAAAATCCTTTGTAAATTTAACTAAGCTAATTTCCCTATCCTCTCCACTTTGAAGAGCCTTTCCTTGGTCCTATATCTGTGACGCAAAGGTTTTTATTCTTGGACGGTTATTAATTCTTCCGTTTGCTGTTATATGTCATCAATAAACGAGGAAAACGATTATTGTCTTGGGCTCATTGTGAATACGTTGGTTCCTATATAATACAATCTTCTGCATTTATCTGCAAGGAAAGTTGGCCTTTCACCAATATATGTTTACCTTTAAAATAAAACTTAATTTTACCAAGGATGAAGGATTTAAGAGGTTTTTCTCCCTGGTTTTGGTTTGGCTGGAGGAAAACAGATCAAATGGAGGGAGGGCTCTTCCTTTTTGCTAGGTAGGGTGTATGGTTTGTTAAATACTTTTTTTAAAAATTGCTAATAAAAAGTCAAATTTCTCCTGGGGCTTTTTAAAGAATGTGAAATGGGAAGGCGTTGATGGCATAGGGGTTTCTGTCTCCAAAACAAAGAGAATTGGGTTTAGCAGAAAACCATTTGAAATGACAACCATGTCTGAATAACGTATGGGAGTGCAAATTATCTCCAGTGTGTTTCCAAAACAACATTTGGAGGCGGGCGTTTTGCATGGCATTTCTGGAAAGGGAGAAATCGCCACTAGGTTGAGATGGCCAGTGAGTTTTGTGCAAGGAATGAGCTCGTCTTTCTCTTTGCACTCAGTGGGGTTGGACTAGATGACCTGGAAGGTCCCTCTTACCAGTTCCTGATGATAGGACGACACCTTTGTGAACCCTCGATGGCGAATTTTAATTTTTTTTTTAAAAAAATCCCACCTTTATTTCACCATAATTGGTAACTCAAGACAGCCAGTCTTCTTAATGCTTGTTCCTCCTGTTTTCTCACTTAACAACAACCCTGTGAGGTGGGACCCTCTCCCCACTGCGGAGGATGCCCACTCCCATAATCCTCGCCCGCGGGGGGATTTATAGGAGTCGGAGCCCACCCCGATCGCTCCCCCCGCCCCGAGGTCTTTCTTGCAAAAGAGAACTTGCAACATTCCGAGCCTCCCCAGCCAATCAGCGCGCGGCGTTCCCGGACACGCCTTTTCTCTGTCTTCTGGCCCGCCAATCCCGTCCTCCAGCCGGCGGGGGGCGGGGCTTCCGCGCTTCCGCTTTGGGCAACTTAGTAGCCGCGGGTCGGCGGGGAGGATGCGGCCGGGGGCGCCCGCGGGCGGCGGGTGGGCGGTGCGGGCGGCGCAGACGGGGCTCAGCTGGGGCGTCACGGTGGGGCTTTTCCTGCACGACACAGGTGAGACCCTTCCCCCCCCAGTGCTGGGGGAGGGGGTTGATTTGGGGGCCCCAGCAGGAAGATTTGGGGGAATGCCCGGGAGATCGCGCGCGGGGGGGGGGGTGTCTCCTCGCCAAAGCAAGCCACGGGGGAGCAATCGTGGTTTGTTGAGCGTAAGCCACGATCTAGGTAGCCACGGTCTGTTCCCTCCACCCTAAGCGGCCGTGAGTTCAACCTTAAGGACTCCCGTCCAAGGATCGGCGCGATTGTGCCAACCTTGGGACGGGTTAGTGCAAAATCCACGCGTGTTTCTCGTTCTTCCTTTTTTTTTGTTTGGACAAAACGCGTCTGAGTTTTCTCACGCTCGGACCTGCCTGGATGAAAAGAGGTTCCGGGGCTCGTGGGGGTCTCTGGGCGTGCTTTAAACCAGAGTTTGTGCTCTGATCTGGCAATGGGCATCATCGCGCCTTCTGCGAAAGGGGCACCTGTGTTCCTCGCTTAAGGGCGGCTTAGTGGTTCCGGAGGTGCTTTTCCAGTTTCTGAGGTTGTTTTATCCTGCCTGTTTATTTCTGTCAATCCTGACAGTGAAGGGGGGGAGCCTTTTGGGCCATTATATTGAATGAACTGGAGTGATTTCTAATAATTTGAAGAGGAGAGGCCGTCTCAAGAGACAGATACTGCAAGATTCCAGGATTCCACTCTTCTTGTTCTAGAACAGAAACTTCATTGTTTTTAAAGAAATATTTTATGGTTTGACATTTCTTCAAGCAGGATTGCCGTGATGGGGGAAAACAGGAGGAGGAAGAACTATTCGGCTTGTTTGCTGCCTTGTTTATAAAAATAATAAAGGCGGGATTAAAAAAAATTAAATCTATAATAGTGCTAATAAAATCAGAAAATAATATACAGAGTGGTGATTAAAATGAGAGACGTTTGAAGAATCTAAAAATGCCCCCCATAAAGTATCAATCCTATAACACGTGAATCGTGATTTCCAATTTGATTTCCTCTTCCAGATCTCCGGAGGCAGCTTGAGCAGGGAGAACTCCTCCGACCTCTTTTGTTCATCTTGCTGGTTCTCTCTTCCGTTGTCCTGTATTTTGTTGTGTCCCTCATGAATCCGGGATACGTTGAGGACGACAGCGGGGATGAGAAGGTGGGTTGATCCCGCAAGGGAAAACTGGGAACACTTCAGGGGCTGTTGGGAATTTAAAGCAGTGATGGGATTCAGCCGGTTCGGGAAAACTGTCTTGTTAAATTGCTGGCTGTCCTCCCCCCTCCCCTTCCAGGAGTCCCCACGCGCCCCATTTTTGCTCCGAGGTAAGTGCAGGGAGGCCTACTAGGCCCAAAACGGGGCATGGGGGGTGCGGTGCATTCCCCCCCCCCGTGGCTTGATTTTGCTCCCAGGAGGGTGGCAGGAGGCCGAGTGTTTCCTGTCACACCCCCTGGCCACGCCCATCATGGCCACACCCACCCAGTCAGTCATTAGGGCAGAGAAACAGTTGTTAAATTATTTGAATCCCATCACTGGTTTAAAGGGTATGAAATTGAAACCCTCGATGGAGGCAGAGCACAGGGCTACACACAATCCTCACATATACGACCTTCGCAGGCGTGTAAAGCGAGGGAAAACTGAAGACGGGTCCATCACAGCTTCACTTAGGGACTGTTTCACTTAAGTGACAGAATTTCCAGTCTCCAGCATTCGTTTTACGACCACTGCGAAAAGACGGTAAAATCTGGTCAGTCATAGGGGTGACCCGTTTTATGACGGTCGTGAGTTACAACCAGAATCGGCTGACTGCATGAGGGTAGTAAGTTGAAGAGAACTTGTACATCGACTGTCTTATTCTTTTTTTCCTTTTTTTAGTCCTGATTTACCTAAAAGTGTGTTTTCAAAAAAAGAGACGTGGGGATTAATAGGTAAGCACTGAGTCGGTTCATTTTTTGCTCAAGATTATTTGATATAATTCTGATAGGACTCAGTGGCCGGAGAAGAGAAAGCCAAAACGTTCTCCGAAGCTCCCAACGTTCGTCTCAGGCGGTGTGGATACTGCATGGTGAAGGTAGGCCTTCGTTTCCTGGGGAAATTGCTTGAGAGAGACCATAGATAGAATCGCAGGATAATAGGGATGGAAGGGACCTTGGAGGTCTTCTAGTCCAACCCCCTGCCCAAGCAGAAAACCCTACACCAGTCCAGACAAATGTTGTCCAATCTCTTTTTAGAAACTTCCAGTGTTGGAGCACTCACAACTTCTGGTGGCAAGTTGTTCCACTGATTAATGGTTCTCACCGTCAGGAAGATTTCTCCTTAGTTCTAAGTTGCTTCTCTCCTTGATTCGTTTCCACCCATTGCTTCTTGTCCTGCCTTCAGGTGCTTTAGAGAATAGCTTGGCTCCCTCTTCTTTGGGGCAGCCCCTGAGATATTGGAACATACTTCTATCACGTCTCCCCTAGTCCTCCTTTTCATCAAACTGGACACACCCAGTTCCTGCAACCGTTCTTCTTTATATGTTTTAGCCTCCAGTCCCCTAATCCTCTTTTTTGCTAGCTTCTCTGCACTCTTTCTAGAGTCTCCACATCTTTTTTGTATTGTGGTGACCACTTTGAATGTTGGCAGGGCATGGCAATGGGCCCTTGAGAAGGCCCAAGGAGTTCCACTCACGGAACAGACTTCACTGCTTCCTAATTGAACAGGTGGACTTTGAAGGGTCTTGGGTGCCCTCCGAGCTTGGTGGTTTTCTTGCGGACATTTCATGACCCAAACTAGGTAGCTGTCAGACTTCGATGCTATCTCAAAATAAATGAATTTCCAGACTGCCAATCTTTAAGGAAATCTTCTCTTTATTTGAGCACAGCCACCGGATCATGACTCGATGTGGACAAGACTGACCTTTTGCCCCCCAATCCCTCCCTTTCCGATCCCCAATTATCTGCTTCTCATTGGCTATCTTCCAAGTCACTCCACTGACTTCTTGTCTCGTCATTTCACAGGAATGTCCCCCCTCCCTTCATTTCCACGACGACCCAGCTTCAAAGAGATTTAGCAGGCAAAAGTTCAGGGCTTATCTCTCTCCTCTCTATGCCAGCGGTGAGATGCTGACAGTAGCATCACTAGCACTGATGACGTTCCCTAGTTGAGTCATGAAACGTCTGCAAGAAAACCACCAAGCTCGGAGGGCATCCGGGACCCCACATCTCAACCCTGAGCTACAAACATTCTCCTTTGTAGGTGGAATTTCCCCCACGATTTCTGATGCTGAGGTGTTTATGGGTGGGGAAAAACAGAGTCAAGAGTAGGACTTGGCCATAGAATGTCAGGGTTTGAAGGGATTCTGAAGATCATCCAGTCTGACCCCACCCCCCACCTGCCTCCGACTGATGGCCATTCAGGCTATGTTGAAAGGCCTTCAGTGATGGTGAAACGAGTGTGAGAGAACACCTTTTGCCATCTTGCAGCAACCTTTGCGAGCCAAGCATTGCCAGGCGTGCCAGCTGTGCGTCCGCCGCTATGACCATCACTGTCCTTGGATTGAAAACTGCATCGGGGAAAGGAATCACCCGTTTTTCGTCCTCTACTTGGGGGTGCAGCTCGCCGTCCTGCTCTGGGCTCTGCAGGTGGCTTGGTGAGTAATGGGCATGACAGCCGTGGGGATCAGGGACCCTTGTGCTGGGTCTGAAGGGGGAACGGTGGCATCTCTTCCGTTGTTCGTCAAAATCAGGTTGCTCCCGTCCACGGCTCCCCTCACTCCAATGACACAAACGAAGCTTTTGCGTTAAGAGCAGGGGTATCCAATCTCAGCAACTTTTTAAGACTTGTGGACTTCAACTCCCAGAATTCCCCAGCCAGTTATGCGGTTGTTAAGATAGTCACACAATTGTTAAGTCAGTCTGGCTTCCCCATTGACTTTGCTCATCAGGTGGTCGCCAAAGGGAATCACGTGACTTGGGGAACAATGCAACAGGCAGACGTACATGCCAGTTGCCAAGCATCCGAATGTGGATCATGTGATCACAGGGATGCTAGGACGGTCGTGAGAAAAATGGTCCCAAGCCACCTTTTTTTTAGTACTGTTGTAACTTTGAATGGTCACTAAGCGAACTATTGTAAATCAAGCACTAGCAATATTCCAACAGTCATTCCCAAATTCCCTTTTTTTTTCTTTCTTTCTCTCTCTCCTCTTCAAAAGGTCCGGCCTGAACTTCCAGTCGTTTTCCTGGCTCTGGCTCCAGTGCCACCTGCTCCTCCTCCTCTCCTTCCTCCTCCTCCTCATCTGCACCGTGATTGCGACGCTGCTGCTGGGCTCCCACCTCTACCTCGTCTCCTGCAACACCACCACCTGGGAATTCATGTCCCGCCACCGCATTTCCTACTTGAAACACTGCAAGGTGGAGAACCCCTTTGACCAGGGCGTCCTGCTCAACCTCTGGAGGTTTTTCTGCGCCTGTCGCCTGATGGCCTGGGAGAAACTCTACCCTTCAGAGGAAAGCGAGTTGGTGTGAGGGCCAGGAGGGTTTCGAGAGACGGATCGGACCGACTGGGTCTAAAGTCACAACGGAAGCTTTGGAGATGATGCCGAAGCACCAGGTCTCTCTTCACCACGACTAGGAGAAGGACTTCTTTTTACCTCTTCTAACCAAATAACTAAAATCTGACGGGTCGTGTTGGGGTGAGCCGATGGAGGACCCTAACCCTAATAATGGGAGGTTCAGCTTTGAGAGTTGGAGATACAGAGATCTGGGCAGCTGCTGCGAAGAAGAACCGAAGGAAGCCTACAGGAGGAAGAAGGATATGCAGGCAGCCAAAGATGAAGCTGCTTTTGAAACGTCACAAGGCGGGTTTTGGCCACATGTTCGTATCGAATTGAGGCCGGAGAGATGGACGCTCCTTGGAAGCCGAGTTTAAGGCTTTGCTAAGTAACAAGGCAGCTTCACAGCCGGCCGTGAGGTTTAAGAGTTTAAGAAAAAATGATTTTAATCCAACACTAATTTTAATAAAAAGACCAAAGCTTGCATCAAAGGATGCGGTTTTGTTGGCTCGGGGTGGGGCATGTGCCAAGAGATGGGAGGGTGGGGCTTAAACATGGGCGGGGCCTGAGCCAGTCATTTTCCCACGTCCAATTTTGTTCCTTAACAAAACAAAAATGTTGGTGAAAAGAAAAAGGGGCTCTTCAGTATCTTGTACTACGGTTCCTATCATCCACATCAGGACTGGAGATACCAGGTAGCCCAGGACATGGATTGGCAACTGGGGGGGAAAAAAACTTTCCTGCCTCTTGCAGACGCTCAATCACGCTAGCAGGATTTCCCCATTTTAGAAAACATGCCCTTCTTTCTTATTGAAATGAGTTTAATTTTAAATTAATTCAATCACAGTGAATGACCGAAAGGCGAGACGCATTTTGCATCGAGTTTCCTCTCTTCTCTCTCCCGTCCCTCCCTCTGAACAGGAGGGCACTTGCATCCCATTCCTGATGTGGAGAGGAAAGAAAAAATACAATTCTCATAAATTCACTCTATCACCCCCAAAAGTGACATCTCCGGAGGCGAAGCAGACAGGGAAACTGAGGCAGCTGAGGCCTGACGGAGGGACCGTCTTGAAAGAGAGGCATTGTGCGCCCTGGGCTGAGTCCGGGAACAAGGAAAAGGGCTGTCTTTGTTTCCAAAGCCATAGGAAGAACAGAAACTCACTTTGTTCACAACCAACACTGGACATCTCTTGCAGTCGTCTGCGGGAGGATAGAGTTCGAATTCCACGCCAATCGGAGCGTGCGTTCTGCCTGCCGATCATTCCGCCTCCTGCCTAACCGGAGGTCCCATATGGATAGAAACAGCTTGGCCAGATGTGCAGAGTTTCCAGCTGTGGGACCCAACGGGATGGGGGAGCAGATTTCCCCCCTCCAGGGCTGGGGGTTGCAGGCGAGGCCAAGAGATCCGAGTGGGTCAAATACTTCATCTTTTAAATCGTAAAGTCTCCAAACTTGACCATTTTTAAGACTTGTGGACGGGGAATTCTGGGAGTCTTAAAAGTGGCCAAGATGGGAGACCTCTGCTTTAGGTCAGTATTTCTCAACCTGGACAACTTTAAAATGGGTGGATTTCAACTCCCAGAATTCCCAAAGCAGTCTGGGGGGAATTCTGGGAGTTGAGGCCCACCCATCTTAAAGTTGTCAAGCTTGAGAAAGATCTACTTAGTGCAAACTACACCTTACTATATCCCCTACCTTTTTTGAGAGCCAGGTTCCTTCCTTCGTCCGGTCGGAGTCGACTCATCGCAAAATGCAGACAAGAAACAATCATAGTTTCATTCATACACGTCTAAAAATGGTATTAGGTTTTCCTTGGAGGGTTCTGGGCCCGCTAGAAAGCATCTTTGAAGGGCTGGAGAAGAGACGAGGTTCCCAAACACACAGCTATCGTCCTCGTCCTGCTTTTTGGATGCTCCATCTTGTCTTGATGGAGGAGGCCAAGCGAAACAGTCCTGGAATGGACCGTTGGTTTCTTAAGTCTACTGGATCCTACAGCAAAACGTTTGGAGGGGGACTTGATGGATTTTCAGAGCAAACCCCAAATGGCAGGACTGACGTTTGCATGCACAGCTTTTATCAGCCTTCCAGAAGGCTGTAAATAAAGTCACAATTCCTTCTCAAGACTCACAACCTATCCGGCATAAAATCTCTATAAATTGTTGGCCCCGTCCCCAACAATTCAGAATTAGTGGGGAACCGATGGAAGTTGACCAGTTCTTAGATGGTTCTTGCGGCCAGAGTCAGAGGATTAAAAAATTGTGCCTGGACAAATGTAAAAGAAATAATGCTTGGAAATGTCGGTTTCCACAAACTGTGATCTGTTAAAGCTTGTCTTGAGCAGCAGCTGAGAGGGGGTGGGTGGGATCTTTAGCAGCAGTGCAGGGATCAGGTCCAAACTCAGACATCCAGGAGGTGTTTGGAAAGGAAGTCGAAATCCTTGAACCTGGCTTGTTCCTTGACGGAGAGAGGGGGGGCGTCATCCGGAGGTGTGAGGACTGGCTTTTGAGACGTGAACTCCTTGTCAAAGTTGCTGACGTCAGTGGCACTTTTGAGGATGGGCACCAAAGGTGGTTTGAGCTTCCGTGAAAACAGAGCAGCCCAATTTATCTCCTGGGGGGGGAAAAAGAGAGAGAGAAAAAAAACAGAAGTCAAAAAATGGCCCAAACATTCAAATTGCTTAACTTCGGGAGTCATAATCACCATAGGATCTGGCAGCACAAAATTACAGTACAGGTAGTCCTTGACTTACATCCATTGGTGACCATTCCAAGTTACAATGGCACTGTAAAAAAGTGACTTATGACCACTCCTTACAAGAGTGAAGAATGCAGCATTCCCGCAATCATGTCATCAGAATTTGGGTGGTTGACAATTACAATAGCACTTAGGACTTATATACCCCTAAACAGTGCTTTAGAGTTAGCCTGTTACCCCCAACAACCTGGGTCCTCATTTTATTGACCACCTAAGGATGGAAGGCTGAGTCAACCTTGAGCTGGTCAGGATCGAACTGCTGGCAGTGGGGAGAGTTAAACTGCAATACTACATTCTAACCACTGCGCCACCAAGATTCTTAAAGCTTCCATACATCCATATACATTTAATATAAAAATATATCAAAGGTATTCTGAGCTAGGCTTCCTTAGAAAGCATGAAGCAAAAGTCTTAATCCCGGTAAAACCTCTTTTATTAACACGACTGTGAATTCCGTTCATTCACAGTCAACGAGGCTTTGGCAAACAGTCTTTCAGAGGAGAGTTTATCAACCCCCACCATATCTCCCTTGGAATGCTGCCAGAGAACCAATTTCCAAAGGCAGGGCAAGGCCAAACTTGGCACAGAGTCTATTAAGAGTCATGAACAGAACTTTCCAATCTTGAAACGAGATGAGCTAATTGCTTCCTGCAAAAACCCACATCCTGTTCGCTCCTCTTTTATGTCCTCTGGGAGGGGCCAATCATCTCCAATCCTCCAGTCCATCAAAAGAAGAGGCAATTTAAAAACAAAGGCAAAACGATGAAATTATGGCATGCAGGAAGATAGAAAGAGGGCTTGCAAAGGCCTTTTGAAGAACAAGAGAGCAAACATTGCTATGCAGACTAAATTGAGGTCTTTTCCTTTCTTTTTTAATCTCTTGTACTGCATTTCTTCAGCTCACCACTTCTGGCTCCTTTTGGGGCTCAGTTTAAGTCTTGATTCAAGAGATCGGAAACGCAAAGAAGAGGGAGTTGGGTGGACCATCGTACCTTGAAAAAAGGATGAATTTTGATCTCCTCGGCGTCTTTTGCTCCTGCTCCGAGACGTCGCTCGGGACACTTTTGGAGAAGCTGATGAGAAAAATGAAGAAAAACAGAAAAATGGGACTGGGTTCCAATCCAGCCCAAAACTTTACTGTGGGACCCCACCACGAATCCACAACGCTACCTTGTGCATAAGCGAAGTGCTGAGCTCGGAGAGGAATCGCGGGAAATGGGCTTCTTCACTGATGATGCTATCGAACATCTCTTCTTCGTTGTCACCGGGGAACGGAGACTTGGAAGGAAAGAATTTGGAACCGTTTTAATCCTTGGGTACCCTTTTTTTCCAAGGGGGGAGGGAGGATTTCAAAACAGCCTCCTCTCCACACAACAACCCTATGAGGTAGGCTGGCCCAAAGTCACCAACTCTTGCCGAAGAGGAATTCAACCAAGAAGCCCTGCTTGGTTAGTTTGAAATAATTAATTTTAATAAGTAATTAAGTTAGCGCCGTCCCTCTTGATGCTTGAGAAGACTTGATGAGGTTACCAGCTCACCTCTCCCACGAGCATCTCAAAAATAAGCACACCGAGACCCCACCAGTCCACTGCCCGGGTGTAGGATGGATCCGTCAAAATTTCCGGAGCCAGGAATTCTGGGGTGCCACAGAAGGTGCTTGTCCGGTCTCCAAAACCTACACCTTTGAAGCGGGATAAACGAGAGTTGAAAAACCTGTCACTGGATTGCAAATACTCCCAGCTATCCCACCCTCTGCCCTGCCAAGCAAAGCTCTTTCTTTGCTCTCACCTTCTTTGCAAAGCCCAAAGTCCCCAATCTTCACAAATCCTTCAGCGTCTAGGAGCAAGTTATCCATTTTCAAATCTCTGCAGAAGGAGCAGCAGGGAAAATGGAGGTGAAAGGGAGAAAGGGAAGACTCGCCGTATTAAGGAGACAGAGAGCCAACTTGGTGTAATGATTGAGGTGCTGGTCTAGAAACCAGGCGACAGTGAGTTCTAGTCCCGCACTAGGTATGAAAGCTGGTTACGTGTCAGACCTGCCACCAGTTAAACTTCTGCACAGAAGCTATCCTTGGCTCCATTTGTTGAGAAAGGCATAGTTTTATTAGAAGCCAAGTGTACTGCAGTAATGCAAAGCCAGAACTGAGAATCGTGCGCCAAAAATCCTAAGTCCCACTTTTCCCTGCTTTAACTGCCTCCCATCGCGGACCCCCGGATGACCAATCAGGTTCAAGCAAGATGTTTTCAGAACGGTCACTTCAATTGCAGGTTGGTGTGCAGCTGCTCTGTTCTCCCAGCCGGGTGACTTTGAAGCAGCATCTCAGGGAGGAACAGCGCCGTTACTTTCGCTTTCCCCCAAGCATTTCCCCTCCCATTCACTCTCCCCTGAGATCATGGCAGCCTCTCACTGCATGGTAGCGAAGTACAAGCAAGAGTAAGGTGGCAGCTGACACTAGGTGACTTTGGGCCAATCCCCAGGAGATGGTGAGTTCTAGTCCCGCCTAAGGCACGAAAGCCAGCAATTCTATTCTTGCGTTTCAGATGTTTTACCTGTAAATGATGGTCTTTTCATGTAAGAACTGAAGTCCTAAGACAACACAGGCAGAGCAGAACCTTTAAAATGATTGAACAGGGAAGGGAAGGGGATCAAACACACAGCATAGTTAAGGGTACAAAATTAGTCCTCTGCTTAGGACGGAGGCACCTAACGAATATTTGAAGTTAACAACAGTGCTGGTATAGGCTCTCCCGCTTGAACAGGGGGCTGGACAAGATGACCTACAATTTCCTTTCCAACTCTTTTATTCTATGTTCTGTAATTTTCATCTGCTCACCGAGCTGTATCTTCAGAGAAATTGTTGAAGCTGATGTGCATCATGAGGTCCCCGCCAGGAGCGTAATCCATCAGAAAACATACGTGACTCGAAGTCTGGAAACAGGCAAACATGTTGACCAGGAAGGGATGACCGGAAGAATTGATGACTTCAAAAATACGTTTCTCACAATACAAGCTGCCAGAGATAAAAAAATGTTGAGGAAACATCAAAAGACAATAAAGATATCCTTTGTTCCTGTAAGTATATTTTCCCCTTCACTTTCCCCTTTCTTTCACTTTCACAAGGACTAGCACCTTTCCTAAAAGGGCTTTTAATTTATTTTTTAAATGATTTGTTATTTGTTTTGGTTGTGTTGTGTTTTTGACTTTGCACACAGCCCAGAGTCCCATGACTAGGGATTCGAACCACTGAACTGCCGACCTTCTGATCAACAAGCTCAGCGTCTTAGCCACTGAGCCACCATGTCCTTATTCGAGCTAACTATGGGGAGACCCGGATTCGAGTCTACCACCAACCCGACAGACTTTGTCGTCTGTTTTTCCCATCTGGCCCAGCTGACAAGAAGCCCTCAGGGCTCCTTCCGGGAGGAGAAACCAAATGCAAACCCTACAAGCCAAGCAACCGTTCACCTTTCGAGGTCATCCCGGCTGATTATCTCCTGCTTCTTCAGGGCTTTGATGGCGAAGAGCTTCTGGGTGGCCTTGTGACGGGCGAGCAAGACCTAGAAATAAGCATCCAATCCTCTTGGGAACAGGCCAGAATCAAACCCAGTTTCCCCCCCCCCCCCCCCCCCCCCTCCCAGCAGCTTTGCACCTGCCCCACGAACACTGAAAGGACCGAATCGTTTTTTTAATGAAAAAATACTTCACATCAACTCTTGTCTGCTCACTGTACGGGTAGTCCTTGACTTACAACCCTTCATTTAGCGACAGTTCGAAGTTAAAACAGCACACCCCCCCCCCCAAAGAAAAAGGCAGCTTGCAACCAGTTCTTGCATTTATACGACTATCTATCACAACATTCCCACGTGATCAAACTTCAGACACCTGGCAAGGGACTCATCAATCGGTCCTCGCACTTATGACCGTTTCAGCCCGCCCCGTGATCAAAATTGGGGTGGGTGTTTACGATGGTTGCAGCATCCCAGGGTCACGTGATCTCTCTTTTTATGGCCCTACTTCAGGTTTACTCTACCTTTCCAAAATGGCCCCTCCCAAGCACCGCCATACAACAGAAGTCTTCAAGCCGCAGAGTGGTCCTCCTGGGAAGGAATGTTATATTATATTATTTGATTCTTTTTTATTAGTTTTATTGTTTTAAATGAGGTTTTACATTCTGTAAGCCGCCTTAAATTGCCATGTGCGAATAGGCAGCAATATAAATTAATGAATGAAAGAAAGAAAGAAAGAACGAAAGAAAGAAAGAAAAAAGAAAGGATGGAGGGAAGGAAGGAAGGAAAGAAAGAGAAAGAAAAAGAAAGAAAAAAAGAAGGAAAGACACGCAAAGTCAGCAGGGAAGGTAGATTAACCCTGCAATCCTGTTAGTAATTTAAAAACTGCAGTGATTCAGTTAACAACTGGGGCAAGAAAGGTTGTTGAATGGGGCAAACCTCCCTTAACAACGGTCTCACTTAGCAACAGAAACGTTGGGCTCATTTGTAGCTGAGGAGTACCTGGACCCATCATCCCTACCCAGGCAGCAGACGGATGCTCCCACCCACCAGCAGGGAGGCACCGACTGCAGCAAAGGAGGTTTAAAGCACCTGCCAGAAACCTGGTTAATCACGTTTTGGTTCGTACCTGATGCTGGTTTGTTGCAAGTTGCCTGTTTTTCCATGGAGGAGGCGAGCCTTCTGGTCCTATAAACAGAACACAGGGAAGGAGAGGAGACCACTGGGTGATCAACCAACTTTGGGCCAGTCAGCAAAAGATGGGAAGTTCTACTCCAGCCTTAGGTGTGAAAGCCAGCTGGGTGACTTGGGGCCAGTCCCTCTCTTCCAGCCCAACCCACACCCACAGGGCTATTGTTGTGGGGAAAATAGGAGGAGGAAGGTTTATTAGATATGTTCACCCCCTTGAGTTATTTATAAAAATAATAAAATAATAAAAACAAACAAACAAATTTATACCTTTAGGTACTCAGAATCTACAACTTCCCCAACAGAACCCAAAAGTCACCTGGACCAAAGAACTAAGCCAGACTTACCGCCGGATCTGTTGGAGACGCGACGGTTTCCTTGCGCGAAAGAGGCAGAAAGAGGCGGGGGGGCTTAGGGGGCGGCTGATTTCCCCGGATCAGCTTCACCGGAGGGGAAGTGCTGAATGTGGAAGAGAGATTGTTTCTTTTTACATTTTTAAACTCTCCTTTTCTCTCCAAATGCCTAAATCAGCCTTGTCCGCCTAACACAGGCAGTCCTCAACTTACATTGGTTCAGCGACCGTTCAGAGTTACAACGGCCCTGAAAAAAGTGTTTTACAACCGGTCCTCGCACGTACAACCCTCCACGATCACATGATCAAAATTTGGGCTCTTGGCAACTGGCATGTACTTATGACAGTTGCATCGTGATCTTGGGGTTGCGAATTCAACGAGGGAGGGGGGATTTGCTTAGCGACTTTACGATTCGCTTAATAGCTGCCGTGTGATTTGTCTGGCAAAAATGGTCCTAACGTTGGGTGAGACTCACTTAACAGCCGCCTTGCTTAGCAATGGAAGTTCTGGTCGTAAGTCGAGGAATACCTGCCTTCCATTCCTTGATCACCCACCAATGGATCGAACAAACTGGATTCCAAATTGGGCTCACCTGGACCCCAAAGGCCCCGGGCTGTCCTCAGCAGCAGCTGCAGAAGCAACATCTGGTCGCAGAGACCCTTGGAAAGGGGGGCTCGAAGCATTCAAGGAACTGCAAGGGGGCAGAAGGCTCATCATCAAACGTCCCCAGGTGGCAATGTTGACGTTCATCTGAGAAGCTCGGAGAAACTCTTTCCCTGCAGGGAAGGACACCAAAGCCAGTGATGCTCAACCGGTGGTCTGGGTGGGCCTTCCTGGCGGCCGGCCACCCTCCTGACCATCCTTGATTCTGGATGTCCAGCATTCCTCCTCAAAACTCAATCTGAGTTCTGATGGACAACAAAGAAGTAGAAGGTCTCCTGCCTTGACCTCTGAGGTCTCTTCCAGACCTAAGAGTTTATGTTCTAGCTCTGTGATGATGAACCTATGACACGCGTGCCGGAAGTGGCACACAGAGCCATCTCTCCGGGCATGCCAGCCGTCGCCCGTTGCTCTTCCAGGTTCCAGCCAGGTGGTCTTCTCGCGCGCAGGAGCATCAGAAACTGGGAGAGCAACTCCCATGTGGGTGCTGGGAAGCTGAGCTTCCGGTTTCTGCTGCTCCCGCGCGTGCGCGCTGGGGAGCTGCTCTTCCCGTTTACGGTGCGTGTGTGTGCAAACTTCCTTTTCGGCACTCGGTACTGAAAAGGTTTGGCAACACTGTTCTAGCTTCTAAGAGCTGTTCAGCTGTCCATGATGGTCATCGGATGATGCAATGGAAGTTCTGAATGCGGGGGAAAATATTGGCATCAATTATCTTCATCCGTAATTCCGTCAGGAGCCTCTCTTTACCTTTCTGTTTGGGGAAAATGCGCTTTTGGCGTTGCAGCTTGGCATGGGTCTCAACGACCGGCTGGCTGAATGTCACCTATGGAGGAAGGAAGAACAATGGCTGTGAATTAAGCAACTTCAAGACTTGTGGACTTCAACGTTGCTAAGCAAGGTGGTTGTTAAACGAATCAGGCTTGATTTTACAATCATTTTGCCACAAGGATTGAACAAATCAGTGCAGTTGTTACGTGAATCACATCGAGTTTCCCTTCCCGATTTTGCTGGAAGCCAGCTGGGAAGGTCACAAAGGGGAATCACATGACCTCAGGATGCTAAAACCACCATAAATTTATGCCAGTTGCCAATCGCTCGAATTTTTGTAACATGATCTTGGAAATGCTGCGCTGGGCGCAAGTATGAGGACTGGTTCTAAGTCAGTTGTAACTCTGACTGAATGGTGGTTAAGTCAGGGACTACCTGTAAAAGAGGAAAGCACCCCTCACCTCTAGGAAGAGCGTCCCTCGGGGTTCGAGGGAAACCGCCATGGGGTGCCTGGCGTTGTCCAGGAAGCCATCCAGGCGCAGAAATGCCACCCCGCAGAGTTGGCGCCAGTCGTGCCAATAGACGGAGATCTCCAGCTCCCGAGACTGCAGGGTGAAGGGAAGAGAGATCAGGAAAAGCTCAAAAAAAGGGATCCCTTTCTCTGATTTTCCAAGTGTCAACATGGCGTCTGATCTGCTCGTTGCGGTAATGGTGGCAGGGGATTAGCAGTTTGGGGGTTGGCTGGGGATGTTGGTTTCTAGTCCAGCCTTAACCTTCAGGACCGCAAGGTGACGTTGAGCCAGCCCCTTCCCCTTTAGGGGCAAATCCCTCCATACCTTAACAACGTGTGACTTAACAACTCTCTTGCTTATCAACGGAAATGCTCTGTCTTACACATCGGCAACAAAAACCAGAACACAAAATACAATCTGGGAGGATAAGACCTCGTAGACGACCCTCACTCTGTCAAGGACCCAGGAGTACTCATTTCAAACGATCTAAGCGCCGGAGCTCATTGTAACAGCATTGCCAAAAAGGCATTAAAAGTTGTTAACCTAATCTTGCGTAGCTTCTTCTCCGGTAACATTGTACTGCAAACCAGGGCATACAAAACCTTTGCCAGACCAATTCTCGAATACAGCTCATCAGTCTGGAATCCACACTGTATAATGGACATTAATACAATTGAGCGGGTCCAGAGGTATTTCACGAGAAGACTCCTCCACTCCTCTGCTCGCAACAGAATCCCTTATGGCACCTGACTTGTGTGTCTAATCACACTTGGCCAATAAAGAATTCTATTATTATTATTATTTTTTCTAAAATTGGACTGCTTGTATATATGCTGTGTCTTTGTTCTAAAGCCGATTTGTAGTTCGTTTCCTCCTCTGGCAAGTAAGGCATTCTGAGGAGGAGGAAATGCAGACTTACCCTCTCCAACTCGACCGTGAAACTCTGGTTCCAAGATTGCCTGCTAACCGGGCCCCAGTTGGTCTGACCCGCAACCTTGTTGTCGACTTTGAGAACTGCAAGGACTTCTCCTGCCGAAGGAAGAAAGAAGAACCAGGGGTGACATCAGATCTTTGGGGTGCCGTGTCTTCTCGGGAAGAGCCTGTGCCAAGGCCCCCTAGCGGTGGCAGGCAGTCCTCACTTAGAGACCATTGGCATTTATTTAATGACAGCTTTGAAGTTTCAATGGCAGTGGAAAAAAGTGACTTAGGACCCAGTTTTCACACAGCTGCTGCAGCTCTCCCGCGATCAAAATTCAGAGGCTTGGCAACTGGCATGTACTTATGACGGTTGCGGCCCTCCCGGGCTCACGTCATCCCCGTTTGCGACCTCCTAACAAGCAAAGTCAATGAAAAGCCAGAGTCGCTTAACACGACGGGTTGCTAAGTTCGCAACTGCAGTGATTCACATAACGACTGTGGCAGGAAAGGTCGAATCTTTGCTTAGCCACAGAAGTTTTGGGCTCAATGGTGGTCGTAAGTCGAGGACTACCTGTACGTTGAGTTCATTCAGGGACTAGAAAGCTGTTTTAAAATAAAATTAGAACAACAGATTATAGGGTATCTCTTTATTACCCACGTCCCTGTCGTAAGAGTGGTTCCCTATCACTTTTATTTGGATAATAAATCTGATTTGGCTCTATCGGCTGTGAGGGTCTTCAACACTCACTGCTGAGTTCCTCCTGGCGAAGGAGCTTTCCTGCAGACCCCCGGCCAGGGATGTTGACCCCAACCCACGTCCGACTCAAGAGCTTGAAGTCCCCGGGGCTCGTGGAAACCGGCAAGGAAGTGGCCACACGGGAACGGCCCGAGATCTTCTCCAGGAGGTCTTCACAGCCGACCAAACGGACCTGAAGTCTACCTGCAAGCCAAAGAGAAGAACCGCAAAGGGTGGGACAACTGTAGCCAAAGGGATACAATTCAAGTTCATAGAACATAGAAGCTTAGGGCTGGAAGGGACCTCGGAGGTCTTCTAGTCTAACCACCTGCTCAAGGTGTTTTATAAATTGGGTGTTTTAAATTTGTTTTCGGCCAAAATATTTAATAATTTTAATGGACTTTTAATGTTTGTATTATCTGTATTTTAGCTTGGCTGTTCACCGCCCTGAGTCCTCCGGGAGTAGGGCGGTATAGAAATTTGGTAAATAAATAAATAAGGCAGGAGATCTTATACCATCCCGGTCAAAGGACTCTATTTTTGAAAACCTCCAGTGACAGTTTGAGGTCTCAGACTTAACTTTCCATGACGCCGCTGCAGATATGCCGCAGGTTGTAAGGGAAAAAAAAGGTTCAAAATATATATGGTAGTTTGAATGAGAAAATTGCCAGAATAATTCAGAATGGAAAATCCAGATGAATTAGCCAGTAGATCTAAAAGAAATCGGATTTTATCTCTCTGGGATTGGACAAAGATGTTGGTTCTTTGACTAATCTGATCCAGTTACAATACTCCGAAAACAATACTTCTGTTTATTTGGTGTACTGGGAAGTTTTTGTGGAAATTGGCAAACTTGTCTGCAGCTTTGTTGCCGTTTGACTTAGTGTTTATACATAAACACACACATACACAACCTCTAAGGATGAGTGAGATTACTTTGTTGTTAAACTAAACACAGTCAATCTGTTTAAAAATGCCACAACATTTTCCTTATCACATAAGAACATTCCTTGATTTTGTAAAAAAAAAAAATTGCTGTTAAGTCTAAAATGGAGAAACTTTCATGTAATAACGCTGGCCAGAGTCACTGTAGGGGAGGGGCGGTGTAGAAATTTGATAAAAGAAAAGGGGAAAAACGGGAAAAAGGAAAAAAAAAGAGAAAAGGGGGAAGGGGTATTGGAAGAGGAGGGGAAAAAAAAGGAAAGGGAAGAAAAGAGAAAGAGAAAGGGGGAAGGGGAGAGAGGAAGGAGAGGGAAAGGAAAGGGAGGGGAGGAGTGGTGTAGAAATGTGATAAAAGAAAAGGGAAAAAGGGGGAAGGGGATTGGAAGGGGAGGGAAAAAAAGGAAGGGGAAAGGAAGGAGAGAGAGAGAAAGAGAAGGAGAAAGAGGGAAGGAAAGGAAAGGATCAGTAAATGGATGAAAAGGAAAGAAAAGGAGGTAAATGGATGAAAAGGAAAGGAAAGGAAATTAAATAACAAAATCTGTATAGTATTCTTTGTTTCCAGTAATCTATGAATGCACAATTTTTATTGTCTTTTCATTTGCATGCAGACAAGCTCGAAAAGAAAATCATATTTAACGGGTTTGATGCCGGGGACTTTAATTAGTGCAGGCAAATTAAAAAAAAATTACATTTGAATCTTTATAGCTGCTGGAAAGTCGGGATGTGGTTAGAAAGGGAACGTCTTTATTCCTTTTTAAAATATCCAGGGTTTTGTAAGTCAAAGGATTGTTAAGACTTCATTGTGGCTGGGTTTTTTTTTTTTCCATACACAAAACTCCGGATTGGCACTTCCTCTCATTCAAAGTGATTTCCTCCCTCCCAGCCTGCTAATTGCATCCTACCATATGGGTATATCAAGGTTTGAATTCGCCGAATTGAAAGACACACACAAATGTTGAAATGAAATTAACAGAATGACAGAGTTGGAAGGGACCTTGGAGGTCTTCTAGTCCAACCCCCTGCTCAGGCAGAAATCCTTATCCTATCCTGGAGAAAGGGTTGCCCAATCTCTTCTTCAAAGCCTTCACTGATGACGTAAAACTATTTAACACTGCCGACAATGGGGAATTCTGGGAGTTGAAGTCCACAAGTCTTAAAGTTGCCAAGGTTGGAGACCCCTGGCTTAAAAGATACCTGTGAGAGCCGTGGGCCTGATCGAAGTCGGGGGCGACTGTTGGGCCCCAAGGGAGAAGGTGTCCCTTATCTCTTGCTTGATCAGCCCCCGTTTTGGGTCATCTGGAGAAAGTTGGCTCAGAAGATGCTCGAGAGCCAGTCGAAAGAGATCGATCTTCTGGGAGGATTCCTGCAGACAAGCCTGAGCCTAGAGCACAGTGTAAAACAGAGAGAGGGAAAAAAGGGTTAAAAGTTTGAAATAAGGGTAGTTCTGGACTTAAAAGTAAAAGGTAAAGGTTCCCCTCGCACATCTGTGCTAGTCGTTCCTGACTCTAGGGGGCGGTGCTCATCTCCTGTTTCAAAGCCGAAGAGCCAGCGCTGTCTGAAGACGTCTCCGTGGTCATGTGGCCGGCATGACTCAACGCCAAAGACCCACAGAACGCTGTTCCCTTCCCACCAAAGGTGGTCCCTATTTTTCTACTTGCATTTTTTACGTGCTTTCGAACTGCTAGGTTGGCAGAAGCTGGGACAAGTCACGGGAGCTCACCCCGTTACGCGGCACTCGGGATTCGAACCGCTGAACTGCCGACCTTTTGATCGACAAGCTCAGCGTCTTAGCCACTGAGCCACCGTGTTCCCGGACTTACAACCACAATTGAGCTCAAAAACTTCTGTTGCTAAGTGAGACATTTAGTAAGTGAGCTTTGCCCCGTTTTACGACCTTTCTTGCCACGGTCGTTAAGGGAATTTTAACATGCAAAATTCAGCGTGGATAATTCAAGTGTGAGATCTAGCAGGTTTTTTTCTTTAAGCCAGCAGTTTCCAGAAGTCTCTCTACAGTGCTGCAAATCTAGTGACTGTTTTTGCTGGGGGATCCTGGGAATTGTAATCCCACATATCCGGCGGAGGAAGCCCCCTTGAACTGCAGGCTTCACCCTCCACGGGGACTAGAAACATGCAGAGTCACCAACTCTGGTTGCAGAATCCGTTTGCTGCAGACGCAAAGCTCCGCTCACCTCTGCCAACATCTTCCTGTCCTGCACCCGCCGTCCGCCCAGGATCTTCACCACGTTTTTGGCTCCCTCAGCCACCGCCGCTTCAATCCGCAGGCGATGCCTCAGTTCTTCCAGACGCAGCTCCGGAAGCAAGGTGGGGCCCCTGCCTGCTACCTCTGCAGAGACGGAAGGGCACAATCAGGAGGAACCAGCAACAGCCGACAGACTGAGCGACCTTCTACCACTGGAAACAGGAACACAACCCCCCCACCGCCTGCATATAGGCTCCCTGCTGCTTTTCATGCACAGGACACGGGTTTTTTTTACTGATTTTTTTAGCAGAGAAAGGAAAACGAAGCAAGTGGCTAGTCCATATTGAGTACAAATAGGTAAAACAGGTTCTCGGGACCAGCAATGTGATTTTTTTTATCTGCAAGGGCAGGAGCTGATAAAGAGAACAGCTTCCCTCTTTGCTGGAGGACAGAACTGGGGGAAGATTACAAAATAACCACAGGGATGGCTTTTCCCTCGCCGGGTTTACCATCAGCAGTTGCCTGATTTCCGTTTGGAAAAACAGTGTCTATTTGTGGGTTCGTGGGGAGCGAGGGTTGTTGGGGTATCCAAGCGGTACCTGCTGTTTGCATGCCCACCGGTCGGGTTGAGGGTAATTACCTGGAGCACCCGTCGCCTGAGACAGCTTCAGCATCTCCATACGGATCTGCTCAATTTTCGTCTTGCTGTCCTGAAATGTTTGCTGAGCAGCTGCCAGGAGTTTCCGCTCCTGGAGGAGGAAGAGAGAATCCGAGGTGAGGAACATCAAGTGTTTAAGGTGTGAAAAATCAGGATCATACTTGAAGCCCCACTTAAGCTGATGTATTACTCATTACCCTAAACACAAGAATCCAGACAACGAATGGTCAGCGCCAAATTGGTGCTGTATAATCTGTGACTGGAACAGCGTCTTACCCACTGAGCCGCCCCGTCCCAATCACTGCCGTAAGGCAGCCTTAAGGGAAGAGGGGTGGGTTGGCCCTTTGATGGACAAAGGGGACCCCACTCACCTTTGCTGTGCTGGAATAGACCTGGAGCATCTTCTCGGCTCCCTGCTTTACTTTCAGCTCAATGTGAAGCTGTTTCTTCAAAGCCTCCAGCCTTTTTGAAATGTGGTTGGGGTCTTTTCCCCAAAGCTTGAGATCGGGTGGCCCGTTTGCATCTGGGGAGGACACAAAAGCCAATCTGACAAGAAGCAACTAAGCAGCAGCCCCTTGGGTAGCAGGGACAGGACCCGGATGGGAGACCACTCAGAAATTCTGAACTTGCATGCTTTAAGAGGTATGGACTTCAACTCCCAGAATCCCCCCAATAAGCATCCTTTAAGACTCCTAGAATTCCCCAATTGACAGGCTTTAAGATGGGTGAACTACAACTTCCAGAATCCCCCAGTTGGCATGATTTAGGAGGCATGGACTTCAATTCCCAGAATTCCCTAGCAAGGATACTTTAAAAGGCATGGACTACAATGCCCAACATTCCCCAGCCAGCATGCTCAAGATTCCCAGAATTCCCCAGCCCTGTGCACTTCCACATCCCACCTGATTGGCCACCGTCTCGCTCCCCGGTGACAATCCGAGCTTGGAGTGCTTGGAGCTGGCAATGCAACTGCTCCAACTTCCGGCTGGATGATTTCAGAGCCGTCTCCACGTGGACCAAATTCTTCTTGTCTTTGGTCGCCCTCCGCAAATTCTCAGCCCCTTCCTTGATTTTCAGCTCTTTCTGGATGGCCCGGCGGATGGATTCCTTTTGGGATTCCAGTTTCTGCTGGATCCCTGCTGGATCTGGGACCTTCAGCCGGTTGCACAAATATAAGGACAGATAACAAAAGGCAAAATTCAGAAAAAGAAATCAAAACACAAATAAACAACTTAAAACTTTACTGAATTGTTGTACGCTGCCTAGAGTCACTTTTAACGAGATGGGTGATGATTTAAAACAGGGGTCTCCAACCTTGGCGACTTTAAACCTAGAAGCTTAAAGTTGCCAAGGCTGGAGACCCCCGATTTAAAATATGACAGGAACAGGAATCAAAACAAACCCAAAACTTAAAAAGCAGAAACATGAATTGAAACACAAATATAAAATTTAAGAGGCAGAAATACGAAAAACAAACACAAAATGTAAACAGACAGACACAAACAGAAATCTCAAAGTGCAAAAACACCAATCGAAACACAAACTCAAAATTTAAGAAAAACAGATTAAACCTGAAAATTAATAATAAGATTATATCCTTTGGCTTCTCAGCTATTGCTGGAAACCTGACCATCTTTAGAGCACGTGTCCAGATTAATTCTGACAGAAAGAAGATTGTAATTTTTCAATTTTCGGAACTTTCTTGGATTCTGATCATTGGGTTCAAGAGTGCCATAAAGGGGCCGCATAGCAATGCCTGAATGGTGGGTTTAACATGTACAAAATCAGGTTATTATTTAGCAATTTGTTTTCCAAACCGCTGCCCAACCCTCGCTTTGAAAAAAGAGACAGAGCTGGGGTAAAATAACATTTCATTTCATCCAAACTGAAATTAAAATAGTCTTAACATAAACGCTCCATCTTCGGCTCTAAGAATGCTAATTTATTAGTGGCTTTATTGATGAAAGAAGTCAGCAAAGCACTTTGGTCTGAAGAAATCTTTCTCAAAAAACTGAAGGACATATCTGCTAAAGTCACTGAATGTGACTACAGGTAGTCCTTGACTTACAACCGTTCCTTTAGTGACCGTTCAAAGCTACGACACTGAGAAAAGCAACCATTTTTCACACTTATGACCGTTGCTGCATCCCCATTGTCACCTGGTCAAAATTCAGATGTTTAGCAAACTGGCATGTACTTATGACGGTCGTAGTGTGATTCGGGTGATTTCCCCTTCTGATGATCCAAGTTACTTAACAACTGTGGGACTAACTTAACCATGGCTGTGATACACTTCACGATTGTGGCAAAAACGGTTGTAAAAAGGGGCAAAACGCATGTAACGACTGTCTTGTTTAGTAACAAAAATGTTGGGCTCCATTGTGGCCATAAGTCAAGGACTACCTGTATCCTGTAGGAAATTAAGGAAGAAGAAGGCGGCCTCGAAGAGTCATAAAGGTTGAGTTGTGGTGTGATGCTTCACTCTTTCTCATTTCAAGGCAAAAAAGGGCGAGGGGGGGGACACACACACGTGTGGCAGTGAGATATTCCACAGCTCAACTCCGTCCCCCCCCCCCCGCCGGAAACCTGGGAAGGTTTCCCGTCTCTAAACAAACAACTCCTGGAAATTGGAGAAACAGTGGCAGAGGCAGGAAAGTCTCGCCCAGCGAGGAAACAGACCGGATTTTGGAGGAAACGCAGCTCGGCTTAAGGTTAAGGCAGGGCAGAGGGGCTGAGATGGCGATGGTGGTGGGGGTGGGGGTGGCAGCCTTTCCAACAAGCAAAGTCAATGGTTGGGGGTGGGGGAGAAGCCGGATTCACTTAACAACCATGTGAATCACACCTCCCTGCCTAGCCTAACACAACACACACATACACATCCAAGAGACCCTCTTCCCCAGGCGAGAGAGACCCAACCCTGACAGAGCCAGGACAGGCAGGGAAGCCAGCAGCACAAACGTTTGGGCAGCCCATCCTTTTTTTTGGGGGGGGGGGTCTTTGCAAAGAAAAGGAAGGCAGAGAAGGCAGGTTTAAAGACCCCTCCGCTGAAAGGCCAGGGGCAGCCCCTGGAGGTCCCAGTCCTCGGAGATCCTGGCCCCCGACCTCCAAACAAGCCAATCCACAGGGCTCGGATTCCCCCCCCCCCCCCCCCCCCCCCCCCCCCCCCCCCCCAACGCGTGTCTACCGTCGGAATCCCCAACTCGCGCCTGGTTTTGCAAAACCCCCAGTTGGACAGGACCCCCCCACTCCCTCCCTCCAGCCGGTTCCCTGGCGGCGTAGGCGCAGCAGCCCCGGCTGGGGAAAGGAGGCGCCGGCCTTGAGGCAGCTTTGCAAAGGCGCACCTGCGCTGCGCGGCGCCTCCTGCGCTCTCACCTGTTGGATCTGCCCGGACGCCATCGCCGCTGCAGCCACCGGAGCCCGTCCGGCGCCGGCGGGGAACTTTTTCAAACTTGGCCCGGCCCAGCGGAGGAAATGCAGCGCGCATCTCGCGCCCTCTGCTGGCTCTCCGACCCGGCCGGAGTCCGGGAAGCCCCCGGGAAAAACTCGCCCTCGCAGGTAGCCCCCCGGGCCCTAGGAAGGTGGCGGCCTCTGGGGCAAGTTTCCCCTTGTGCTTTTCCCTCGGGTGTCTCCCCAAAACCCCCTTCCCCCTCCCTTGCCATTGATGGCGGGATGGAAGATGCTGAAGGTGGCAGACTTGATTTCAAGCCCCTCGTTCAACCTTGTTTTATTTATGAATGAAAATAATAAAGGTAGAAAGCAGGACAGCGTCCCAATAAACCCTTCTTCATTGCAACCGTATGCTATATACCAGGGGCGCTTCTCAATACTTTGTTGTGCCCAATAAAACCCCTCCCAGCACATGGATTCTGTTTTAATTGAACAATTTTTGCAATTTTGGCCTTTCTTCAAACGTTTTGGTGCAGTCTCAATCCGCCTTGTAAACCTGGTTTTAATCTTGGGAGAAACAATTCTCATTGGGTGCAATTTGCAATGCAAACGTTCTAACAATATCCAATTTGTATTCAGAGGGATCTCTAAATTGGATCCTGTAAACTGTTGGAAATTAGGCCTGAATTTGTTTCATGTCAGATCCAGATTAAAAATAAGCCTGTTTTTTAAGGCAGTTTCTTAGAGAGGGCAGAAGCATCCTGTTATTTCAACAGACACTTCTTTGAGTGAAAGATGTTGTAAAGAAAAACCGGATAGAAAATTTAGTTTGGCTGCACCAATGAGAAGTCACATTTCATTTTTCAGCAGGCGATTCTTACTATTTGAGACTGTCCTTCAAAATCATAGATGGGATTTACTTATACTTCTTTGGTGGATTTAGCAATACAATTTCTCAAGTGCAGTTTAATTTGCTTGTCTGATTTGCAACTGAAGCGAATCCACATGCGAAAAGCTATTCTTTAAGGCGGTATTATCAACTTAAGATATACATAACAGCGCTTTAAAAATTTTGACCAATGGCACGAAGGCTGAGGAAGAGTAACCCCAATGAGCTCTGCCCCACAATTCCCAAGGGAAACAAAAGCTTTTTAATTCAAGACCAATCCAGTGATGATCTTTATTGATATCAACAGATGAAGTTACATAATTCTTCCTACATTGAATTAAAATTTAAAAGCATCACGCTAGGATACCTCAAAAGCATCTTCATCTCCCCAGAAAACCAGCCAGTTCAGCTTTGTTTAGTTTGGTTGTCAATTTATACAGGGACTGCCAGGTTTTTCCACCCCCGAGAACCAGCCAGTCACAATTCACAGGGGAAAAACAAAAGGAAGGAATGATGATTTAGCCTGAACCTGGAGCCCACCAGCCCTCAGCCCTGGACCCTGGATGGATACCAGAGAGGGAAGGGTTGCAGCCGTTTGCACAGGCAACCTCTTGGTCTTGAGGGTCCCTCGTGATGCGTTTTGCTCTAGTGGCATGCTGAAACACCAGGCTTTGTTTAGTGAAGACTATCAGCCCCCTTGTGTACACATTAAGTTTTATTGTAACAAAGCAACTTGTACACTTTTTAACGTTTAAAACTGAGCATTTCTTTTCCAGTGAAACAAAAAAAAAAAAGTTGGAAAAAAAACCAAAGCAAGGAACAAAATTACAGTAGAGAATGTAAATTCCAAATAAAATCCTACAGGGGAGAGGGGGGGGGGGGGTCGGCTGATTCTCCATCAAGTGGAAGGGCTGAACTGTAATCATTGGGAGAGAATTTATAATTTTTTTTTGTTTTAAAGTGTCATCTTAAACTGCAAAGATGTTTGTTAAACATCACGATTAAACATGCCAAAAGGAGAAGAATCCATGTTTTGTCAAAATGCCCATTTAACCCACCCCAACATCTGAAACCCACCCCTTGCTTACCCTGTCTATAACCCCCCCATTTTTTTTTAGCTTTTTCATTTTTTTTTAAACAAGAGAAATAGACAGATACATGTTGGTAAATGCTAACTGTCCATATTCACATAGAGACACAGTGTAATCTCCGAACCCAATATACAGAGAAAGAAGGAAAAAGCTAGATTCTATGCAACTACCACACAGGGGGGCCTAGCACTCCGCAGCCTCCAGGCTGGAGCAGACGGTTCTCGTTCTTCCCCACAGAACACAGTGCGCTGATGCCACTGACAGTTTTTTTTCTTTCTTTTTTTTTTTTTTCGTTTCAAAAAACAGGGATTTAAAAAAATTGAAATGGGTCGAGATTCTCTTCCACTGTATTCTGCTCAAAGATATTTTTCTCCAAAATTATTTTGTGAACCATGGTGAAGAGGAGAAGAAAGAAAAGACCTCGGGAGAACAATGCGACTGAGCACAAGAGGGCAGGGAGGGGGAGGGAAAGGGTGGGGGTGGGGGGGGAGGAATAAGACAGCAATTTGCTCCCAGGGACTGGTGGAGGGAAAAGGAAGGATGGACTGTGGTTGGAATCTGTCAGTGTTCAGTCATCTTCTCCTTCATCCTCCTGTGGAGAGAGAAAAAGCAACATTTTCAAATAAACGGCTGAGTTAATTAAGTAAACCACCCGTGTCTCCATTTCCTTCGGAACCAGGGAAACAAGCAGGAAGAAGGGGGCAGGGTTTGAACAAACTTGATCTAAGGCTCTTATTATTACTGGGGAATGCTTAGTGGGGGTTCCGTTTTGGGATTGTGAATGGCTCTCTGGTTCCACTTTGAAGTCCTTTTATGTTACATTGGTATAGCACTGCCAGCAAATATATTACGCTAAAAGATGAACCTGAATTTGAAGTGACCACCACCCACTAAAAGGAAAAAAAAAAATCTATTGTGACTGAATTGGAGGCAATTTTCAAGATCAAAACTAGTGCGCAGGGTGAAGTGGGCTTTGGCTGTGGAAACTACGGAAGCGAGATTCTCGTTTCAGTGCCCTGGGGCCATGAGGTCCTTTGGAGCAGGGTTTCCTGACCTCAGCAACTTTAAAGATGTGCGGACTTCAACTCCCAGCATTCTCCAGCCAGGCTCTGGAGCATAATATGACCTAAGTAAAGTAGCAGGTTACACCACCTAGAGGAGAAAAACCATTAACTGGTGTTTATGCCACTTGCCCAGCGGCATTTCTCCCCTATGGTGGTAGCGGTACATCAGATCATGGCGATAAAAAGAAACATTTCCTTCCAAATCCATTCACCTGCCATAAATAAGCTAATTAGTGCTAATCCAATCCTGTGTATATATATAAATATACACTTTTTAATTACGTGGGATTTATCAGCAAAAATTAAGTTTCTCCTGCTCGCTGAGTGCAAGTTATGCAACTTGTAACTACAACTTTAGCAGAGGCTGAATTCGAACTACGAATCAGCCAAAGCAACAGTTTATGGTGAAGTATTCAGTCCGGGGAATCTTCAAAAGGCTAGTTCTGTTCTGAGCTTACAAGTTTCAGGGCAATGTAAGGTCCCTAACTGCCATCCCAAGAGGGAAATCTTAGAGCTCTAACCTCTCCTTCTTCTCCCTCATCATCATCTTCATCTTCCTCACCCTCATCTTCATCACCTTCCTCATCGATGTCCTCCAAGCCTTCCTCCTCTTCATCGTCATCGTCATCCTCTTCTCCCTCACCTTCTTCATCGTCCATATCGGGCACCTTGTTGGGCACAAAGGAGAGTTATAGCAAAGGGAACCCCCCCAAGCACTTTGACCAGCCCGGCAGCCAACGGGCCTTCCCGGCAGACGCTCACCAGGTAGTACTGCAGCGGGTTTGGCCAGATGTCGTCCTTGATGACCTCCCCTAGTTCATCGGCCCCCGCATCGGAGTGGTCAGTAAACCAGGTAAAGAAGCTCTCCGGTTCTTCATGCTGCCTCTTTCTGCTGGCCTTGTTCTGCGTCTGGCTCGAGCGCTTTGTCAGGTCCTTAGTCCGCAAAAGAGCAAAAAAGATCAGTCCTCCCATCCACTTGTTTTCTCTCCACAACTGCTTGCATGCCAACTCACAACTCGGTTTGTTATTAGAAAGTTAGCAACTCCCCACAACGTAGTAGGGGATCTATCTGATGTTTCTGCTAAAATTTGGTAGTGGAGTTCATCTGCCTCTCTTCCTTTGACAGTCTTATCATGGCACAACAGCCAATAACAGTGAAGGAAAACAAGAGCTTGGTACTGGGAATAGTTTAAGAGAATCACAAACATTGCAAGCAGACATGACCTTGAAATTATTTCTCCCATCCTGAGGGGAAATAAGGATGGGATCCTGACTCCAGGAGCAATCTGTTGTAGCATCCCACCCTCCATTGCTAGAAAAATGCGATTTTACTGGCCTTAAGGGTATTTCCTTCAAAACTTTGTCATAGTTCAAAACTATGCACCGACTGTGACATTTTACCACAGCCTAGTTTTGCCACATAAGGTTGTTGGGAAAAATCACAAATAATGAACGGCCCACAGGAAGGCAGCATAAAGGTTAACGATCTCAGAATAAACCAATTCAGTTCAATGGGGCAGATTTTTCACACCCATTGTTTCCATTGCCCTGTGGCAGGCTGATCATGGCTTCCAATTAAGACCCTCCCTTTCATGGTGGGATTCAACTTCACATGCTGCAAGGATTTTAAGGAAGGAACAATCCCCCAATATTTTATTTCATGTAGTTTGTCTGCTCCAAATTCTTGGCCGGAGGAAATGCTACAATTAACAACCTGAATCAATATTCTAATCAGAGTGACACTATTACATAAGTAGATGTACTTTCATAGTAAAATAAATAGTCTAGGAACACTTTTTCCAACTCTACACATTTTATTAAAAGCCATCAGCTTTTTGTGAACTTCTACTATCAGACCCCTGTTCTTATCTTTTTACTGTTACGTATGGTAATTTTACACTTAATGGAGTTAAATACCTTCCCAGATTTCCATTTGATTTCGCTGGACTTGGATGAGGGGTCTCCACTTTCGTTCAGATGAAACTCTTTGGAGAGCATCTTGTTTTCAAAATAGGGATTCTCATCAAAATACTGCATTCAAAGGAACAGACAAAAATAGAA